TGTTTACATATCCTACGTAGCCTAAAATCTTTTGGCCTATCGCAGTGAACAGCGGGTATGAGTTGATACCTTGCCGTGAAAAAGAGCCGGATGCGTAAGTAAGCCGGGGCCTGACGTATCGGGATGGACGTTTTCCGCGAGTACAACCAATCTCGCCGCACTCGTTCAAGGAGACGTGTCCGTATCGCTCGAGCTCTGCTGTGTTTGCTATGCGTTTTTTTTCTGGAATTTCAAGCAAACGACTACCTTGAGTAAAAATAATAAATTTAATTTTTTAAGTAAACGAGACTCGTGCACGCACATGTTTGTCGATGTATATAGTTATAGACTCACTTTTTTTTCATCTCTTTTTGCCCTTTCTTTCGGAATTACCATCAGTGCCCGGCATCAACCTTTTCATATGAAATTTCTGTTTAACAATTTTCCATTCTCCATTATCGTCTTTTGTTCGATAAACGAATTTAAATAAAACTTTGCCTGTAACAGAATTGAATTCTATAGTCGAATATCTCAGCGATGATATCGCTCGACATTTAATTTGATTCTTAGTGATCACGACTATAGCCTCGGCATTTTTAAATATCAAAACTACACACGATAACAGTTGCACTGCGAATTACACATACACGTATATTTCACTGTAGCTTGTACATTCTTCACATGCGTGCAACGTATACGTCAACAGAAATTGCCGAGTAACAAGTGAGAAGACGTTGATTGTATCTTTTTTTTATTTTTTATTGCTTATGTTTCACATAGAATCATTATTGCGAACTACTTCCAATCATTTCTTTTTTTTTTCTTTTTTATTACCTTGATCAATAATAATATTTACAACTTAACGATTTTTGTGCATCATACAAGAATAAGAATATATCGAATTATTATTTTCCTTCATCGTATTAACCCTTAAAGAAAAATTTTGTTTCTTCCTCAAAGATCTCGTCTCATATCAGAATTTCAGTAAGTTTGTTAGTTACAATATGAGCATGGAAGTTCTGGCTATTTGCCCTAAACGTTTCGAACGTGATTATACGCGCCTGAGTAAGTTGAAAATTTAGTATGACACACTGATCGTAACAGTATTGAAACAAAGTTTTACAATGACCGCACTGTAGTTTGTAAGGGTAAACGTCTAAAATAATGATATTCTCATACTTGAGGATGTTGTCGCAGATAGATACTACAAATCGTTCAATATATTGTTAACTTTTCGAGAATTGTTATCAGAAACTTAAAAGATGTATTTTGGTAATTAACAAACGTAAAGTCTAAATTATAAACTTTAACTTTAACATACGTTTCCCTCTGGTCAAATTATTATCTTCATTTGCAGTACCGTAATATGCAGCGTATGATGATTCTTCTTCCATTTCCTCAAATGGTACCAGATCTTCAAATTTGTAAACGAAAGTTCAAAACTGCTATCAATTACGTAGTTCAAACCTGTAGAGACTGATAAAATGAATTTGTTAGTACCTCACGTTTAGTGTTCTGCATTTAATATAACATATGTTTATTGTATTTCTCTTCATCTTTTTTATAGTTTTCTGTTTAAAAATTAGCATTCGATCACACTTTGGACGGAAAATATTAGTCATAACATTGAATGGCTTTAAAAATATTTTAAAAACTTTGAATTATTTTGAATAATAAAATAATTGAACAAGTAATTGTAATTTAACTAAAGCTTACGATCTATATTAGCAGTGTCACTCGTGTAGTCAATGTCGTCATTAAAACATATATTTTCCATTTTTACTTTAACGAATTCTGTAAAATGATTAAGTTCCTCCTTAATACCTAGAATATAAATAACATTTAAGTTCAAGTCTTGGCAAATGAATAATTTTATCAACTCAATATATTCAGAAACTTAATTTGAAAAATATGCGCAAGAAATTGAAAGTACTGTAAATAATTAAAAGTTTTGTTGTGAAAATGTGAAACATATTGATAAAAGATGGAAAAAATTGTTTGACATTGCTCGTGTTTAAAGCACTAGTAGAGAACTAGGTAAACCTGCACGTTACGCATAAATTAGTATTGTAATTGTTTCAAAAGGGTAAGATAGGAGAAAGAAGCTTATACAACTTTATAGATATAGTCGAGATTTATTTCATAAAGAGTGAAATTACAATAAAATGCATAAATTGCTACAAAAGATCAATTTTTAACTACTGTTAGTTATACGCATGTTGATGAATAAGAAATACAAACTGTTCTAGAATATCATTTGAATAGAATACAGCTGCATGAACTAAGATATAAAAACGGAAATATACACTGTAAAAAGTTATACTTATTTTGAACGAATTATTATTTTTTTATGATAAAAGTAACAAGTTGATTGATACATGAGACAAATTTCTTCGGATAACTTTTTTAATATTTGACCACAAAAAAAGTAAAACTTTTTGCTACGTATAACAATACAACTTGGTATAAAAAGACCTACATTTGTCACATTTCTAAAAAATTAATACATTGCTGAATGAGCAATACTTAAATCGTGATTAAAACTTAAAATACATCATCACATTCTGAAAAGTAAGAAAAATGAACTAATTACGGTTCGAATTTGTCGTATGTTTTTATATGTAATTTGAAATATTGCTCACTTTTATAATGTTTTCCACACAATAAACAATCAAAACTTTTCTTATATGACAGACTTTCATATGCATTCGCAAATACCTGAAGTCCTTGCAGCATATAGGACATTTGTTACCCACTGCTACACCATGATTGCGTTTGTATTATATATGCATTTGCATATTATGATTGGAAAACGAATACTGTAATCACACCATGAACATTCGACTAAACTTTGCATTTTTCAACAAGCATTATGACTGTGCGTAATGTTTGCTTATAAATATAATTTTATATTTATTGCAACAAAATAAGAGCTTGGTTTTGAAAATTGTACGTCCATCGGATTGTTTTCGGAAGTGCAATATGTTTGATTTTTTCGTAACCTTCTCACGTTCTGGACATCTAATTTTTCATCTGTTCTCTATACTAATCCAATCATAATTAATTGGTTCAAGTTTATTTTCTCAAGTACAAAAAAAAATTTTTGAAATAAAAATAATTTACTAGCTACTTTTCTTATACATTTGAATGACGTATAACATCACAAATGAATAAATAACTCTTCCAAATCCCTTTCTTTTATTTATAATTATTTTAAAATGATTTTATGATTTTATTAGAGATAAGGGGGAAACTTTATCGACTTGGTAATATCTATTTGATGGTATTCCCATATCTGTTGCAAATTTAATCGCCTTCTTGTTATAGTTATATAGTTTTATGTTTTCTAAAACGCCATTTTTACATCATCCAACAATTTACTCGAAGAATGAGTGAACCTACAGTTGACGTAATGTTTATACTACCTCTTGAAACGTGTTCAAGTAATAACACATATAATTTTAGTGCATCATCATATAATTAATTGTTTAACAAAGCAAGATTGCTTCGTTATAAATTGTTTATTAACAAAAATAATGTGATTATAGATAAACGAAAATTTATTAAAAATGATAATAATTAGCCTTTAATTTACGTCCAATATAAGAAAAATCATTTTTACTTCTAATAGTTTAGGTACAGCGTTATTGAATTTTTCTATTTTTCTAAATATGCAAACAGCTTAATGCTGACATCTGCTACATTATTCGTATTTGTAACAATTGGCAACAACGAAGTTTATTTTCAACTTTTCGGTGTAATATCATTGATAATACGTACAACATATACTCTAATTTTAATTTACATTTATTGTTACGGAATTTTTATTGTTATAGAAGTTGATGAGATACTACATAACATACGAACAATTTATCAATGCTAACATTTATGATTTATGACGCAGGTTATGCATCATTATAATAAATTTTGAACGGTCGTGTCAAATAATGTATTAAAGTATGGACTATAGAATAACTGTAGCCCGTAATATAATTTGGCTAGTAAATACAAATTTAGCCCTTATTCCACCTAGCCTCTCAATTACATTTTCACATTCTTAAAGACTTCGAACACCTATTTCAGCATTGAAGCATAAATAATTTGATGCTACTTATTGTCTGGTTTACAACGGCTGTGCTTGTGCGATCTCAACTTGAATCGGTTTGAATACAAAGCATTGCATCTGGAACATTTGTATTTAACATACGTTTGGCACGCTTTACATTTGAAACGTGGCAATGCGCGTAAATCGTTCGGTATTATTTCCACTTCTGCATCTTCGCGTTTTAACTTTTTATTACAAGTTTGACACACAACGTTGCCTGTTTCAAAGTACACGGATGATCTTTTAGATGGAACTGTAGTCATTTCATTCTTCTTTCTTCGAAAAGTAATTTTTTCAAATGTAAGTTTCGGCTCGTCGTCACCTGAAATAATTTACAAATTAGTTTCATTTCTAACACTAATTTTGAATGAGCGCATGATTATGCGTTGAAAAAAATTAATGATGTTTTGCAAAAATTAAAGTATGACATAAGTAGATACAATATCTTTAATTATGAAACTCACTTTCAACTTCAATTTCTTCGATTTCTTCATACTCCGGTTTTATTTCAATTTCTTCTATGCTGAACGTCGGAAGTGCAGCTATAAATAACAATGCATTCATCATTAGTAAATAAATTTGAAAAGTAAACTAAATAATAAATTATTACTATCGTAATAAAAATAGTATAGCATAGACATGCAAATAACTTGACATCAATAATATTTTTATATGTGTGGGTATGTATAAAGCAGAAAAACGTTAAGCATTTTTTATTATTGTAATGTATTATGTAAAATCATCACAATGGAATCAATTATATAGTATTAATATTGAGGTAGCATGAAAAATGTTGATGGGAAAAGTTCAATGAGGTAAGGATATATCGAGTAGTCTTTCAAATTGAAAAGCTTAATCTGATTACCAATTGCTTCATTATTTTAAGAAAAGCTATAAATACGATGGATGGATGAATTTTCAATACGGTAAATTGGATCTCTTCTTTCTTCCTTATCTTCTGCATGAAAAATAATAGTTAACTTAATATATTTATTAAATGTAATATAGTACAATCAACATGAGGGTTAATAGTTTATTGAAATTTCATATACATTATTTCGTATTAAAGATACTTCCAGAGAAATATGATGTAGATCATAAACATTTATTACGTAATCAAAATTGATTCAGATTCATTGGTCAAAATTTACGGACCACAAACGTGCACTCAAAATCGAACTTTACACGTGTCATATAAAAAAATATCGTATGATACATCTTAGGGAAAAAAATTCTCGTCTTGTGTGATTTTTCTCACTTCGTTAGGAGGTAAATACCACATAAGACAAGAATATACTTTCTCATACTTGTATCGTAATATACTATTACTAATTTGTCATATTAGTAAAATTGGTATCATAGTGCAAGTTCAAACCTTGAGCTCTCTCGCTTATCTAGTTATAATTAATTAAGAACTTTGATAGAAATAATCCACATTAACCACAAAGATTAATCATCATCGCACGAGTCGTAATGATTTTTACCACAAGTAACATGAGGATAAACATTTTATACATCTCGTAGGTCACATGATTGAAATTTGGACAAAAATATAATTTGACGTGAAGGTTGTTGAGATTTGCGACGTCCTGTTAAGGGTCTTCTTCATGAAGCAGTGACATTGTGAATACATGGATGAAATTTGAGTTACACATTTTGCAGCATTTTTGTTCCATTCTGTCCGCAGAAGTTTCGAATTTAAGGCAAAATTTACAATAAGGAACCAAAACTTCGTCGTACATCACTGACAAAATAAAATCCGTGACAAATAAGACTCAAAGAATATTATTTTACTTTGTATTTGATAAATAATAAGTTAAATACATACACGAGACATCGAAAGAATCATCTGTAGAACTTCTTTCATCAGAAGATGATATTGACTCCCCCGTTGAATTCGTCTTATAAACAACAAGTGGATCTGAAGAAACAGAAGCGTTTGGATGTGTATGTGTGTGTGTGTGTGTATGTATGTGTGTGTGTGTGTGTGTGTATACATATATAAATTGATATTCGAAAATAAATAGATAAAAAGACTTTAAAGATATAAATACCTAAAATATCTTGCTTAACCAGAGTGATGGATTTAGAGAATTTATTTAATTGGTTTTCTGCATTTTTCGAATCTAAAAAAATGTTAAGAATGTGCGATCAGTAAAGAAATAGTGAATAATATTAAGTATGTCACAAGATGAATAACACGGAAACCTCCACCATATTAAACTATTTTCAACATAATTTATGTAAAAATCCAACAAACATTTAATTCCTACATAGACAAATCATAAGATACATTCTCAGACTTTTGGGAACATTTTATCATGGTATTGGTGTTTATTTATTGATATATTGGAAATGTTTTGGTATTTTATTTTTTTACAAAGTATTTTGACGCTAGCATACATATCAAAAATTTATATTTTCTATAAGATTTGACTGTCCATCTGATTCAATCATTTTTACAAAAAAAACCTATTGTTGGTATGCAGCTCAGTATCGAATACTGTGCGCGTGTAAAAGGTTTCATAGCGCTGTGATTTGCCGGCGAAATGATCTATTTAAAGATCGTTTCCTCCGACGGATGCAGCAGTAACTGTATTGCTATGCTGAAACAACACGTAGGTCGTGTCTTAATTTTGAAAGATAGCTCTTGATAAATTAATAATTTGTCCGTTCAGGTAGTACTGATTACGTCAATTGATTCTATCTAGAAGTTAATAACCAATTGCATTTCAATTTCAACGTTTCCTTATCGTGATGGATCTTCTGAAAAAAAAACAGATGTACTAATAAGCGGTCATTTAATTTAAAATGTTAGTAGCTTGTACGCGTGAAAGTTAAATGTGAGAAAAAAATAAGGTAAATCATTCAATCAACACAAAAAGTTCGACTCGTTATACTGTCGACAAAAAACAAATTTAGTAATAACTAGTAGACAAACAGGTTCAATTGTTTAAATAAACAATGGAACGACTATGTAGTACGCATACATAAAAACATAGAAGATATATATATACAAGCGTAAAAGAAAAAAATGTTCTATCGAAAAAAGATAGGAAAATAAATTTATATTATTGACAAGACATAAATGATTGTTTAAATTGAATTTTGTATTGACAGTAGTACATTCATACATATTTTATTGCTAACAAAAGTACAATGACGTCATAATGTTAAAATAATAAATTTTCTCATGTCCGTTTACAAAAATAATTTAATTATTGCAACTGAAAAGTAAACAGATAGGTAATACAATGATATGTCGTTGGATATGCGATCAAATAATCAATTATTATAACCTAAGTTCTTTAAAAGTAAGCTTTTAAGTAACTTTGTATTAAATATTATAGTATTAGATATTAGTAATATTAAATATTATTTACTAATATATATTTACTAATATTAAATATAATATATATATTATACATACACTAATATTATATATATATACTAATATTATTTACTAATATTAAATATTAGTAAACCTTGGCTACGAATACCAAAACTGTCTTTGTAGCATCATGACTGAATGAGTAAAATAAAGGAAAAAACATTCCAAACATCAATGATGCAAAAGGAAGAAAATATTGTTATTCAATATAGAACAGAGGGACAAAAAAATTAGTCGAACCCGCATCGAGTGACAGATCGTCCACGCTCGATTGCCGCAGTCGTTCAACCTGCAATAGAAAACGAAGGAGGACCGAGGAGGTCGCGAGCGCGAGAGCGGCAGCAGTTTCGCAAGCTCGCCGAAAATACGGCAAACGCGCGTGGGAAAGCTGCCTCCCCACCGCCGAGTCCCGACACGGGCCGGGGGTTTAAAATTGTAAGCAGCGCGCGGTAACAACGGCAGTGCGAGAGCGTCGACCGCGCGGCGCGGACGCCGGGACCATGGAGGAGAGTTACGCGGCACATCGGCGACGCAAGGCCGCCGCCGCGGCCAGCCGACGTCGCGAGAAGACGCCTGCCAGCGACGAGCGACGATGTACGTGCGTGCAGCGGCCATCTGTTTTCTGCGATTCTAAATACATGCGCGCGCGGATCGTTCAGTGACGCGCGGTGCCTCGTCAAGTGAACTAGTTGAATTTGCGTTCAGTGCTTGCAGCATCGGTGTCGCCAAAGTGCCTTCATGCATTGCACAACGCGCGAAACGTTTTATTTTGGTTTTTCTCTATACATTTTTTTTTGAGCGATCTAGTAAGTATTTCTCTCGGCATCGCGCTTTGCTTTTCGAGAGATGCGCGACAATTCGTTCAGAGATATTCCGGGAAAGGTCAAGTTCTGCGGCGCCAAGTAGCATAATTTATTTTTAGTAGTCGCGCGCGTGTGCGAGAGTTCGGACCGCGAAAGCGCGGCTCGCTTATCAATGTCTCTCTCTCTCTCTCTCGATTGGCAAGGCATTCGAAATCCGCCTGGGTAACGCGACTACCCGATAATTATTTAACGCGCACCACGTTCGAGCTTAGAAAGCCAAATATCGGACGAACCGTATAATTTGATCTCTCGCGAGCTTATCGAGTTTGCCAACCAATAAATTTCGCTCTATAAATAAATTGGGCGTCGGAGCTGCAGGCGCGCGATGATTTAATTGAAAAGCAAGAAAGGGAAAACAACAAGCGACCTTTGCAGCAGGGGACGAGGAAGCGACAGAGTCGCCAGACATGGACGAGGACGAGGAGCGTCGAGCTCGAATGGAGCGCATGGTCGAGGACACCGAGCGCATGGAGGAGAGAAGATCGCGAACTCGTTCTCCCGGCGCCGACAGGTTTGTTAAACGCGGCTGCTTTCGTTTGCCCGGCCTACATTTGATCGATCGACCGAACGCGCGTGTATATATAGACGCGAGACGGCGTCGCCCCGACGGCAGGAGGAAGCTGCAGCGGCACCGCCGAGGAGCAAGGGAGACAACGACACTGGGCTCAGGCGGAGAATGGCCTCGCCGGAAGGTGAACGCTCGAGACACCTGTCGCCTTCATCGGTATACGAACACATTCGACAATATTACTCGCCAAGCTCGCGACGGGATTCGGCATTGAGATGCCGTGGCGGCGTGCAACTTAATCCGGATTAATTTAGCTGCGGGCCGAACGATCGACAGACGTTTGCGCAAATATTCGAAAGGCGCGGCCTCAAAGTACGCAAGCCGCGAGCACCTCAATGTTGCATTCCCACGTGAAAAGCGTGAGACTGGCCAGCAAAACAAAAGCAAACGAACGAACAAAAAACACCCAGAGCGCGGAGGACGAGCGTCTGAAGCGTCGCTCGAGCAGTCGTCACCGTTACGACGACGAGCGCGAACAGCCACGTCGCTCGGCAAAGAAGCAGATCATTCCGCTGAGCGACGACAGCCTTTACGAGGATGTGGTTCGCGCCAAGCGCGCCTACGCCCACCGCGTGCCAAACGACGACTACGAGTACGAGGAGGACGACGAGGATGAGGTGCGTCGGAATCCGAAGCGAACCATACGCAAAAGGAAGACGAGCATCGTTCACACGGACGAGGAAAGGGATGAGATCAGTAAATCCGTGAACGCTCGCTCGTCGTGGTACTCGTGGATTCCCTTCCTTGGCGCGACGAAGCAGAACATCGACGAGACGATCGAGGACAAGGATCGCAAGCGGAAGAAAGTATATGAGCCTTCCTTCGCCCGGCTACGATTCGCTTGCGAAAATCGCTCTCCTCGCGCGGAACCGCGAACGACAGTGGCCGTTCGCAACCAAGAGGCTGACTGAGCTGCGCGCAGATATCAGAGTTCCGATTCGCGCGAGCTGGCGCAGCCTTTTCGCACGCGAATCGAGGCTGGCGCGCCCTACTCGCCCGGCAAAGGCACAAGCGCCGATGACAAAATGACGGGGTGCTTCTTTATGCTTCGAAGGCAGACGCGAAACTGGACAAGCCCGGCTCGGTGGCGGCCGAGGAAGCGCCACCGCCAGGCCGATTGCGTCGGCTGTTCGCCTCGCTGGCCGACCTGTCGGCCGAGTTCCGCGAATTCTGCCGTCAGAATCCCGAAGAAGTGAACATCCTAATCGAGCTGCGAAATCTGTGCATCGCCGAGGCCGTCATCACGTTTATCGTGATCGGTCTCGGCGGGCTGGCGTTCAGATTCACCGAGGGCGCCTTCGAGACTTTCTACAAGTGCGGCGTGAAGAGGGTGAAGAGAGACTTTTTGGACAGCCTGTGGAATTACAGTCACAACATGAAGGAGGACGATTGGAAGAGCATGGCAAGGAGGAAGCTCATGGAGTTCGAGGAGCAACTGCACGACGCTCACGAAGCCGGGGTGCAGACTTACAGCGGCCAGAAGAATTGGACTTTCTTGAACGCCTGCGTGTACTGCTTCACCGTTATTACGAGTATTGGTGAGACGTTTGTTTCTTGGCCCGTGCCCATCGAAGAGCGCACGCCGGATTTATTTACCTTTCAAAATGTGCATCTGTGTACACCAATCGACAGCTAAGAAAGCATTATCAAAACTGATTACAATTGTCCTGATAGAATTTCCTAATCAGCCAATGAAAGTCAACGAGACCAAATTTACCCCGTATTGTAACGAAAAGACTCGCGGAGCCAAGCTTAATCGCCATTAATTTACATTAAACCCCGTTTCTATCTAACCGAATTTACGAGTTTCCCGGAGAGAGAAGTAAGCTAAGCTGCGATACAACTGTATAGCTTGAAAAAACGACTGGCTTTCAGTTTCGGCGCCAAACAGAGTAGTTATAATCCCACCCAGAGCAACTGCGAAACCTTGAGACTTATTGCCAGCGAGAGCTTTTGTTTGCCTCCAATTTGAATATCGACCACGTTTCCTTCTCCTCAGAGCCCCTCATTGCCACCACGTCATTCTCATGCCCGAAAGTGTGCTTATGCAATGAGCTACGCGTCAAAAAAATCTATTGCAATATCGTTGTCTTACGATAAATATAAAATGTCAACAGGTTATGGACACATATATCCCAACACAACGACGGGCCGCGCACTGACGATAGTCTACGCGATCTTTGGCATTCCAATGTTCCTCATAGTACTCGCGGACTTTGGCAAAATGTTCACTAGGGGTATCAAGTTCCTGTGGGCATTCGTGCGGCGGCTCTACTATACCGGAAGTTGTCGCAAAATGAGAAGGACCGTGCCGATGCAGGTCAGTTCTACGTTGGACTTGCCTTCTCTCTGGCAAAGTTGTCCTTCGTCTCTCAATGATGCTAGTTTGAAATTGCGATTGTTGCGAGCGTGCGCTTTCAAATGGCTACAGGGAATGATGAAAGGCGTACAAGCGGTGTACGACTTCGCGACCTTCAGGCGGCCATCGCAGATGACGCCCGAGGAGATCGTCGAGATACAGCGTCAGCAGCAGCAGCTGCAACAGCAGACGACTCTCAACGTGGATAACAGCTTGCAGCAGATACCACCGGAATCGCCGTCGACCCCGGCGATGTCAGCTTTCGAAATTGACGACGAGTTCAATCTACCCATCTCCGTCGCCATTACCATTCTCGTTTTTTACATTTTCATTGGCGCCACGGCTTTCAATATCATCGAGGATTGGGGTTTCTTCGACAGTTTCTACTTTGTATTCATATCAATGAGTACGATTGGATTTGGTGACTTCGTCCCGAATGTGAGTTTCTCTTTTCTTAGTATTAATGTAGATTGCATAGATATATTTAAAATAGTTATCTACAATATAATACTTTTGTACCGAGCGTCTAGATGCAAATATTATTTCTATTTATTGTCGTAGACGTAATTAACTGCTTTGTAATGATTAATCGAATTACCAATTGTTTACTTTTTCTCTGCTTCTCATGCGCTGGCATTAAATTAAGAGGGTAAGCTTGCAAAATTTACTGCGAACATCAACGTTTGCTTGCAAAATTTTTATCTCTCAGCTGATGAATATAAAAGTATTTCGTATCGTTTCTGATTGTGTAATTTTTGTGTATGTAGGAACCTTTGTGGATGATGCTGTCAATAGTGTACTTGATTTTTGGTCTTGCACTGACTTCTATGTGTATCAACGTCGTCCAGGTAAAAATTCTGTGTTATCCGTTGGAAAGAAACGTACAAAGTTATGTTACATAACCAGCTTTTCATGCTATTGCGTCGCATTATTTGGTCGGAATTATCTTTTCTTATTTAATTATGAAAAAATTTCATTAACTCTGTGAAGCTTTCGATAAGCACTTTGATTGAACAATGGTCAAGCAATAACAATTGTCACAAAACAACTTTATTTTTTAATTAGAAATGTTGGATCTCTTCCTAAGTTTCAAATGTTTTGCGTCACAGCTCGGAGAGATAATGAAAAATTGTTTTGTTATGAAAGTCTAGTATTTCACATTTATAAAAACAAAACATGGAATTCTCTAGCAGAAAGCTCCAGTTATTTCATCCTCCATTGAGGTCACTACGAAATTCTTACTGGAATTGCTATTCTCAATTAAAAACCTACATACCATTGTAAAATAAATGGGTTTTCCGCTTGCAGGTAATGCTGACGGATCAGTTCAAACAGGCGAGTCAAAAAATTGGCGCCACGATTGGTTTTCAAGTGTCAGAGGAGGATGGCTCGTTGAAACCCTCGCCGCCTGATCCTGTCGAAGTGGCAGAGGTGCACAACGGTACCTCGAAGGCGAAAAACGGCGAAGAAGCAACAGAAAAAGTCGCGCCAAAAGCTAAGCAAGACGTTAACGAACTTTAGAATAAAGGATATCCTTGAAATGTATTGTTGTTGAAAGTGTCTACATTCGGAGCGATCTCTGCTTTAGAAATGAAATTTGCTATTTCATTGAAAAGTAGAAGATGCGATGAAAAATATTTCGTTTTCAAAAAAGTCTCTGAAAAATGGAATTGTCGTGAAAACAACAGCAGGCAGGGATTAAACAAAGTGCGTTTAATTACAGATGGTTTATATTTGATAACAAAAAGAAAAATAATATATTTTTACAACGACAATGCTATCGAATTGAGTGCTCTTGTTATGAGTTTGGATATAGTTTATATAACAAGTTAAACAAGGAGCAACGTAATGTTATTTAATTGTGATTTTGATTAAATTTATGACAAATGAAAGTTATATCAAACGGCACAAACGTGGTTATTACATCGGAAATTAACTAATCATTTTGTATTTAATTGTCGTTCCTTTAATTCACGGTATAAAACGAATCCTACTTTACTCAATACTTTTATTTGTTCTGAATAGCTTATCTTCTTAGTGAGTATTAGACAAAAATGAAGTCTCGCAAAAATACTAGTCAATTAAAGGTGTTATATAGTTTGTACATAAGAATGTCGTAATTTTAATCGTAATGTAATGTTTCTCACATCTAAAGAGCTTCTTCGACAACTATGACATTTCGACAAGTGCTGTATCATTGTAAACGTAACAAACCCTAGTTAACGAAGAAAACAACTATACAATATAAAAAGTTTTACCTGTTGCTCATTGTGACATGAGTGTCGAAATGATATTTCTGACTGTAAAACGAGGAATAATTGTAAGAACCCAACCGTACAATAATAATGTATACAATAACTTCGGAATTTAGTATTGTACCATAAGTTTCGATACAAACGAAATTTTGGCTTTACAATGAAAATAATTACAATTGTCCTCTTTCCTGACCTTTTATTTTCAAAGTAAAGTACGAATTACTAACGAACAGCATATTTTTGAATCTTTTCGATAAAGGATCGAGAAAATCCTATTATAACGAGATGAAAGAGCAAAAGGCCAAAAGGTAGGAGCTCTCTACGAAGTCTGTAATTAATCGCAGCTGCTCTAATTTTGAAATAATTGCGAGAGAGAAGCAGCGCCTCTTCTAGTTCTACAGTTCAGCCGCGCGATCGCACACGAACAAAAGTAAATGTGTAAATGACTATGATATACTCGTGCCTTGTTTTGTCGAAAAAAAAAATAAATAAAGCGAAAGCTGTAATAGTCGAGGTTGCGTCGAGTCACAGAAATTTTCGCATGTGATATAACATATTAACGATATACGCACTACGCGTGGCATAGTTGATTGGACTGTTGCTATTTGAATTTTACTTTCGTTCGTCCTTAGATTATATTTCTCAATATCTATATAGAACGTCTGGAAATTGAACTTCGATCGGCTTCATGTATATCAATTCATTTTTACAAATATATATGAGCTTATTGCTTGGGAATTTTTTAATTAAAAAATAAAGTTTTGTCTTGTAAAAATTTGATACTGCGATTAATCATCAGTCAAGTTTTTCAATTTTTGTTATCATGGAATATCATATCTTTAGATTTGTCAAACGAGTTACGCAATGCATTCGAAATGAATTGTCGCGTTCCCAAAAATTGCTTGCACGCCCACGAACAATTTGTTTGAACGTTACACAAATACTTAGTAAATAATTTTATCTCTTGTATACTCTGCAGCGCAGCATTTCTTGTAAATATACAAATGATCTTTTAAAGACGATTTTGAAAAGCGTGACGGAGTAATGGTTTCTTTTTATCGGTGAGAAAAATGAATATAACATTTCATCAGTCTTTTGCTAAAAATATACTCAGATGCAGTTTGATTTGAGCAAAATGCACGGCGCTCTGATACACATACATACACACGTACATGGTGTAATATTACCGATAATTATAATAAACGATAGTTTATTGTCCATAATTTACTTGCCAATAAAATCACCCGACAAGAAATCTCTGTCGACTTTTTTCATGAACTTACAACAAACAACTGATTAAAATTAATCTTAGTTTCATTTAAAAATTACAAGTGAAGCAAGCAGCTTATTTAATTAAAGCAATTATTCTACAAATGTCCCGCCAAAAATCGAATATAACGTCATACGCTCAGATAGCAACGTTGCCGTAATTACGCCGCACTGTTGCCAGCTTATCAGTGGTGCAAAGATGGCCGTCGGATGACAGCACGCGTAGCCCACTGTCAAAATAATAAACGAGTTCGCGCGAGGGGCCGATTAATCGGCGATGTCGCACGTGCAGTACGTGGACGAGCTCGTCAAGGAATATCTGATATTCCGAGGCTTTGGGCAAACATTAAAAGCCTTTGATGCCGACCTCAAGGCCGAAAAGGAGAAAGGCTTTCGAGTACGACAACACGTTTGTTTTGGTTCGCGAGTGCGATGCTCCTTGTTTATGCCCATTGTTTTCTTTTCAAATTTTAACAATCGCATGGAATTGTATGAGTGGTCTTTCTTTTGAACAATAATTTCATTTCGGGGAAATCGCTGTGCGAGACAGTGTTATTGATTTTGTTTTTTGGTCAATGTGTCTGTTATGTATCACATTAAGTACAACAGAATAAAGCTATGATATGACTCAATTAATGATAAGTAAAATCAGCTGGATGCAAATATGACACCCTGATAAGACCAGTCCTGCTTGATCAATATCTCCAAACGATTCAACATTTGAGCAAGAGGTTAAAGTTTTTCACTTGTACTTCTGGTTTTTTAGGTAGACAAAATTGTTGATCAGTTTATGCAACAAATACATACATACGATTTGACTTCATTGAGGGAACTTTGGGGTCACTTAGACACAAGATTGTTTTCAAGATTGGAAAATCATTTTGTACCTGGTATTCGCAAACTAGAAAATGCAGTTCTTAAAATGTACATTGTTAATGCCATTATTAATAATAAGCCTGACAGAGTTCAAGAGTTTTTTACAAAAATGACTCCAGAGTTACAAGGACATTCCGAATGGAGAGAATGGTTTGGTAAGGATTAATAAATCCCATTGGATGATTAAAGGCAGTACAATAAAATTTGATTTGTGCTTTTAGCTCTTCCATACATAAAGAATCCAGAGGAGAATCCTTCTTTCTCTGTATATTTTAGTAGACAATGGCAAGATACAATGTTAGTTTCATTACACAACTTTTTAGCAACTATCTTCCAAGTAAGTTTAATATCACATTGTAAAAAAGAAATACCTTTTCATTCATGTTTATTTATTATAATTATGGTTTCTCAGTGTATGCCAATGCCAACACTTCTAATGATAGATGAAGATACAAATAAAATTAGAAGGCTGCAAGAAGAAAATGAAAGGCTACGACAAAGGCTTAGTGAGATTATGAAAATAGATTCAATTTTAGAAGTAAATGCAGGACCAACACCTCAACAACCTCCTTTAATGGATGATTTTTATATAATTGCCCAGTAAACATCCCTTTAACCTTACATACATATCAAATGTTACGTCTTTTTTTGTTATTAATTTTAATTCTGATCTGCAGAGAATCTCCTATAGTAGATAATCCTAAAACACTAAGAAATCTTATAAGAAATATTGGTGGAGGTTCAAGTCCAATACTTAGCCGAAAGCCCATTGGAAGTGTAAAAAAACATTCTGATGTAGATGCAAACATAACTAAAAGAGCAAATACCAAAGGCAGGCTTACCTCATTGAGTAAATCTGAGGCTGTAGCAAAAAGGAGTACAAGCTGTGATTCGAGACTGACTAGAAAAAGGGATTCTTCTGTAGATGCTAGCAGAGAGTCCAAAATTAAGGATAGATTAGATGGAAGCTACATTCTTCTAAGCCAAGTAAACAAACATTATCTTATTATAATGATTGAAATTAAAAATATATATATAATAACAATGAATTTCATTGGTATAATTTTAGGAAGAATATTCTGAACATAAAACATCCATTATTCAATGTAAGAGCAATGCCAGTGGATCATATGTCGCCACTGGAGATGCAGATGGTGTTATAAAAATTTGGACACCTATTCCATGGCCAAAGTAAGTAAAAAGAAAAAAATACGACTACTTTGAAAGTAAATATTAGACTAATTTTGAATCTTCTTACAGAACTGTAGCTACATTCACTTCTTCAACGGCAAATTCAAATAAAGCAGTGACTGCATTGGACTGGATCTCAAAAAACGAACGTTATTTCATTCACGGAGACAATAACGGGGCTATCCAACTACACGACACGCGTGACTGTAAAACCATTTGGGAGATCCAGCACGAGGGCTCGCGAATCGTTTCTCTCGTATGCAATCCTACAGACTCGAGTTTTGTGTGTTCTGTTTCTGATTCAGGTGAAGGCAAACTTTTGTTATACAACATCAAAATGAAGAGGATTGAGAGAACATTACCACTAGAGAGAAACCTCACTGCTCTCTGCTCTAGTTTTAATCACAATGGTCAACTCCTTGTGACTGGACTATCAAATGGCAACGTATTAATTCATGATCTAAGAAGAAATGAAATCATTGATAATCTCAGCTGTCATTCCAGTCCTGTAATCGATATCGAATTAACCAACGATTTTACGAATATTTGTGCATTGGGAGAAGATGGAAAATTGTGTCAGAGAAGTCTCAGCCAGACTGGCAAAGTTGTGTGGGAAACAAAAATCAAGATTGAGAAAAATTCTGTGCATGGAAAGCTTTTTACTTTTGATCAATCTGGTGCACATATGCTGCTTTGCACACAAAGCGGGGGCAATATTTATAGGGTAAGAGCACTATATGCTAAGCAAATTATACATCAAAATTGTATAAAGAATAAGCAATTTATCATTCATTTATCTTTGTTACTTGCAGATGCCACCAAGTCCACAAGCAAAAATTTTAGAATTAAGTGGACATAAAGGAACACTTTGCTGTGATTGGTCTACTGCTAATCAATCTGGCACATGTATAACTGGTGGGGCTGAGGGTAAAGCACGAGTTTCAACATTACTCTCGCCATGATATAGAAATAAAATCAATATTTGTATAAACTCTTAGTGTATAAATAGAAAGTAGGGAAACTTGACATTGTAAATACAGTTAGGTAACATGCAAATGTGTCACACAGTGAAATAGATATTTAATTTAAAATAAATATTTAAATATAAAATTTATTTGATGTTCTTACTTTTTTAAATTAACCTTCTGTTAATTGATTAAATGAAAATTTTGAATTACCTTAAATGTAATCCAGTATCTAACAAGACAAGAACTTCATATGTGGCTTTCTCAACGTCCACCGATGAAAAGGTCCTGTTATTTCTAGTTGTGGTGACCAATATCGCCTCAGTGCTTCACTAACTTCAGCTGGAGTTATTGGTTTTATCATAATTGGCTAAGATTTAAATCAAATATTTATAAGTGAACAATCAAGTTGATAATACATCTTGAGAATAAAATTGTTAATTATTTCATTACCTTAGGGTATTGATATGGTTTGTATGTGATTGGATTCGGATAACTAAGTCTTAATCTGTCAATGGAATCTCCATAAATTTTATTTTGATCCTGTCGAACCAAGAAGGCAAGATCAACTATTTGAGCAACGGTTTCGTATGCCAAATATCCTAACACTGTGTAGCCTGATTTGGTTATTGTAAATTCACCTGTATATATATTAATTTATAAATAAGAAAACTTAGCAATGAGTATTTGTAAAAAATAGCAATTTACCTGCTGAGCCAACCCAGTCACTGAACTTGTGCCTATTTTTATTTGCAAATGAAACAGCTCTAGCTTTGCTAAATTCCAAGTACCTTGCTTCGTCCATCTTTCTAGTCATTAATTCTATTCTCATTGATCTTCTATGTTTGACATGATCAACTAAATTTTTGTCATTCAACAATTCTCCAGTATTATCAATGTGATTTAAAAATTTCATGAATGGCGTCTTTGAAGTCTCATCATCTCTACTTATATCTGTAAAAGGATCTAAATCTGAATCCAACGTTTTATACATTGATGTTTTGAATTCTTTCAATTCTGAAAGTGAATATTTACATGTAAATTACAAAGAATGATTGAAAATTTTAAGATTTACAAATGTTAATGCATATTCTTACTGAGGTAATTGACCAATCGTTGCAATTTTACTTTGTCTTTCCTTAAGAGAAATAAGAAGTCCTCCGAGGAAACAAAATGACTTTCCCGCATATCTGCAACTTCGCATGCCTTTTTAACAATAGCTCGCATTTGATTTAACACAACCTCCTCGATGATTTTCGCTGTTTCCAATAAGGGCTCTGAGTGATCGCCAAAACCATGCATCATTTGCCGAATTTCTAAACATATTTGAATTTACTTTTATTCGCGTATACATAAGGGCAATCTTCTCATATAGTTTGTTTTGATTTATCATATACAGAAGAAAACAAGAAAAATAAAAACACTTACCGGCGGTGTAGTTGCGTGGCTCATTTTTGTAGTCTTGCACGTCGATGACTGGTTTCGTAAACGCTGAATCCTGCATAACGTTTGACATTCTTAGAATTCGTGCGAAATTGATTTACTGTATAACTGTATTACTGAAAATTAATAGTTTTAACAGAATTGATAAGGTAAACAGTAACCATCGCAGTGAATCAGTGGGCGCGTTCGATTTAGCGTAGCCGTACCGACCATACTGTACTGCTCATTTTCCGTATAAACCAATATACAAGGACCAAAGGATTGGGCCGAGCGTTTGGTCCGATCCCTCATTCCTTGAACATTGATTTAAGTATATACGCTGCAGGAAAAACGAACAGATTGTATGTATATGCATCATACATATTTGTAGTCTCCATGATATGTATGTAAACCCATCGGACAATAATTTTTTCAGACAGGGAATGCAGTATCAATCGATTTTTTCTAAGTTGCCAACTGCTAAATTCAAATTTCAAATAGATGTAAGGTTCGTAACCTAACTAAGAATTTGTTTTAAATTGGCGGAAATATTATGTATAAAATAAATTATGTCTGCGTGTGAATTTCAGTTTGTTTTTTCTAACTCAAATTGAATTACCGACTGTCGAGCCTCACTAGCGAGTCCAGTCGGTAACATCGGGACGAAATGCTTCTATCTTACCAACCTCAATTTTCCCACCTTTTGAGAGTTTCGTTACTCTCGTTCCCTTCTAATTACATTTTAATTTATAACCAAATATCTATTTTTATATCGCATATGATTTTGCGTCCGCGAAAATGCGAAACGAGATGCAACGGTTAGATTTAAAAAATTAATAGAAATATTTTAGTAGAAAACATTAATGACAAATTAATAAAGGTTTAAGAAAATAATAAATTACACAAATAGTACTGTATCTAAAAATTCATTTTTGTATAATTACGGAAAATGGTATGTACAAGGATTGAATTAATTTAACATTTACTTTTTATTTTTTACAATAGATTTCTTTTTTTGTTTTTTAGACTTGGGAGAATCTTCCTTCTTTTTCCCATGCTTATTCCTACTTTTATTTTCTTTTTCATTCCGCTCTGGTTTACTTTTGCGTTTCTGTAACTTCTTTTTCTTTTTGCGCTTTTCATCGTCCGAAGAATCTGTTATAAAATTGTAATAAAATAAATTATCTCATTTTTGAACATTGATAGTTAATAAAGTTAAAGATGTAAGTATTTGACCAATTTATGTACCTGAATCGGATGATGAAGAATCAGATGATGAATCGTCTGAACTAGAACTAGAACTAGAAGAGCTTGAAGAGCTTGAAGAGTTTGCTGACGGCTCTTGCCTGATTGCAATCACTGGCTCTGGGATAGGTTTAGGTCTATTTTTCAAATGTTCTCGTAAATCGTCCCTGGAAATATTATTTTTATTAGATTTTTTATACAAACAAAAAATAAAAATTTTCCAATAATACTAAGACTTGAATGCTTACGTTAGACCACCAAGACCAATAGACGTGAAAAAATTAATGGCGAAACGAGTATTTCTGGGGTCGTCCTTTGGAAAAAGTCCAGTAAATGCTTCTATCAGTTCTCTGCAAAACAAAAACACACATTAAAAATTTCAATATAATTATTTCTACATCGTTTAACAATAAAACCATTTATCGTTTTAAAAGATAACCACGTACTCATTCTTTAGTTTATCATTTAATTTGGGCAAGCCCATGTATTCGGACAGCTCTTGAAATAAAATTTTAATGAATACTCTACTCGAGCTAGTTGTATCGTCTTCATTTAGTCTTATAGTCGACAAAACTTCCCATGAAATAGAATCCGTCATAAGAAGATGAGCAAAAAATTTAGCTACATTTCGCAATCTATTAGTATCCAATCTATGGATTGTGTCGTAGGAGGTTTTAAAGATTTCTTGAAAAGGTTGTACATATATCCTGTTAATAGCACAAAAACGCTGAAACAAACCGAAACATAATGAAAATATTATATAGTCTCAAAATGCATAATATGTGAAACTGATTTATATGTTAGTTACCCCTGCCAATAATCCAAAAAATTTTTCATAGGTTCTCATCTCTGCACAGCAGTCTAAAATCATGTGGCACAGTTCAGGTTCTTGTCCTGGTTTTAGCTGCATTTTCATGAGTTTGTGAGCACATTCTTCATAGTCAAGAGAAGAATGAATAGTTAAGTAGATAGTGCGCCGAAGAGCTGTCAAATTCGTTTCTGTATTATCTATAATAACACCCTTGTCCTTAACTTCTGCTTCATCTTCATCAGAACTGTCTTCTTCATCACTACCATCTTCACCATCTGACTCTTCACTATCTGTATTTAAGATTTCTTTACTCAACTCTTTGTATTTTTCTTCAGTATTGATATAATCAGCATCAAACTTGAACACATCTGTAATAGAAATTTCATTCGTTTAGCTTGTTATATAAATATTATAATTATCAAATATTCATATCTTAATATAACTTACTCAATATTTCATTGCCATCCAGTTGTTCATCTATTGATACTACGTGAGTAATTTGATCTTCTTCTTCCACAAGATCAAGCTCTTTTGGTATAGATATGTGATCCTTAAATCCATCTTTACGTACTTGGAACATAACTTCAATCATGTATTGAACCTAAATAATTATTGAATGTGAATAGATTGCAATAATTTTATAAAAAATTTGAAAAAATGGTGGTTAGTCCATTACCCTTTTGTCTAATTGTCCTTCATGCAGAATATTTCTCAACATCTCAAATATAGAAACAATGCCTTTTTGGCAAATTTGAGTAAGTTTCATTCCACACTCTTTTAAAATTGCGATAGCCACTTCGATAGAATCTTCTGTAGCATTCTCCGTCAGTAATGTCAATATTTCAAGAGGCAAAATTTCATGAGCAACAGATTGGTTGCATAAATGAGCAATAAATGTACCAGATGAAATACATAGAACCTTGTCATTTCTGCGAAAGCCTCTTTTAAACTGAATTGCCAAACGTTTAAGCAACATTTCTCCAATATTAGGAAATTTAGAATTGAGTACTGCAACTAAAGCAGCATAGACAGGAGTAAAAGTAGGAGATGCTGCTTGAGCTTGGATAATAGATCTGCACAAAAGTCCTCTACCTCTGACAATATTCTCTTTTAACAAGTCTCTTGTGATTGGACCAATATTACTAGTATTTACTTTGTTTATATAACCATGAATACTTTTCTTGAGTGCTTCCCATGCAATACGTTGAAAAGCAGCACCACTTTTGTCTTGAATTTCAGCTTGCATCATACGCAACTTGGCAGGTGGTATGTAAGCACCTCCAGTCTTTGAAGTAAGTAGGTCAACAGTTTTTCTTTGCTTTGGAGGAATGATTTCTGGATTTTCAGCATTTCCATTTCCATTTTTATTACCATCATTTTCTTTTGAGTTCCTATGCTCATTCTTATCCATATTTTTTTTTAATTCTGTGCCGTAATAAGACTGCTTGCTAATTTCACCATGCCTCTCTTCGCTTCTTTGTCTGTACTCTTCTCTGCTTCTGCCTCGACCTCTGTCTTCTTTATGACTATCCCAATATCTAACACGATCCCGACTCCTGTCTCTCCTTCTGTCTCTACTTCGATCCCGAATTCTGTCTCTGTACCTGCTTCTATCAGAGTAATCACGATTCCTATCCCGGTCATTACGTTTCTCGCGCTTTCGGCTGCTGCTGCGGCTTCTACTCCTACTTCTGCTACTACTGCTCTCACTTTTCTTTCTGGGCTTACTCCTAATTGAAATTAATACATAATATTAATTCATTTTTATTAAACATATAAAATTTAAATTAGCAATTATAATTGTATGAGTTTCTAATTGTAAATGAATAAAATGTTAATCAATCTGGATAACCTCTAAGCTCAACGAAAACGATTTATGGGCGATGAAAAATTATTTTTCGCATACCTTTTCTTAAGGCTGTCATTTTCCTCTTTGTCGCTGTCAACTTCACGATTACGTTTTGATTTATTTTTCGCGTCTTCTTCCTCCGATAAAGAATTATCGGGTCCTCGATTTTTCTCGCTGGTACTCATATTGGCTAGAAAATATAATAAAACTATATCTATATTTTTTGTTTAGTATTTTGGTGACGATTAGGTTATGTTTACGCGTTAGATGCGTCGTTCGTCCATGAATGTGATGTGTAAAGTGTATAAACGTTGGGAATTACACGCGGTATAAGACTGCGCACTGCGCAGCTATAGTTTCAGTTTCAGTTTACTAGATGGCGGTGGGTCTCTAAGCTGAGACTCCGCCTCCGGGCCCTCCGGTACCGGTATTCAGTTTAGTTCAGTTTACTAGATGGCGGTGGAAGATTTATCTTTAGTAGATTCTGTGGCTATTATAAGAGCTCGTTTATGGTAAATGAGTCATTTAGCTAGGTTTTCTGTGTAAATTGAGTTTTGTTCGTCAGAGGTTTGAAAAGAGTAATTTTGTTCGTGGAAGCGAGGGTATAGGTTTAGATCATCACAGTGTTCTTATGCAAATTTTTTTGAGTTTTCAGTTAAAGTCATGTTATTGGAGTAAGATTTTGTTTGTTTTATTCTAACGTTTTTAAAACAATGATAGGTATCCCACATTTTTTAATGTCTGTTGATGTTGAAAAGTTTTCTTCAATGTGTTGATGGAATTTGTTAGTTTTAATTTTTCTTACAGAATGTTTTACGTTTTTTTCGATGGTTTTAAGTTTTTTTAAATTAAAGTAAGAGGGATTTTTAAGTAATTCATTACCTGCTTGTCGTCGTATTTTTGTTAATTGAGAGCAATTATCCCATCAAGTAGCTTTAAGGGGTCTAACTTTGAAATTTTTTCGGATGTTAGGTTCGTGAGGTTTATAAAACTTTGTGATATGAGGGGGGGGGGGGGGGGGAGGGGGTGCAAGTATGAAGAATTATTAGTTGAAAAAATAATAATAATAATTCTGGAGATAGTCTTTGTCTCTGAATTTCCGATGTTCAAATATTTCATAGATTAGAAAGAATTTCTTATTTAACAAACAACCGTTACTAACGCGGTTATTTGTTAAACAACTACTAACTACTAAAATCCCCTCGCTAAATACCTTCGCTTTGTTCAGGCGTAAACGCCACACGAGACAAGAATCTATTTTCCCGCACTTGTAATGTACTATTTTTCAAACGGCTGGTTAACAATGTTCGGGACCGATTTCAGATTTTGGATGACCATATGTTGTTACACACATTGTCAGCTATCCACAGTAAAAATTTTGTGCTTTCCGGAAAAATGTACGCGAAACGCTCTTTTTCGGGCTCTATTGCCTGGACTCTGAAACCCTCCCGAATTTTTAGAAGCACCGATCTTTGAGACAACAAATACCGAATCAACAGAACTTTTTCGACTTAGATATAAACTACTTTATTTAATGTTCACGTTTTTCGACTTAGGTCCACGAGATTCTAACTAATTCTAATTTCAAGAAGAAACCATTCATGACCGCCACAGCGGATCGGATCGAAACGATCCCGGTATAAAGAAACGATCGCATACAGCAATGCGCGACGGCGAGCTGTGATAACAAAATTTTATAAAATGCTTTTGAAGATACGACTTGCAAGGAGCTTTTTATTAACCCAACTACCGGTCTCTCGCGTAAAAAATATTTGCAGGAATTGATCATCACGCGCGTAGGCAAAGTCCCGCTGTCGTCGTCATCGTCGATGTTCGACAACCAAGCCTCTTGAAGCAAGGCGATTGTTTGAAAAAGTAATGGTATCGATAGCTTGTGGTTACTCAGCGAATCAAGTGGATGATCGTACATTGGCAAAAATGCAATGAAACCATTCCTATCGATGGCATTCGTCTGTCTACTATTCTCATACAGTAAACGGATATACCGATAAGCTTTAGGAGGAAACGAGCTCATCTACCATCGCGTAACACGACTCCCGCATTTGCTGATATCTACCCTATTTACCCGGATAACCGTTAAACATGTAATATGGCATGATCTGATGTCGGTACTGGTGGTCGCTAATTTGATGATTTATGGTGTCATAAAATTAAACGTACGCGACGTTCGTATCGCGAATATTAGAACCGTACGCGTGCCCGTATTTCTTCATCCAAAATACAGGTGCCTTCGTCAGCTGATGAGATATACATAACAAATTCGGTAAGCTATCTAAATCTAATAAATAGACGGAATTCGGCGGAGATTTTATAGACACACCGTAATGTACTTGTGTCAAAAAGTATAAATGAATATACCGCCTTTTGATCAACCTATAATACATTCGCAAACCTGACGGTATATCCACTCGAGCCCCGTGAATACATTTATAATAAAAAATAAACACGATGCTATTGAAAGACCTAACAAATTCGGCGCTGTGTCGGTCTACCGTTTCACTAAAATTGCAGTTGTCCCGCTCAAAAACTACTATTTTTGACAATTTTTAATAAATTTTTTCTTTCGCGTACTACATTGCAGTTTCCATACGAAGCGATATTTCAGCCAATACCATTTTTAATACGTGCTCCGTATACAGTTTTCCGAAATTTCCCTTCCCGAGATGTCCTTTAACAGCGAATAATACAAAAATACCCTCCTCGTTACATTCCGCGATCTTACATTCGGCCAAAAAAACATCCGTATTAGTTACGCGCAAACTCGGCAACATATTTTCGAGAGTCCGCGATATCTTTAGTAATACTTAGTATTATTGCAAAGAAACAAGGCAACAAAATTGAACCCTTACTTGTTTTAATTGCACCCCTCTTACTTTTTCAAAATTATTAATAAACATGTCAAAAACAACAATCTAATTTTATTGTATGTTCTTTCCAAATAGATTATTGGGTTATTAGGCTATTTGGAAAGAACAATCTAATTTTATTGTATGTTCTTTCCAAATAGATTATTAGGTTATTGGGTTATTTGGAAAGAACAAATAACTTAATAATCCAATAATCTATTTGGAAAAAACATACAATAAAATTAGATTGTTGTTACAATAAAATTAGAGTGGCGCAGTACAACGACGTGCGGATGCTCGCCCGCGTCGGGGGCCGTGAGCGTCACAAACAGGGCAAGCCTGCTTGGAAAGAGCGACTGACGCTTGGCTGAGCGGACGATACGTTCGGGTTGACAACGGACAGCAGTTCGATTGACACTGACTTTACGTATTGCGATGGGTGACCTTATATAGGCCGCCAGGCCGGAGTGTGATCGTATGAGCCGCTTAGGGATGACCAGACTAACTGGATAGATAATAAATATACAAAATTTATTATTTTTTATTTTTATAAAAATAAAAATAATGGATGGCCAGATAGGCCATTATCCTCCTAAGCCTCGCCTCCTAATCCGGCTAATTCAAACCGGAGACGCCTCTCCCGCCGCTGATCCAGGCCCGAAGGTGGCGGCAGACTTGTGAATCTGACGCCCAAAAAAATTTTTTAATCATATTTTTGAGTTTTCATGAGCTAAAACGTTTTCTCCCTTTTTCCGGATTATGTCTCCGCTTGAAATTTTATTTCCGGATTTTCCGTTTTTAAGAAAATTGCGAAAAAAAATCGGGCGTTCGTACAGCGCGCAAAATGTATTAAACATTTTTCTCCTGTTTAAAAAGAAATAATATCAATAGCGGACGATAGCTCCTTATTACCGGATTACGAAACAATTTTCCTTTTGTCGATTTTCTATCAAAAATTGAGGAAAATGTAAAAATTAGTAATATGCGGCAGTTAGTCGATAAAACAGGTAAAACGTTTGCTAATCACCAGATATCCCTATATGAGTTCTACATTGCGTAATTATAATAATAAGTAATTTAAATTCTACTTAATTAACCATTCACATTTTATGTACATATACATAAATAATTTTTTCTAAGGTTTTCTATAAGTTTGTCAACATGTCAATTTTATAATTAATATTTTAATTATATAAAATAACATAATTCTAAACAAAGTAATAAAAAAATTGAATTGACTAGTTAAAATTGAAAAAAACAATCATTGATCAAAAACTTATAGCTTAGTTTTATATTTGTTGAATTATTTAATAACGAACTTAATTTTACTTCCATTCTTCTTAACAATATAAAGTAATAATCCATTGTAGCATATTATAAAAATACTTCAATATACAGGTCAGGTTAAAATAAACTATATTTGTTTTGTCAAAAATATATTTGTTTCAACGTAGCAACACTTTTGCTAATTTTGTGGATAATGATTACGATTAGGTATTTGCATAAAAAAATATAAATAATCCAACCTTATTGTTTTATAGTTTTTAATATATTTTATAATACGACATATTGTTCACAATGTTTATCAATAAATATTGTATATATAACATAAGCAAGGAAAAATAAATTATATATTTTTGACAAAACAAATATAGTTTATTTTAACCTGACCTGTATATTGAAGTATTTTTATAATATGCTACAATGGATTATTACTTTATATTGTTAAGATGAATGGAAGTAAAATTAAGTTCGTTATTAAATAATTCAACAAATATAAAACTAAGCTATAAATTTTTGATCAATGATTGTTTTTTTCAATTTTAACTAGTCAATTCAATTTTTTTATTACTTTGTTTAGAATTATGTTATTTTGTATAATTAAAATATTAATTATAAAATTGACATGTTGACAAACTTATAGAAAACCTTAAAAAAAATTATTTATGTATATGTACATAAAATGTGAATGGTTAATTGAGTAGAATTTAAATTACTTATTATTATAATTACGCAATGTAGAACTCATATAGGGATATCTGGTGATTAGCAAACGTTTTACCTGTTTTATCGACTAACTGCCGCATATTACTAATTTTTACATTTTCCTTAATTTTTGATAGAAAATCGACAAAAGGAAAATTGTTTCGTAATCCGGGAATAAGGAGCTATCATCCGCTATCGATATTATTTCTTTTTAAACAGGAGAAAAATGTTTAATGCATTTTGCGCGCTGTACGAACACCCGATTTTTTTTCGCAATTTTCTTAAAAACGGAAAATCCGGCAATAAAATTTCAAGCGGAGACATAATTCGGAAAAAGGGAGAAAACGTTTTAGCTCATGAAAACTTAAAAATATGATTAAAAAATTTTTTTGGGCGTCAGATTCACAAGTCTGGTGGCGGCACCAACCGGGGCTCGACCGCCACACATTTTGCCGGCTAGGGTAAGGGGTGTGCCACGGACGTAGATAGTAATGAGCGATTTTAATCGATGTTTAATAATCGTCCTATTATTTTCATACATGATCGATTATCGAATCGATTATTTGAGCCACCGATTAATCGTAGCTCGATTCATTTTTAACTCGCAATTGAAATCGAAGTAAAATTGCGCGTGCGCGATAAAAATTATTTTGAAATTTTTAGTTACGGAAAACTAGTCGATTAAATCCCAACCCACCCCGGTGACATTGAAAAATCAAAGATATTCAATCAATTGGTAGAAATATTCGTATAATTATGAATAATTATTTCATTTCTAAGTAAAATGGAAAATATTGAATTGAAAATGTTTTGGCTTTACTATAGGCGTGAGTGTATGAGTAGTTGCCCTAATACAGTCGTTTATTATGAATACATTAATAAGACTGAACGTCATTTGTTTTATTCTATCTTTATCACGCGTACTACACGTGAAATGCAAAAAGTTTTTAATTTAAAGGTTTTCAAAGTATTAAAGGTAATTCAAGTCGTTTAATTCATAGTACTTAATTCGAATAAATCCATCATCATGACGCACACATCCTGGCGGGAAGTTATCTGGTGTGACAGAATTAGATTTCAATAATGCCGATGAAGCAGAAATACATAATCAAATTTTTATTTTAATAGAAGAAGGCCAAGAAAAGTTTGGAAATATGAAAAATTTATTGTAATTAATTGGGTCCATGATCAATTTCATTATTGTAGAGTAGAACATTGAAAATAATAATAGTTGGATTCGATAAATTTCGTTATTTAATAAATAATGGATAAATTATAATTATTTAAATGTTTCAGACAATTAATCGATTATCCGATTGTTTTCGATTATTTTAGCTGATCAATCGATTAGTCAATAGTTATAGAGTTTGATAATCGATTGTGTTCGATCGATTACTTTTGTGATAATCGCCCATCACTAGACGTAGCTGATCTCGCAGAAACCCCGCCTCCGGTATGCCAAAACTCATGCGTTGACTGCGCAGGTATAAGGCTGGATCTACAATATCGTGCAAAACATCATGTTAACATGTGGGGCCGGTCACACAACCTTCTTTCAATTTTTCAGGCAAGTGTTGCCTTAAAGAATGAAAAAAGAATTTTTTTAACCTAAACTGTTGCCTTAAAATATTTACTGTACGGAGGACACAGGTATTTATTTATACGATTGTAAATACCTGCGTCCTCCGTACAGTAAATATTTTAAGGCAACAGTTTAGGCAGAGCCGAGTTTAGACCTTTCCCGACCCCTGGGCCAAAAAGACGGGGCCTGGTTACGAGGCCCTGTTCGCGAGGCCTGGTTTCCACGGCGGGGCCCCGGCCTGGGCCCAGGTAGGCCCATGCCTAAACTCGGCTCTGAGTTTAGGTTGAAAAAATTCTTTTCTCATTCTTTAAGGCGACACTTGCCTGAAAAATTGAAAGAAGGTTGTGTGACCAGCCCCACATGTTAACATGATGTTTTGCACGATATTGTAGATCCAGGGTAAAGAAGGAGAATGCGCAGAAGCGGGAAATTTTTAAAAAGTGATTTGAGAAAATTAACGTGAGGATATTAATGTTGATAATTTTATTCTAGATGATACATGAAAAATAAAACTACACAGTTAATAATAAATTATTAATGAATAATTTATACGGAAGGTTACTTTTTTAAGTAAAACAATTTAAAAACTTACTGTGAAAATTCATTATTATTTATAAGCATTTGTAAAAATATCGTTTATAATAATAAATATCAATAAATGTTAAATAAATATAATAATATTTGAAACACCGATCAATTATAGCTTTTGCGATTTCTTAAATCATTACAATAATGAATTAAATAATTTTGCATCATTAAATATTTGTAGAATACTGTCAACATAATACTTTCAAAAAATTTAAAAAAAATGCATCTCTAAAGAATATCGAGGATACATGATTAGACTTTTCTCACTTTCACATAAAATCCATTTTTTCTTTACAACGTATCATCCGTCGAACCGTTTCGCTTAGCAAAGTTTAACGCACAAGTATTTGTCACGTATATTCCTAATTGCTGATCTCCTGGCATACCAGTATCGATGATGCAACAATTCGCAGATCAAGATAACGATGGCGAGGCCGACGCCACTGAAGTATATCGTAATGAGCGGTACGATACCGTAAAAACTCACCGGCAAGTAGATCATCTTCGTGGGACTGATTTTGGGCAGATGTCGGTTTCTCAGCACTTGTATTATGCCGTACGAGCGAAAGTGCTCGATGCTGGATAGGAAGAGTGGACGCTTGCTTTACGCGAAAAGCATGTGTTTTATGAAACAATCTGTACTTACTAAAAGTCAAAAATCTCTCTGAATTGACTCCTCTTGGTTAGAGGAAACGCGATGCTCTCGAGCCGACCAAGGCTTATGGCCACCAATGGACAGGGCATTTTGTTGCGCAATTTCTCAATAAACAGCTCATTGCTGATAAGGACGACTTTCTCCTGGCAGACTTGATCTATCGCCTCGACCATGGTTTTTGGCAAATCCTCGTCCCTATTCAACCGTCTTCGCAATAACTTTGCTCGGCGACTTTCTGCTCGCTGTAACGTTCGTTGCTCGTTCAATCGGCAAAAAGTTAGATTTTACAAAACCAAGATTAATCGCACCTCAAGGATGTCGTGATAAACGCTTCCTCGAACGACGGAGAGATTGTAAGCGGCGTTTAACAAGAATTCCGGTTCGGAGTTGAACGGTAAGCTCGGAACGAAGAGAGCAAGGTAACTAGTCAGAGTGGCCGAGTAACTACTGTAGATGACCATCGACGTGATCATGATGGACATGAAGGCTATTCTCAATGACGAAGCCGTTGGAAATCCTGCGAGACAGACGCGTTAATCGGCGATTGACAATTCAACTGAAATGGCGTGCCATTACCTGGGAATCCTTGCTGACACTGAATTCCCCAGACGTAAAACCAGGTGTCTACGGCGACTGTCAATACCTGCTTCTGCTCAACTTTCGCTGCCATCAGGGATATCACGACTGAGCACACGATCGCTAATACCAAAGTGAACTTCCAGATTCTCGTGTCGAAGACCTGCGAAAATTGGGAGTTTGAATCTATCTTTCGCAGAATTGCCCGCGAGGGAAACTGTGATCTCACTCACTTGCACGTAAGTCGACCACATGATAGCCGACATGTTCGGCTCCTTCAGGTACAAGTTGGCCCAGGTCAGCAGCAACGGCACCGTGAAATCGACCACCTTGAGTCGTTCGTTGCTCTGCCCGAACTCGGCCACGCCGACATCGACATCCTTGTCGACCAGACGACCTATCACGCCCGACCACGTGCCGCTGTCCGGCTCGAAGCTGCCATACATGTCCTCGATGCTGATCAGCTCGAACGTAAAATTCATAGCCAGAGCGAGTTCGCGCAGCACGGCACCGAAGAGGCCGTGCAACGAGCTGCGTTTGCGCTTCGACTCCGTCGCTGTGTACACGGACTCCTGCGAGTCGCGTTCGCCCAGGAAAAAATCACGCTTGGGCTTGATCGAACGAGCATGCGAATTCGTACCTTCACCGCAGCGATACGCAAAGAGATGCCGTCCAAACTGCTCCTCCTCTCCCACAGCGATTTATTTGTGACTCGCCTCCATCCGCTCTCCACCGACCAGCTGGCCAGATCGACGACTCTAACCGCGTCCTTCCCCAGCGCATACCATTCTCGAACCGTCGGGTCGTTCTCGCACTTGACCAGCATCCTCGTGTCGAAGCTGACGTTGAAGAGATTCCGATCGGGCCTGGCGCAGTATTTCAGCAGCTCTCTGCTCTTGTAGATGAACACTAGCCAGAGATTCAGCGACATTTTGAAGTCGCTGGCGAACTTGACGAACTCCGTCATGTCCAGCTGCGTCTTCAGCGTGATAATGTACAAGGACCGGAGGGTGCGCTGCTGGTAGTACTCCGCGTAGCGCTTCACCTTGCTCATCTTCGTGCTGTGCACGAGGACGTCGCTGCGCGAGAAGCGCAGGGACAGACGCAGCATCGTCGACATGATCTCCCTGTCTGCGCAGTCGAATCGGGAAGATGCGTGAATTGAAGTGACACGGCCAAGCGATTGTCGTCTCGCGTCTCACCCGAGTTCTTGTCGTTGTAGACGTTGAAAATGCTCGACGCTCCGTAGAACCTCCTCACCTCGACCGCCAGCCTCGCGTGGCTCCACATTTGCTCGTCGCTCATGGCCACACAGGTTTGGATCGCACGGAATAATGTTACCACTAGAAAGCACTGCGCTCCCGACGGCATGTTCGACTGACGGCTGCGTGCAGCTTTTCAGCGACGCTTCAGGAACACGATTACACCGAAAGCCTCAAACTGCTATATCAACGTCAATGTGACAGTTGCAAATGCTGATATTGAAGCGCAGGGATTGTCTTTCTCGGGGGTCAGACTGATGCGATCGACTCTGCCGATTTTCTCGATCAATAGTCGATTGGTCGAAACACGCGGCTTCTCCTCCTCGATATTTTTCGCGACACTGGCCAAGTATAAAAAACAAGACTGAATACTCGTGGAAAATTCGTGGATTCGGAGCAATCGATTCTGGCCGATGCTCAAAGATTAGAAAAGTGCTGACCAGTCTCAAAAGGCGATACGTCTTGCCTTCGCTGTCGTTCAATACGACTAACATCCGAAGAGCGATAGAAGCCACATTTAATAGTACTGTTCACTCACTCGTCCCACAGTGGTGAATATGTATATCGTGCAACAGCTATTTATTGTATCTCAACAGTTTGCCCGTGTCGTATAAAATGGAATCCTCCGCCCGCTAAAACCACCGGAAAATCGCGCAGAGCAAGGCCATTAAGACGAGGGAGCGCAAGAAATCCGCACCGTAAAGAGATGTTGATCAGAATAGCGTCGCGTGACGATAATGAGCTTATAGGTGGCATATCGCCCTCGGAACGTTTCGAAGGGCAGACTCGGTCTGAAGAGAACGAGATAGTCGGTGAGATAGGCCGAGTATTGAGCGAGGGATAGCGCGACGACGACGCTGTCGAAAAATCCGCTTGTAATGTTACTCTTTCGCGCGTCTTTCTCGCCTCTCTTCTCGGTGACGAGCAGCGCGGCTGACACAAACGCCTCGTGGTTAACCGTATCCAGTCTGCTGCTACTGATATGCTGTCGCGCTTTAATCGCTTGGTGGGTCATTTGAAATCCTAATATCGTGATAATTAATTTGTCGTTATCTTTCTCGCGCGAAGCTCATAGACTCAATGAGATTTTCAATCGGCTCGTTTCAGTTTTGACACATTTCAGAAACGAAATATCATCGGCAGGCAAATCGCGCGTCTAACGTGTCATTTTGGAAAAATCACCTCGTAGTGGTTTTTGACAATAAATGTCCCATGCGTATAAATACTCATGAACCAAATGATAGATCGAATCGTGACCCTTGATTACTTTCCATACAGTGGTTAGAATTATCGAGCTGACGATCGGTATCATGATCATTATCGGTCAAATGCCTTTGTGAAACGCCTAAAATACACAGCAAACCATGCCCATGAATAACAATCGACAAAAAATCGACGATATTATGCAATTTCACCTTGCAAGACCGTTGGATTCTGTGCATGTTCTTTAACTTGACGTAATAATCTGCCGATTCAAGGTATAATGCTCGAATGCTATAATGCTATATTTATATAGCTGTTTAAACACGTATCAGTTCGCAAAGCCAGTCTTTGCACATAATAACAGCTTTCGGTATGATTTATCTTCCGAACGAAAGTTGGCGCAAATATTGACACATAGCAAGCCGACAAATCGACGTTACTCGTTTCTGGTCGTTTCAACATAGAAATATAGCCGATACTAAGGTCGATCTTGCCGTTCACCTATCATCCCGTTCGAGCCATGAAGGGATGAGTTGGAACTGCCGTACGTTGACTCGTTCGAGTCGAACTCCATCGCGAGGTTCAGCACTTGGATAATTATACCGAAGAGACCGACTAAAAGTGTTATTATTTGCGTCTCAATCGACAAATCATCCAGCCGAAGAAGCAGAAGATCGCGAGGGGAAATTTTCCATCGACGCATACCGTCGCCAGTCGAAACTTCTAAACGTAGACCCCTGAAATTGCTCATCCTCTCGGCAAACTGATCCGCCGTGACTCCCACGATGCGCCCTCCTTCGTGCGCCATATGCCTCGCAAACGAAGACATGATGGACCTACGTTCCGTTCACGGAATGCCATTATCTCGAAATTGACGAGCATCCTCGAGCCGATCACCAGACTGAACAAACGTTTCCACGAGATGTCGATGGCGGTATATTCTTTGAACGCGCGCGTTTCGATGAATCGACGCAGGTCGTGCACGCGCTTTTCGGCATTATCGCGTAAAGCTGGGCGGCATTGCCTTTGTGATACTGGACTTCCTCGTGCAACCTATGGCCTTGAAGTCGATGTTTTGAAACAGCATGGACACTGCTCTGCTGGAAATTCCCACGACGCTGTGGCCGTCAGTACCATTAACACCAGATCTGAAAGAATCGTCGGCTGTCGTTAACCAAGACGATCTACGACGATTCACGAGACCCTATATTCGTAGAAAACCGCGTCGACGATGGAGAGACTCGGCAAGTCGAATAAATGTTGAACCGACGCAACGCGATTACATACACCATCGAGCCTGCCTTGAAATCCCATGACGACGAGCATCAAGCAATCGACAAATAAAAGCACTTTCGACGATGGGCCAGTAATTTTCGAGTGACACGGCTTACCTACAATACAATCGAACTGTTAGATAAGTTTCTTTACACGAATCTAGAATTATTGATGATTGTAGAGGCAAAGTTCTCACCTGCGTTTCCTAAACGCACAATTGTGAGTAGGCGTTATTTTTCGATTTTTTCCGTCTGTCGTTCTATCGCGCTTTCAATCTTCTTTATTTATTAATGTTTTTCACATAAAAGCGGGATATATGTGAGGCAAAGGACATGGGATCGATATGAATAACCTCCGAGACTTTTTGGACGACTTGTCGTTACTCGAATTAAATAATACTTTTTAGAAGGACATGCATTTCGAATTGTAGTTAAAGATGAGCTACTCGAGTACATTATGTTGAAGAGACATCATCCTCGAAAAACATTGTAACTTTTCTCTAATACTAATAATTTTGGGAATATCTAAAACAATCAATACAATATTTGTCGTAAAAATGATACGTTTTGAAATATATGAGCAGCACTTACTAGTCTTAATATTTTCTCAGTGATTTACTTGACTCCACTTTATTGGTATCCAAATTGGATTGAAAAGCAATTATAACTTTTGATGAAATTTTATTGCTATTAAATTTACGTGAAAGGCCTCAGTCAACGAAGGAATCAATTTAAAAATTAGAATCGGATGTAAAAATTTGGAATTTATTTGGCGCGGTTATAACGTATTTACAACGCATCGAACAAAAGTATATAGTTGCAATATAAATAAGTTACATGTAGAATTTACTGCTTCACTAATGCGATCTAATGACACCTTGCGCCGTAGCAAACATAAAAAATCTTTCAAGCCGCATTTAAACATAACGTGTTTCTAAAATATTGATCAATTGGATAGCTTTTATGTTTGTTAGAACTTTTAAAAGAAAATTCCAGGGTTTTTGAGGTCAAGGTAAATTGCAAGGCTGTGACAACGAAAGATAACTACATGATAAGAGAGTGTTCATACCTATACTGTCATCTTACATTTCATCGCGATAACGTGTGACTTAGCACATTATAATCAACACGTATATGTATATTCATATTTTATGGTACAAGATATTAGTATGGATTACGGATAATTTTGATAGATATATGAACTACTCTTTTGAGGCCCAAAGCGCTACATAAAATGGTAGCAATTCTTCAGAATTTGCAAAATCCTATAAGCACGTATCTTCTAAAAACTGTTTAATTTTAATAAAAACAATTGCCAAATTAATTTCATGCCTTTGATCAGAAGCAATTAATTCACAGAAATAGTTGGAATAATCATTATGCATTCATTAATCAATTGTGCTGCCTTTTTACCTCATATTTGTAGAAAATTTAGTTTTAAGTTTTTACATTTGAAATTTAGTTTTTCCATAAATTTTCATTACCTATTATAACAATCTAATCATATATGATCTTTTCGCGCGAGTGAAATTCACTCTGGTACAAATCAAACTGAAAAGGACTTTACCATTGCGAAAAATGCTATTAGCTTGTTAAAAAATAAAGTAATTTCAGCAACAAAATTTACAAAATTAATAATGTATATTGAATATCTTTATTGAAACACCAAAAAATTGAATAATATATTTCTACTCACACTACAGCTACTCTTAAAATATTTAAAAATCATAATGACTGATTTTTTAAATTCATGTTAGATCTTTTCTTATTTTCCTTTGGATGTCTAATTAGAGGGGTCCAGTAGTTAGTTCGCGATACCGAAAAGTCGTGCCGAAGGTTGGGACAAAAATAAAAAAATATTTTTTCAATAACGAAAACCACAAGAGATGAAAATAATCCTGCTATTAAAATGAAAAAAATCAATTTAACACTTGGAAATGAAATAGCTTGATATTTCGATGATTCCGTACTGTACTGTCGTGAATTTCGATTGTGTATACGTTGAAGAATTCCAGAACTTTGTAACTTCTGAATCCTAAAACAAGAAATGAATTCTTTTAAATTATAGGACTATTTTCTTGGTTTACGAAACTTACCAAAAATTGAAAAATTTTACATAAGGACTGTTTTTTACGAATGCAATAGATACACTGGAAAGATAGCTTTCATCAAACGGCACAATCCGACAAGGAATGGGAGCTCTTTCAGGATGCTTACAGTATGTGTCGTCGAACAGTGCCAATTTTTCATCATCACAGAGCTTATATATTTATAAAAATCGTTACGGTATTACATTACATCGTTTCTTTAGAATAAAAAAAGCGCTTTTACCTGCTGCAGTGCCATTTCCGTAGATTTTGGGAATTTTTTTTGATCAAGCAGCATATTCTTTTCTCTTAATTTATTAAAATTTTCATCTTTTGTATCCTTGAATCACTCATTATTAAGCACATCGTTGCCTCGAAAAAAAATGAATAACAAATAAATAAAACTTACCTCTATCTGTTCTAATAGGCTAGTACCATCGACAGCCATCAGCTTATAAGTACCATCTTGTATAAAGTCCTTGACGGAGTAAAATGGCAAGTCCGATTTAAAATTGGTTAAAGAACTCGTAAGATTGGCTGAATATATTGATGACAGTAGCAATGACAAAATATATAAGGACAGATAGGCCAGGCGCAATGATGAAATCTTTGTCATCTCTGTGAAATTTATCGAGAAAATAAAAAATGTATTACGTTAATGACATAAACTTATTAACATGTATTATAGTCAATCAAACGTTACTCGTTAATGGCATTTTGCATAAAATGCCCCAAACAAGAATGAAATTTTCATGCAATGTTTTGACAACTCTCCACGGGTCTCTTTTGTAAAAACGTGCCTCGCGATGTTTATATAACATACACGTGATTACGAACGGAGCTAAGAAATATATAGAAGTGAGTACGTATGACGCTCGTTTGCCAAATGACTGAAATAAAATATTAAAATAGTTCTGAATCATGTTGATAAGAACCCGACAAGTAAATTTGATCTCACCTTATAATAAATTGATTTTGGCAAGACTTGGTCTAATTTTTTAACAAAATAACAACAGCGAAGGGATTGTAATGGGATCGCAAAATCGACATCGTCGAGGCGCTTAGTGGTTATGGTAATGAAACCCAATCCTACGTCACTTTTATTATTAACTAACTGTCCTATTAATCCATTCCATTGTCCAGTCATATTATTGTATATTCCGTATACATCTTGCGGCTCTTGAAGCTGAATAGTAAAATTAGCAAACTGAGACGTAATATTTAGAAGCTCACGAAAGAATCCTGGCAGGGTTTTATTTCCTTCATAAACTTCGTCCTAAACAATGGCGAATGAAAATTCTAGATAATGAGTGTAATGCAATCTTGTATCGTAAAGCGAACATACCTTTACATAAGTCACACGCAAAGTTATCCCTTTCAAAGACGGCCTTCGCTCGTACATATGTTTACTACTCAATAATTGGAACCCCTTCTTGTTGGACCACGTTGCATAGTCGAACGTTTCAATTTTATCAGAAAATAAAGAGTACCATTCTCTTATAGGTATATCTTCATTGACACATGTAACTAGCATATTCGAGTAAAAAGCTAATTTAAAATAATTATGTTTTGGACTTTTGCATATTTCCATTAAAGTTTTATTAGAGCTTCTAAATATCAGCATCGTGGCTGAAAACGATTTCGTGCTCTGATTATGTGCAACGTCAATGAGACCGTTGAAATCATTGAAAGATTCAATAAATATCACAAATGAAGTAAAGACCAAATGTTTCTTGTAATAGTTCATAGTTTTAGAAAGATTATTAATAGTTGTAAACATTGAAGGGACATTTCTACGCGACAAATATTTGGTTAATTTTACAGGTACAGTTTTGTAAGAGAAACCTATAGAAAAACGATATAAATTAAAAGTTAGGTGACGTTAAAATTTACAATTTTTAACACTCACCAGTAACTATCTTACTCATGGCAATAACTACACTGCTAGTGTTATATCGTTTTTGGACACTGATGATGAATTTTACAATATCTTCACTGTATTCGTCAATATAAAACGTGTCAATTACCAAAAAATACAAGCTATAAATAAATACACTGTATATAATTTTCATGTTCCCTTCTTTATTTGTATATTGTGTGAGGAAAACTAAACCAAAAAGTAATTTTCCGCTGCTTTGCGACTGAAATTTTATTTTTAATCAATAGTTTTACTGTTGGATCATAATTATATATATTAGAATATGAATCACCTTAAAATTGAATTCATGTCGTACATTATATGCCTACATTACTGAAATTAAAGTAAAAAAAAGTATGCAATTTATTGCGATTACAATTGTAACACATTTACAACTGTGAATATTTATTTAGAATAAATACAAAGATATATCAGTAACCAGCTTAATTATTTTATTTTCATAAGTTGATGAATTTTTTAATTACTAAAATTGATAGCCAATAAATAGTTGATATCCTCTGAGAATTATTTTTGCTACTTTTTCATGATTTATATTAATTGTACTAGGGTCGTTTGAAAAATCCGTGTAAATTAAGTCAGAGAAATGTCACTACTGAAGCGTAACGAGGTTATTTTCAGTTAGTAACATATCTTGGAAGAGCACATACCAAATTTTAGCCCGATCGGTCTATTAATTTGTGTTTAAGATTCATTTGATTTAAAGAAATCGAATGGTTGTACAAAAATGGAAGAAAAAGAATTTCGTATGTTGATTAAACATTACTTTATTGAAGATAAAACGTCTCAGAAGAAAACAGCAGCTTAATAAACATTATGGTGATTGTGCGCCTTCGATTAGAATGGTTTATAAGTAGTTTCAAAATTTTCAGAGTAACCGTATGAGTACAAAAGACGCTGAACGTTCTGGATGCCCTGTTGAGATCACCACTCCAGAAATCCAGAGTCAAGCTGCATGAGATTGCTAGTTCTGTAGGTATCTCGAGCGAACGGGTACATAATATTTTGCACCAATATTTGGATATGAAAAAGCTATCTACTAAGAGGGTGCTGTGATGGCTCACGATTGACTAAAAACGAGATCGTGTAAAGTGTTGCAAGGACAATTTGCATTTGTTCCAGCGAAATCTGCAAGCCTGAGTGTCATTTTGTCATTGTGGATTAAACATGGATTCACCACTACACTCCTGAGACCAAAGTATAGTCTAAACAATAAGTTGCCCAGGGGAAATCTGCACCAAAAAACGCAAAGACCATTCCTTCGGCCGGGAAGGTTATGGCGATTGTCTTTTGGAATTCGCAAGGAATAATCTTCATGGACTATCTAAGGTAAAACTATTACAAGTGAATATTATTCATCGTTATTGGATCATTTGAAAACTGAGTTGCAAGAAAAACGTCCACAATGGTCCCACAAAAAAGTATCTCTCATCACGATAACGCACCAGTTCATACTTCAGCAGTTGTGGCCGTAAAACTGATGGAAATAGGGTTCCTACTCGTTCCACATCCCATCCCCTCTATTCTCCAGACTTGGTTCCGTTGAACTATTATTCGTTCCCTAATATAAAAAAATGGTTGACGGGGAAAAGATTTTGTTCAAATAAGAAGGTAATTGCAGGAACGAATGCCTATTTACACACTAGCTCGAACAAATCCTATGATATAAAAGGGATCAACAAACTAAAGCAGCGTTGGATAAAGTGTAAAAGCCTAAAAGGAGACTATGTAGAAAAATAAAAAAAGATTTATTAAAAAAATATCAAATAGTTTTTATTTTTGCACGGACTTTTCAAACTACCCTCTTAAAGTAAAATGAAAAACAAATTATTGTACCGGTTTCCTTTAAATAATATAGGTACGTATAATAACTCTTGTATCTATTTTCCATCAAGTTACTGTTCCACTAATGAGTTCCTATTATTTGACTTTTTATGATACTTAATATTAATTTTTAAATAAGATAATAGATGTTAAAATATATCAAAAAGTTGTGTCAAATTCTTGATTTTTCGAATTTAATATTATATATCTTGTTTGTTATATTTTTTCGAATAAAAAAATACGCTGAATTCCTTCAAGTACCATTCATATGAAAAACTAACATTAGAAGATTCTTTTCCCTAATATGTATAATATAACCTGACGATTGGTATTCTCTGAATAGTGATCGAATTATCCCAGAAATATCCATTCCACTGTCTGCGAGTTATCCTTACAGATTCGTCCACTGATTGATACTTTTATTCTTTTTTTTATTGCTAAAACACAAAATTTGTTTTAGAATAGTATATAATGTAATCGAAATGTCATATTGTCTATAATATTTAACATTATTATTTGTATAATCGCTTAAAAATAAATGTATATTGACTTGAAGCAATCAAATAATACTTTTATTAATTAATTAAATACTTTGCCGTTGAAACTTTTACTGTAGAATATTTCTCGTTTTAGTAGATAAATTATAAGATTTGCTGTTCAAGACTAAAAATAAATTTACAAATCGTAGATTAATATTCTTCGAATATAAGATTTATTACGAATATAAGATTTATTACGAATCAAATCAATTCTCAATATCTAATTCTTTACTCTAAATGCACACAACTGGATGTCAAATAGATTATCTTTGAAGAATCTTTGATGACACAGATGCTAATTGAATTAATGTATTCGAATTTATTGGTAGAAGTACGGCAAAAACAGTAGAGTACTGTTAAATTTCCTTCGTTTTCAGTCTCTGTCACGAACACAAGAAACATGTTCACCAATACCCTCGTCCTTGTCATTTTTGGTACCGCCTTGACTTTGGTAAGCATTTTTAATTTTCTTTAAAAAAAATAATGTGTATTTATTAGAAATCTTGATAAAATTCTAATTATTAGACAACCGTGTAGAAGAAATATTTATTACATACAATTGAATATCTTTCTTGTTAGGCTAGCCAAGTCGATGTCAATATTGATGATAATGAGGTGAGTTTGTACAAATACTGTTAGCTTTATTCTCAAATAAGTATAAACTTTAAATGTAATAATGATGAAGGCGGATTTACGCGGATTCAAAGAAGAACTGAGCATTTTGTGTCATCAAATCGAGGGCTCTATCAAAGATTATTTGGATTATTGGAGGAACGTCACCGAACAGCATGATAGTAACAACAAACAAGAAACAGGTAAAGCGATTAAAATCAGTAAGGAACGGCTTATGGATCTGAATGGAAGCTATGAAAATATGCGCAAGATAATTGAACAGTCCATCGAGAACGAGAAGCAAAAATGGAATGAACACCTTACGTATGCCTTCAAAATGAATAAACAGGAATACGAAAGAACTAAGATCATGTCTAAGTATTATATCGAAATAATGAAAAAGCGCCTGATAGATTTAATACTAAAGTGGAAAGTCCAATTTCAAAAGGCTTATTCAGAAAGTTAGAAAGGAAGACAGGAAAGAGCCCCAACATGAATAGATATCGTAGCGTCTCACGTAGAGTCTTACAACCATTATGAATAAATCACAGTGCAGTCCGATAAATTGTATTTTTTAAGTTATTCATCTTCTAATTGAATATAGAAAAATAACTGCATTACAATAAAATATTCACAGCATAAATTTTCAATTACTCTTCATATGTCGAACTAAGTTCATATATCTTACACTATTTTCGTCCTTCTATAAATCAAATCCACACAATTAAAACCTTTTTACGTATGTCTAATAATCTCCGATGAATAACTTGTCTGAATGGATTGTTGAAATAAGATAAAATAAACAAAACAACAATAGCACAATTTTAGTTATATCTTCACAATATTTTAGAAAAACTTGCTACGCTTTTCTGAATACTACGAGTTACAGTTTTACTATTGCTATCATTATTTTTAAAATATGGATGTTTAATTGCTTAGATAATACGATTCGAATGATATATTCGATAACATAGATAACATCAATAAACTTTGAAATGTAATTTATTAATCGTCATATTAATGTACATGTGGCTATTATTTATAAGTACAGTTACACACACCGATATACGTATACATTACTTAATTTCTTTTACAAATTTATTACGATTCTTCAGCTGTTATAATGTTTTCAATTAATTGGAATTCTCTTAATGCGGTGGAAGATTTACATTTTCCTGGCAAGTCGTTCTGAATTTCGATCCATCTATCTGAGGGCACATCGTAAGATTACGTCGTTTTAAGAAATAAACAAAAGAAAGAAAGTAATTAATGGCTAATGGTTACAATACACATTTTATGTACTTACTGTGACCGTGAAGCAAAAGGCCTCCTTGGATTTTTTTTTATTGATCATACAGGAGATACTCCCATTAGCGTAGTACAAATAAAAGAAAGTTGTAAAACGATATAAGAACATAACAACAATAAAAATAATAAAAACAGGAACAACAGCAATAGGAAGAAACAGTAAACATTGTATATAAATAAAATCCAAAAAGGTTAAGGCATCTAATAAAATTTACTTAAAAGATCATAATTGTAATTTTATAGTATTGTTAAAACTACTTATTGTGATCAAATGAATGTCTTCAAGCAACTTCAGGCCATTGATAATATCACTTGATCTGTCAACAACGGATAGATGATTTGATCCCCCTTTACAAGGACGAAAGTAAAATGTATTATTGCGATTACGCAGGAGGCGAGAGGGAACATAGAAGATAAGGTCGTAAGAATCAATGAGACAATGACAGATCTTATATATGTATAAAGCAGATTGTACATTAATGAAAGAAGAAATTGAACAAATATTGAATGATAGAGCAGCCGAGGAATAATCATGATCGAACCGATCCATACTTTTGCGAAACCTATTAGAGAGATAACGTATAAAGCGATGTTGAATTACCTCGAGTCTTGATAAATAGACTCCATATTGTGTTGACCAAACTATAGAAGCATAAGTAAACTTGGGAACGGCTAAAGGAACGAACAATTTTCATAGAATAATTTCGCGTAATAAGAAAAACAACTTTCGGTCGATAATTGCATTAGCCAAAAATTCTTCATACTTTATTCTAAATAAACCTCACTGAATTGCGTCTAATGCCTTGAAAAGTCGCTACCTTGAAAACTATGTTGGCGGAAATAAAAGGGAATCAGTAAGAAGATGCCATATATCTCGATATTTCTTAATTAAATTATAACAACTAGCTCGCATTGAATTAAGTGTGACGAAAACAAGAATTTCGTTTCTGCTGGCAGATCAATACCGCACTAAACTGCATTGTACTCTTTTGCGAAAAAATATAGCATAGCCATAATTTCCTTCAAATATTTATATGAATAATAGGGTAATAACGGACTATTGCATTGGCTGTTCGCTCGTCTAACGCGAGGTAAACGGCACCTACAGCGATGATGTTTGTCTGTTATAGCAGTGCTTATTGCAGCCAATTACAACGTCGATCTGTGTTGCAATATTGATGAGCCCAAAGCAGCGAGAACGCATCGAGCTATACACTAACAGTCGGAGAAACGTTCGTGGAACATTAAATTCCAGGACGAACCATGTTTTTACAATCAACACGTAATTCACAAAACAGGACAAAATCCTGTATCAAAATATATCCTTAACGATATTGTCAGGCTTAATGCAAATGAGTCAACTTTGCGACGACGTTTGCGTGGTTCGAATCGTCAGATCAGATAGCCGTTGGAAGTATGCTGCGTAATCTGCAGACTTTTATCCGGTGGATACACTGTTGCGCGACAATGCGGAGATCATACTCGCAGATGATCAGTTCATTCATGCTAATGACATCAAGATCAATAAGTACATAACTGTAAGTGTTAGTTCGTACCTATTTTTTTATTTTGTATACGGACAGCTGTTTTGTTTAACATTTAAGCTTCTTGTTACACCGTCAAATTCCCTGTATATTTTTGTTGAAACATATCGATCGACTTCGTAAAGTTAGAGTCTTGTTAACGTACGACATAAGTATTTTATATCTAGTGTTCTTTTTTGAACTGATTGGCATATTCTGTAAATAATATATGCTATAATTTTCATTAATAAATATTCTCGTAGAAAGTTAGAATGATAGATTATTGAATTTTTTAAGCAAAATTTGACCAGCTGCTACGGAGAAATACAACCGACAATCCGAAGGGTTATATCCGCGGTCGCCCGCACAAATTGTTTAAAAAGAATGTATTCGGGAGGCGCAAACACTCCGACAGTTGAATAATATACCAGGTGTATAGATTAATCATGAGAGAAACTAATGTTGGAATGAGGATTGATGAACGGACTACTTGATAATCCTTAGCCTGACGAATACGTGACCGACTATTACAACCAACGCGGGGGTCAACAAAACTACTCAGTCACACACGCATGAACACAAAAAAAGAGAGAGAGACAGAGAGAAAGAAACACGGGCACCGATCTTCATGATCCGGCGACAGCTTCCTGATTGCTGATCTCCTACCGCTGTCGCTACTCGCGTCCGGTTGCCGCTCTCCGCTCGCTGATAAACGGTCGAACGCGTCGTCCGCGCGTATCCTCGCCGGAATCCTCACACGCTCAGGTACCAGGACTCAACACGATCCGACGATCCAGCTTTAACTCTCTATAGCTGCTCCCCCCCGATCCCGCATTCACCATCTCTCTTCATCGTCCGCAGTCGTCAGCCACTCCTGACTTCACCAGTCATCTCCTTCATCACACCTCAAACAGAAAAAATCGGCATGAGAGTTCATACATACACGTCTGAAGTGGCGAACGGACGATTGTGAGATTCAACGGACAAATTAGCAAAGTCGTAATTTAACGTTGTACAGTTTATTCTGAATTTTTCGGATATTGTTAATGACAGTTTTGTACTCTCCTCCCTAAGTTATTATGCCATTAGTGTAAATACTTTGATAAAAAGCACTGTAGATTAGTCATTAAAGTTTTGATATCGAAGAAATTTCGCAACTCCAACGTTACATGTACGATACATCTGACCTTTATGACGATGTAATGCACGCGATACTCCCATTTGAGTCGTGACTCTAGCACTACCCCAAGATATTTTTAAAAACATACCCTACTTAGATGCTTATTGTTGATATGTATGTTAAGGTCATTTGGAACAATGGCATGATAAGAACCTACAGTTATATATATACTATTTTAAGAACATTAAATGACAGGCGATTTATCTCTATTAATTTGCCAACTTCTATCAAATCGCATTATAGTTATTGATTTTAAATTCAGCATTTAACCAGTTAGCCTAATATGACCCCAGTTATATTACATTGATGATTGTGAAACTTAATAAAGTGCCTTCGCTTTGAGCTAAGTAACTTCTAAAGAAATCATTTGCAAGTTCTCTGATTCCATACCTGTCTAATTTTTTAAGTAGAATTTCATGATCGACTGTATTGAATACTTTTGCCAGGTCCCGTAATACAACAATAATTTAAATAAAAAAAAAAAAAAAAATACAACAATAACCTTTTCATCCTTATTACGTACTTTAATTAATTGGTTTACTACGTGTTATACTACATTTTTGGTACTACGTGAAACACTACATCCTGTTTTTTCCTAAATCTAAATTAGTTGTCATCAATAATATGATGTTTTGATTGATGTTTGTACAGTCTCGAATAAATTAATATTTCAAAAATCTTTGCTATATTTATATTAAATGAGAACCAAAGGACAATGTGCTTTTGAAATAATTAGATTGAATAGACACTCTAATGGAAAACTAATGTATGATATTCTATTGCTCTTGATAGTTTAACGCTATATTCCCATCAATGTCAACAGCTTCGTTTGCAAAAGTTTATATATAATTCTGGATATTTCATTAGCATCTGTGTATTATGAATAGAAATTATTATCTTTCTTATATAAATTAATCTAATACATGTGCGCTATTTACTTCAATTCTCTGCCAATTTTATAGCAACTTCACGAAAAAATTGACTTGCATCATAATTCAAAGTTTTTACTCTGCTAATACGAATACAAAGTTTTGTTCAACATAAGCTTTTGACGTATCATTAAACGATAATAATATTTTAGACTCTTGTTAAACTTTTAATTATTAGAAATGCACTTTCACGCGCTATACGAGTATATAATATGAACTGGTGCTCTCTGCAAGTATATATATTATTCGTTATCATGAAGATATCAGTTTCCTTAAAATCGAAAATCTTTTTACAAGTATAAAAAAAGCCTCTCATTTCTTGATTAGTAAATTGTCCTGCTCGGCTTTTAACATTTTCTTTCTTACCGTATTTACAATTTTAGCGAACCCACGCCACATTACGCACATTTACGCACTGCTGTTTTGAACGTATAATATTACTGTTTAAGTATTGATCTAAATAGCAGCCGTACGAATTAGCTATAACATGCTTCTTATTTTTCGCAACAATGTGGCATTTTCTTTCCTGTTGTCTATTAATTCGATTGATTGACAAGATAAGTTACATATTAGCTACTGCGCTTATTTGATTCGCACAAAAATCTTATAGCAGGCGCATTGATTATTGATAAAATGAGCATCTGCACCTGCTATGAGATGGGTATAAGAAAATTCATGAGATGAAAATTTACAATAGCGCTTTCTTCTAGCTATATAATTTTATACAACAGCTAAAATTACGTTGAATATTCGCATGTATTTTCTTCTCTATAAAAGTTAATCTCTCTTCTTATAGCCGACCATTGAAACACAATTTTCGACGCGATGCGCATTTATGAAATATTTTATTTAACTAGGTATCACTAAAGTATTGTCTGGGATTTCACATTTTATACATTACTTTTTTGTGCACTCAAAACCATTTTTATATTACGCAGGTTCTTGATAAATTTTATTTCTTAACAAGATTAATAATCAGCAAGATTAATAGATGAAGTTCATCATCGACAGTGATGTAAACACTAGAAGCCTTATGTGATTAGGTCGTGATAAAAGATGATTACAAATATACAGCAAATGAAACCAGTTAATGAAATCTATACATTATTGTATTGTTTCTTCATTCGTAGGGCAATAGAAGCCTCAATTCTTCTTGACTTCAAAAATCAGAATGATTTCTATTATTTTACATGAATTTTTGCTGCAGAACAATTTCGCGAGACATTGAAATGATTTGAAAAGTATGATTCTTTTTCGTTCATTCTAAAATGATTCACAACACAACGAAAAAATTGTATAAACTGCGTTGATAAGCAGATGGTAATCGTCAAGGAAAATATGTTGTAACATTGTTCGAGGATAAATTAATTAATGATTGCCAGTGCGTCAAACGACGTCAATCTGATTAACTTTTCACTTAAAATTTGTTAAACCAAGGGGAATCTTTGATGACACAGATGTCAATATGTGAACATACTTCCATTTATTGGTATAAATACAGGAGGGAAGAGGGCGAAAAATCACTTCGATTTGACTTGTTTCTAGTCCCTGACAACAGAAACATGTTCACCAAAGCTCTGATCCTCGTTCTTCTCGGCACTACATTGACTTTGGTAAGCACTTTTGGTTTTGCTTTAGAAAAACAATTTCAATTAACTAGTAATAACAATATAATGCATATTGTTTTGGTAGGCCAGCCCAGTCAAGTACTCTTCTGATAATGATGAGGTAAGGTTTTATATATAAAAGCTAAACAATACATTTTAAAATGAGCAAAAATTTGTTCATAATAATCAATGAAATATATTTTAAGATCATTCCTCGCGGCTGGAAGGATGTGAGCGACTGGTTACAAGGAGTGAATCAGTCTTTCCAAGATTTCATTCATGAGAAGTATCATGCAATTATTCAGAAAGCCAAGAAAACCATCGAGAGCGAAAAGCAAAAATGGGACCATGCCCTCAAGGAAGCCATCAAAATCGGCAAAGACAAATACGAAGAAGTGAAACAGAAAGCTAAACAAGCTATAAAAAAATTGAAAGACGAGTTGAAAGCTGCATTAGATCACTGGAAAAAGAATGAAGCTCACAAAGAAATTAATACCGAGGAAGAAGAGGAAATTTTCCAAGAGCAGGAGCCCGTAGTTTCTCAGGAGCAGGAACAGGAAGTGGTCCAGGAACAGGAGCAGGAAGTGGTCCAGGAACAGGAACAGGAAGTGGTCCAGGAACAGGAACAGGAAGTGGTCCAGGAACAGGAACAGGAAGTGGTTCAGGAACAGGAGCAGAAACAGCAAGTGATCCAAGAGCAGGAAATGATCCAGGAGCAGGAACAGGAAGTTTCCGAGGTGCCCCAAGAACAAGTAGAATCCCAAGAATAAACCAAAAGTACAATTAAATAAACTAGTTGTACAATTAAATAAACTAATTGTACTTCTCATTGTACATATGAATAACGCAAAGTAACAGCATTAAAGTCAATTAAAAATACAATAATTTTATTTTATTTTTTATTCAACGTCACCGTATATCATTACATTATTTTATATATACAATTCATCAATAAAAGAGCGATAATTTTTTTTATTCATAATGGATACAAACCCACTTAATATAGATCAATCATTCATATAATATAAATCGTTACTTTACTATTATGAAAAACTATCTCAAAAATACATCAGTAAAACCAATAGAATAAGATACAACAACGTACATACTTGAATATATCATTATTACCAAATGAACTTAAAACAATAGCTGAGAAGAGAATTGGAAAATAAAAAATAAAAAATTGGATAAGGGAGAACAATTGAACAACTCTTATTATATAACCTAATACACGAAGGAAAAGTATAAGTGCAATCAATAAATATTTTTGTTAGAATAAGGAAATTATAACGGAGATGCAGATCCTAATTCGTATGTCCAGGAGGTGTATTTTGATAGTTTATAGATTTTAAAACATACTTATATGCATATAGTATGTGTAATTTACACCATAAAAGATCACATAGAAGAATAACAATATTCAATTTAAGAAAGATGAAATCTAAATCCACTGAAAAATTCAACAAAATAATTATAATAGCAAGGGTTTATACTAGCACTTAGGAGGGAAAAATGCATTTTAATATTCAAATAGATAAAATAAAACAAAAACAGATAATGACGACTTCATTAAACCCGATTACACTATTTGTTAAAGCATCAACCAAGGTATCAGATACACCAAGTAACTAAAAAACAAGCCAATATTGAAACAATTTTTAGGACTATAGATAAGCTTGTTAAGTAAACAGTAATATAGCGAAAACTAAAATAGCATGGTGTCTGCCCTAGGGAAACCATCAATACAGCAACCTAACTGTTATCAGATGATTTATGCGGATATAAACTAATTAGAATTGAAATAATAACAAAGCATTACTCAACCTTGACGGAGGCGAGAAAGGAACGCATATTTTTATTAATTCAATGTATTCAATAAGACTCGAACACAAAAACCTAGTAGTCGTTGATGGCATAGTCTTTATAGTATCCTGTATTTGTAACTCAACTACCCAACATAAAACAATGTTTCTCCACTATAAAGTTACTGGTGTCATAGGACTCACTTATCCAGCAAGACTAAACAGCTTAGATAAAATACTATATGCAACTATGGGACATTTTCCAACTTCAAGATCAATATTCATCAGATACTAGAAAAATATTGGTGGTTTCCCAAACGTGCCGAAATTTGAACGAGGGGATTAATAAAAATGTGACTGTCGAGATCTAATAAATGAAGAGACACGTGGTGCATATAAAGCGAACTGCTGACAAAACGGTTGTACAGTAAAGGAGACAAATAAATTGTAATCGGAGATAGGAAGTAGTGCAACAAGTATGTTTATTGCTTTTTTCTAAATTTATATTTTCTGTTTCAGTATTAATTGATACAATAAACTTACGATGTTATCATATGTTTTTAACTTTTACCACAATGTTTATTCCAGTTCACAGTTGCCAGTAGTTAATTAATCGAATGACTAATAGACACATCGATTTCTTTTCGACATTAAAACAATAGAAGACTGTATTATTTTAAAATGATTTTTCATAGCGAGATATTACAAGAGGTTTTGAGGTCCTTTGGAAAATGTGATGATCTATCTTTTACTTGGAAAATTTCACAACGTAATGAATGAATTGAATAATTTGCTTTAATAAGCAGACGGTAATTAGCAAAACGTTAACAAAAGAATGTTGTAACATTGTTTGAGGGAAAAATTAATAATTATCAGAGTATCAAACGATTAATTAATTAATTAATTAATTAATTATCATTAATCTGATTAACTTTTCACTTGAATTTTGTTAAACAAAGGGTAATCTTTGATGACACAGATGCCAATATATGGATAAATTTCGATTCATCGGTATAAATACGGAAAGATTGAGCAAGAAATCACGTCTGTTTGATTCATTTCCAGTTTCTAACACGAGAAACATGTTCACCAAAACTCTGATCCTTGTCCTTCTCGGTACTGCCTTGACTTTGGTAAGTACTTTGGATTTCGTCTTGAAAAACAATTTGAATTTACTAGAAATAATAATTAAATGTATATATCATGTTTGTAGGCCAGTCCAGTTGAGAACAATGCTTATAATGAAGTAAGGATTTATATGTAAAAACTGAAAAATATATTAAGTCATCAAAAATGTCTACATAATAAAATATAATTCAAGGTCGTTGTTCGTGGCTGGAAGGATGTGAGCAACTGGTGGCACGGAGTGAAGGAGTCTGCCAAAGAGTCAGTTGACAAGAACTATCACGCGATTATCGAACAAGCCAAAAAAACCATAGAGATTGAGAAACAAAAATGGGAACAGGCAATCAAAGAAGCCGCGAAAATTGGCAAAGCAAATTACGAAGAAGTGAAGCAAAAAGCTAAACAAATACTCAAAATTTTGAAAGACGATTTCAAAGCTAAATCCGAAGAATGGAAAAAGGAACTAGAGGTCCTCGAGAGAGAACAAGAAATAATCCAGGAGCAGGAACAAGTAGCCCACGAACAAGTACAATTTCAAGAATAAGCCAGAAGTAAAGTTAAATTAACTAATTATACTTTTCATTATATATAAGTGATGTAAAATTACAGCACTAAAGGCAACTAACAATTGTACAATGATTTTATTTTAATTCAACGTCACCATATTGCCTCATTTCTTTACATTACTTTTCCTATTGACTGCAATTAAGTGTACATATTGCTATTTTGTGAGTGTATGTTTTTTATTTTCATATTGATCAATACAACAAGCTTACGATATTATAACACGTTTCATATTTTTTTGCAACAATGTAGTCTTCCGTATTTGAAGTTACCTTACACGTGAATAGGATTGTTAAGATAAGTTATACCTTGGTTACTGTATTTTTTTTTTTATTCAACGAAAGTTTATTACTTAACTAGCATAAATGAATTGTGATAAAAAATTCATTATAAAAATTTATATGCGGTTTTCGGTAGAAAAAATAGCACTTGTAGCGCCTTTCTCTAGCTAAAGTTGCACTACTTTGCAATGTCAATTTTTAGCAACTACGTTCGGTTTCATAACGTTGGATTTTGACATAGATCAATGATGAAAGACGATGTCGATATCATTTATTCAGCTAGTTTGTAAGACTGCTTTAAACACGTGTGTGTGTGTGTGTGTGTGTGTGCGCGCGTATGCGAATGTGTAATGATACCTCTTGCTTGAAAAAGCGATATCTAATTTTATCAAAAGGGATAGTTGTATAATTACACTTAGATTTACTTAATTAACTACGTCACTTATTTTTTCTTTTTACTATTTTCTACTTGTACATGTTGATTATTTTGATAGATAAATAATTAAATGCTTATTATGAAACATTTTTTCGCGTATAAAATTAATTGACATTTGCAAAATTGTTTATTACTATGTAAATATATTCAATAATTTGTATAGAACTAAGTAATTCATTGATCTATAGAAAAATAACTATCAAAAAATATGGAATAAAACAAATATTAATTTTGTACTTAATTAATGCCTTATTTAGATGTAGTTAGAAAATTAAAAAGAATTATTTAGAAGCGAGTTTTGTTTTAAGTTTCCAGATCAAATAAGTTTTTACTATTAATTTTAATCAAAATGTAATTACATTATCCACTAGATATAATTTTTATACACTTTTTAATACGAAGTATATTCTATTTGCATTGTTCAATGGAATATAATTCGAGTCTGAAAGCTGTGAAAGCTAGATTATCTGAAAGTCATGTATATACAAAGCATAAAGGGCTTGAAACAATTTAATAATTTTTTACTATTACTAATTTTATTAACTAATGCCATAAAAATCACTATATAAAAACTATCCATCCTGTACAGCCACTTCTTCTGGTATAACTTTTGCCACTTTCCTTAATTCTTTAATCAAAGTTTTTGGACATTGCATTTCTGTCCAACTTACTGGTACCATTGCCACTCCTAAAAATAATTAATTTTTGAAAAACCATTAATAAATAATTGCTTTGGTAAATTTCAGTCATACCTTCTTCACTGTGTGCAATAACCACCCCTAATTCATTTTCAGCAGTACTTAGTTGATAAGTGTGTGCTTCTGTCATAGGTAACTATATTTAAAATATTAAGGAAACTAATGGAAAAGTTAGATAGAGTGTTGATAATAAATTATTAATTTAAATGGAATAATGATATTTGTTATTTACAAACAAAGGATACAACTCTTGCTAAAATAATATCACCAGGTCTAAAAGATTTGTACATTTCAATCCTATCCTTTTCTGTTGCTCTGACATCCTCTCTCCTTACAATTCCTCTGTACGGCCTACTCAGCACTATATCACCAACACACTTTATCATACACTTGCAAAACCTTTGATTGACTATTGTCACCATGGCAGTAACAATATCTCCAGGGGCCGGGACTATGCTTTGGTCAGTCATACCATGAACCTCAATTGAATTTGTCTAAAATGAACATATACAGTATTCAAACTGAACTTCACCATCTGATTGACAGAAAAGGTTACTTACATTCTCAAGCCTAACAACTTTGACTATCCCAGCAAACTTTGAATAAATATAACCAAGTTGCTCATACGTTCCCTGACCAGCAATGTTCTCTTGATTTGTAGGGCATATCCTTTGTCCTGCGAAATACATTATTTTTCAAAATAATTAGCAAAACTAATATTTGTCCGGAATGACAAATTATGAGGTTAACGTAAACATTTCATCATATACCTGGTATACAAATAATTATATCCTTGTCGTCCATTTCTATAACTTTCACACAACAATTAACAAATTTGATACGGAAAAATTAAACGTCACGTTATGCTCGCAAATAAGTTTCACTAGTCCAAAACACTGGAGTAATGTTACCATTCTTTTACTCCGTTACAGCAGACCTGACTAATTTACTAAAATCTTTGGTGACGGTGGCGGACGGCATCGCACCGCACGTGCGTGAAAATGAGACCCAAACTGTGCGCTAACGCTGCGAAGTGCATGAGGCCAATGAGCATGCGCTGCTGTTTTTATTCAAATATAAAAATTATAGTAGTATGATTATTGTGAGATGAGAAAAGGTAATGAGATATGTAAATGCCAAAACAATTTGATAAATTTAACTTTATTAAATTTATATTTTATCTAATATAAGAGTTTATATATATATTATTAATAAATTTTGTAAATAATTTTTTTTTTCGTAATTTTTCAGCCAAAATTGTATCTATTTTTGCAACCGCAATAACCAGACATGCAGATCACAATCAAATCACCTTGACACCTCGGACAGTCGGCAGGTGTGTCGCACTCCTCTGAAAGCACAAAACGATGGGTTAGTTCAGCTTTATGAAAATCATTTACCGTCGAAATTTCAGGTAAACAGAGATTTAGTGAAATCTTCATTGATTGAAAATACCGAGTGCCGAAAAAACTTCAACAATAAAGTTTAGTTTATTTCGAAGTTACACGCTGCTTTGGAAAAAGGTTTTCTTAAAAAGTATATCATTGCATGTTCCTTTTTATCTAAAAAATTATCAAGAGACTTTAAAGTTTATATAAGCTTAGCGCAACGGAATGTAATGCTTGCGGTAGAAAAAAAAATAAAAACAAAAAATACAAAATACGCGTGCTTTCTAGGTCGCAAACATTTTGACTACGCGAACGTCGGCAATTACAGCGGTTTTCGAAATTGCTCAAAACCACGATTTCAAGCTTTTACCAGACACCCGGACGCGACCATACTCACTTGACCACTTGTCGGGTTTCGTGGGATACGGATAAATAGCATTGAACCAGACGCTGGGATTATTCGGCGCGTTAGGGCTGTCGGTCTGAGCGTCAGCGCGAACCCATGCGTGTCCAATAAGTAGCACGAGGCAAACTTTCGCCGTGAACATCTTCCAGCCCGAAACGACAACTGAGCGCGGATCGTCACCGGAGAGCCGATTTTATGTGTATATATATTTATGTATAAATGACGAGAAAAAGCAACGCGCGCCTCGGGTAAAAGTGGGGATCGCCGAGGACGCTGTGCGTCTGCCTGGATTTACCTGTTGCAGCATAGCGCATTGTTTTCTTGTCCATTCGACGCCACCGACTGTCATTCACTCTAGTCGCGCATAGATACCTATGCTCGCATCTGATTTATCCATATATACATATACCGCTTGCGCTCAAATTTCGCCATAAAGACTTCTCTGACGGGTAAAAAACTTTGGCATTCTTGTGCTTTTTGATAATTTTTTCGCGCACACGAAAGTGAAATCATGCTAAGGTAAAATTGAAGAAGCACGAGTCACGAAGATAAAAGTGACATTGACGTGTATTTGCGAACAATGTGGGTCAGAACTTAATTTCTCTTCATTTTCACATTGACGATAAGGATGAAACTGTACGTGAATCACGCGACAGTCATTTCAATAGTTTTTTTTCTTTATGTATAAAGTGCACATGCACCTACTGGTTCGAGAGATACACGCATCTATGGCGAATTTAAATTTATATCTCAAACAGTGAAAAGTATTTCTTTTTCAAATGTTCGCATGGTAATGGAACGCACTCACCGTAACGTCGTTCACCGAGCCAGTTCGAACTACCTGACCCACGCCCCTCACCGTAGCATTGCAAAAAGAGAGCGAGAGAGGAAAATAAGGTAGCGCGCGCCACCGCGTCCTTTCATCTCTGATTGGACACCGCTTAGGGCCCAACACATAAGGCGAACAGTTTCCTCCATTTTCCCTGGTTTCCCTTGAGAAGCCAACGCGGCACGCTCGACGCACATCAGTCTCGTTCTAGCATACGACACCCGTGTTGAGTATTACATTAGAGTAGCTGCTTAGGATGGCGATGCGTTTTATCACTTTGTATAAGTTAGTCTTAGTCCTATATTTATTGTATTTTATAGAAGTCATATTATTTTTAATTTGTACAGCAACTCCTACGATAAAATATTTGAGAAATCAAGTACCAGTTATGTTGTCTCGTCTGAAAAAAGTAAACAAGTCACTTGCATGTTTCTTTTCAAAAAACCCACGTTTGGTAACATTCCCCTAGATCCTAACCGTCCACCATATTGGATAGTAGAGTAATTTGCCACTAGACGCCGAACGCTGCGTCTGTGAATTTGACAGTCAAAATTGGCCTTTTTTATGTAAAAATATAGTCGAATAGATAAAATTAAGTTTGAATGGATCAGGAATCGTACGAGGTGCCAAAGAGGAAGATGAATACGAAGTTCGGTTTCACCTACGTCGAGCTCGTCAATTTATTTTCCGTATTGAATTGAAAAACTGTGAACTCTTCCCCCATCCTTTCGTAAGTGTCTTATTCCAAAATACTACAAGCTATTATTTTTAAATAGAGGTTAGTTGCACCCAACACTCATAGCTTCGTTGGAAAAAATAGATCTCGCCACTTTCATCTTAATTTTAACGTAGTTTTCAACTTTACGAGTACTATTACTTTGTCTTGCAAGGATGAAGATTATTTTGGTTAACCAGTAGAGCTTTTTTTTTCACTGCCAACGCGTTTTTTTTCATTTTGCAGACGCAAAGTACAAAAAAGCTAAACTGCAATAATGGTCCTACCTTGCGATTGGCAGACTACAACACAAAAAATAGCTCAACGAGGCCAATATCTATTAGAAACAGGACAATGGTATAAAAAAAAATAGTTAAATTGATGAAGTAATTAAAGAGACAAATGTAAAATAGTTTTGTTTTACAGGTCAGACTGCAAATTTATTGTAGGTCAAGAGCCCCACCAACAAATAGTAGAAGGGCACAAAGTTTTTCTTGCCATGTCAAGTCCAGTATTTGAGGCAATGTTTTATGGAACCATGGCTGAAAAGAGTGATCCAATTCCAATAAGAGATGTCCAACCTGAAGCTTTCAAAGCTCTAATGGAGTACATCTACACTGATAGAGTGGATCTTGGATCTTTTGAACTAGCTTGTGAATTGTGTTACTGTGCAAAAAAATACATGTTACCTTTTCTAGTTGAAGAATGCACAAAGTTTCTATGGTGCGATCTCTCACTAAAAAAAGCTTGTAGAGCTTACGAGTTTGCAAAGCTCTTTGAAGAGCCAGTATTGATGGAGAAATGTTTACAAATAATTTGCTCCAAAACTGATGAGATCTTAAAGGAATCAAGCTGGGACGAAGTGGAACAAGGCACTGTATTGACAATATTAGATCAACAGGAATTGCAAATATCTTCAGAGATTGTTCTGTTCAATGCGTTAGAAAGATGGGCAAAGGCTGAGTGCAATAGAAAATCATTAGACCCATCTGATCCAAAAGCATTGAGATCTGTCATTGGGAATGCCTTGACTAAGATCAGATTTCTCACACTTACACCACAAGAATTCGCTGAAGGACCTGGGAAATCTCCACTTTTAACACAACAAGAAGCTTTTGCCATTTTAATGAATATATCTTCCAATAAAAGTGTGTTCCCAATGCCAGAAGGATTTTTTGACACTTGTATTACAAGATCTAAAATGCTAATAATTGAAAATGATGCTCGAGTATGTCAACAATTTTTTTGACTATGCAATTTTTTCCTTGAAATTGTGAATAACAATATGTATATTTTATTGCAGAAATTCAACTTTAACCCAACAATAAACATTCCTCAGAATAGCTTTCCTATCTCAGTTCCTTTGTTTTCAATTGAATGTGCTAATGCTATTGGTAATCCATTTAGCATGCGCGAGCCTAATTACCCTGTAATGTTGAGAGATGAAAGTCAGGATGTGAACCGAGATTCTCAAGAGATACCTAACGAAATTCTAATAACGAATATCAAAGATAGACCGAAATTTTATTGTACGCGATCTATAATTGAACAAACTAATTGCCGCAATTATGATGTTATGGATTGTTCTGTAACATTCACGGTAGACAGAAATGTTTTTGTACTTGGTGTACAAGTACCATCTCAAATTCCTGTATTTAATTTATCGGATGCTGTAAGTATATCTTAAAATAAGTATTTATAGTTTATTTATTCTAAAGTGAGTAACGTTTTTAGGAGTCATCGATGGGAATACCTCAATTACGAGACAGAACATATACAGAAGTCCTTTACGCTCACCTTCTCGATTCTGATGGTACTAGATTAACATACACACACTATCGAACAAAAGCTTCAGTAAGGGATTTAGTAGAAATTTCATTTAATCGACCAGTGTATATACAAAAAAACAAGGTAAGTTATTGCTTAGGTGATTAATAAACATTGATTGAACGTTGATTACAAAGGTACTAAATTTTTTAGATTTACAAAGTTGGAGTTGTCTTTAATAAACCTGGCGCTTACCCAATTGGAAATGGCATTCAGAAAGTCAACTGTGAAAATGTTTCCTTTACCTTCAATGTTGGTGTTAATGGTGTTGATTACTTGAGAGATGGACTTATAAGATCGATTGTATTTACATATCGCTAACGAATATTTTCTTGAAAAAAAAAGTAACATTTTTTCAATCTATTTGTTTTTGGAAGTCGTATAAAAATTGCAGCCGTTAAATGTAGGTATAAATAATTTGATGTTTAATGTAAATAATGAAGAAAATTAACAATTGAAAAATTTTTTATTATTTCTTCGAAGTAGCGGAAGTTGAAAAATTAAATATATCTGTATCATAGAATTTCATCGTATATATAACATTTTTTATATAAAAAATCTACATAAAATTGTAATTGTACAAAAAGACTCGACTAATGCGACACGCTATAGTAGATGTTTGCGAATAACACAAGTTGTAAAAAAAATATGCAACAATATTTGTTTTTTATTGAAATATTATTTCAATACTTAAAAAAACGATTAACATACATATAAAACTTTCTATAAAATGTGAACACGGTTTATAGAACAATTTTTTAATTTATATCTTTTTAATTGATTTCATAAACAGATAAGTTCAAAAACTTATTTGTGTGCGCAATGAAAATTAATATTTTTCATCGGAATAACTTTGTACTGTATTGTAAAACCATGTTTATGAAACATAAAAAATATTGAATACTTAAATAAGCTAATTTGAATAAATTGCATATGCTTCAATATAGCCTATCATTATTTAGCACTATTGCAAATATTCGAGATTGCACTTCAAGTAGAAAAAGTAAGTAAATTAAATAATATACCTGTAATAAATAATACATAAAAAAGCGAGAAGATCTATACTAGTCAGTCGATAAAAGTAATTTGATAAAGCTCAAGTTTTGTGTATAATGAAGTCCCATTCTTCATTCCACCTCAGTTTCAAAACTTCTTTAGCTGACAACGGTGTTACGCCATAACTAAGCGCAGTAAATTTTCGAAAGACCATCGCAATAACAATCATCCAAGCTATCAAAAGCAATCTGAACAATGCTGAAACAATCTTCAAGTGTACGTAAGTACTGCAAAGAAAAAATAAATTATTAAAAATTATATATTGATTATGTACTTATTACGTACTAATTACTCCTAAAACGTTGAGTTTATCAAAATTCACCTCAGAATGTAATGTACGTGATCCACAACGGCAGCAGTCAATAGAACTTTGAAAACAAATGCGGGTAAATAATGATGCAAGAATAAAGTTCGCTCGATGACGAAAAATGGAAGATAATGAACTAAATAACCAGCAAACAAAACTTCACCAATAGCAACAAATCGATTCCACTCCCTTTCGTCAATATCATAGCACAATCTTCGACGTCTCATCGTATAAAAAACTAGTAGAAATGAATAAGCTAGAACGGCTAGCGTTCCTGAATACCAAATGATTATGTTTCCTAGTAAATGAACTTGAGCCTATAAATTTTATCAAATGCGTTGATATTTTCAGTATAAGAAATGCTTCGAAAGTAAATGTATTATTTGTACGTAAATTATTTACAACTTACATTGCTCTTCGTCGACACCCAATACGCGATACCTCTCGTCATAGTAGGCCACTCTAAAGGACTACTAGAGTACATATGGCTATTTTGAACATCTTGGCCGCCAAATAACATCTTCATCTGTAACTCTATAAATTTATCCCAAAAGCTCAAGCTTGTAGCAGTTAGTGGTATCATTTCTGCATTGAGAAGCTCTCTTTCACGCTGTTTTTGGTCTTCGTTTTTCGTATAACGATGCTCTTCGACATTCCAAATAGAATCTGATTGATCTACGTGCCTATCGGCTACTACTTCATGCTGATTAAATCCCCAATCAGCCAATTGTCGCCCGCTAAATTTTAAAGCGTAATCTGAATTCACGTGGATCAAACGTACCTATACAAACAAAATAGTCAACATCTAGATCTTAGTCTAACTTAAATATCATTCAATGAAAAGATTGCACAAACTTGTGACTGAATTGCATGCCAGACGTTCCCAACTTGATCCCTGTTTGCAATTTCTAGCCTCCACATGTTTTGAGCGGGCATAGATACATTATAATCAATGTAGCAAGAGACTTCTTGACTTTGTGGGGTCATGGGAGCTGCAACATCATGTGAATTTAAAGCTCTACTTGTAATTCCGTGAACCAGTTGTATCACATCTCCATGACGAATTGGTTCACTGGGTTTGTTCACCACCAAGTCGTTTACATCTGGTCTTTTTACGATCCACCAATTGTTAACGTCTTTGAACGAGTAACATGTGACCTACAAGAAAATAATTGTTATTAACATATTATCTACAGAACTCGAGTCAATTCTTAATTTATTCATTTACCTGTTGCTGGTGAGAACTTCCACGTCCATCAGCATATCGTAAGGGATACACGTGATCGTGACTATGCAGCCAACAAGCTCTGCCGTGCGTGTGTCTCAAAGTGACTTGAGATCCATGAGTTACTTCAAGAGGCTGTCCTTTGGTAATACTTGCCAAGCCTCCTTCCAAACTTGCTTGGAAAGCACTTGTCATGACAGAATCATGCGGTCCAGCCTTAGTAAGTACTGACAAATGAATATAGAACACACCCAAGTAAATAAAACTAATAGCTAAGCCTATCGCAAACAATCTTGCAAATAAATGCAAGTATAAACTTAAAATAGATAGAGTTTTTCTTGGTAACAATGACCAGTAGTCCCTTCCAATAACATAGAGAGCAAGTAGCAGTGTATAAAATCCGACATACTTAACACTGAAATGTAAAATAATTTATCAATATATTGTCTATGTAATTATGATAATAAAATTAAATTGTATACAAACCATAAGGCACAAGTCAAATTGATTGTTCCCACCACTAACCAGAACCACCAAGCAAAAGTCATTGGTTTATCCATCACTTTTCTAAATTTTAAAATGCAAAGTAAACCCATCAGTGAGAACTGTATTAAAATACTTTCCATCAGAATGAATCTTGATTGAGTCAAGAGTGCATTGTCTGAAATATTAGAGATACATTTGAAAATCGTAAAATTTTAAACTCATAAACTTAAATTTGCAAGTGTATTTACCAAACAACAATAATAATGCTGCTATAGCAGCACTCCACTGTCTCAAGCCCAATTCTAAAGCTAAATGATATACTGTTGGAATGTTTAAACTTCCACATAGTGCTGGAATAACTCTCAGAACAAATAGAGGAACATTGTCATTGTATGGGGATCCAATTCTATCAAATTTGTAATTGCCATCAAATCCTACCAGGTACGCAGCAGCAGATATAAGTTGCTTACCAAGAGGTGGGTGAGAATCAAAGAAGAAAGTTTTTTTCATGTATAAACTAACATATTTTCCATAATGCAACTCATCAAATCTATAAAATATTTGTAAATATAAAGACATTCAATGGAAAAATTCTATTGCATAGTGTATTGTAACAACTTACACTATATTTTTAGGTTCTTCTAGTCGATACAGACGCGTAGTTAGACCCAAAAATAATAGTAATACTGCTAACAGATCAATCTCAAAATTTATCTTTATACTAGTTAATTTTTTGTTCACTTGTTCACATTTTTGTTCAATAATACTTTGTTCAATTGGTTTATTATCTGTCTCCTTAAAAAGAAAATCAATAACTTTTAATTTTAGTTTTGTTTTAACTTTATTAACAAATAAATAACATACTTCATGTTTAAAGTCATCAATCACGCTTGTTATTGCGGAATGATCATCTTCACTACTACTAATTTCTTTAGTCGTTTGTCTGCTGGCATCATTGCTTTTACCTTTATTTCTTCGCCGTACTTCCATTGTTACTTTTTAAAATTGAATATTAATTCATTATCAAATGCATAACACAAACTTTTCAAGCACCAAAATAAAAAGAAAATCGTATCCTACTTGTAAAGAAAACAGCACAGTTTTTGTGCGTAAGGAAACTGTCAACGTGGATATTCTTATCCACGATATTAAAAATTCTTCATGACCAATGGCAATACCGAATAAAGGATTAGTCTAAAAGAGAGAGAGAAAGAGGGAGAGAATGCCTTTCTCCTTTAGTTCTCAGCCCGTGAAAAAATCTCTCCACAAGCCTTCCACGATGAAGACTCGACATAACGGTACTACCCGGTTTCATTTTGGGCCCCGCTTTCATATATCATCAATGAGAGTGTGGAGTGTGCGATCTCTATACGTATGTAGGTGTCTCTGTCTCTGCTATCTGTCTCTCTCGCTCTCTCTCTCTCTCTCTCTTTCTAAGTACACTAACCTCTAAGTTTATTTTTGTTTTTATGTGATCTGCTGCACGCACGTGCGTAGGTGGTAATCTTGTGTTATTTTCAATGTGACGTTTTAATGACTCAAAATAACGTGACAATATTGTGAAGTGGGAATTAGTAAGAATTACGTATAGTGAAATTGAGAATTGACGGAAAGATGAGTGACAAACCGGAAGAGGCGGCAAAATTGATTGAATGTCCAATATGCTCTAAAGAGTTTTCTACATCTAGTATTGAAAATCACGTAAGCAAATGTCTTTTTCTGAATGAATCGTCGAATGCTTCTCAAAGTGCTACAAAAAGGTCACCATCCTTAAAAAGTAGTCCTGTTGCCAAAAAATTGAAAGTACAAACAGAGAGTCACAATATTTTTAAAACAATTACCAAGCAAGGTTCAACTTTGAAACCAGAATCATCTGAGCCAAAGGTTTTAGAATCCACTTTGAACAATACACAAGTATGTATTATTTTAAATTGTACATGATATCCATTAATTATAATAGAATAACAAACTTAATTTTATTCTATTCAGAACTTTAGAAATGACCAAGAAAATAAAATTGATCAAAAAGATTTCATTCCCTTAGCTGAAAAAATGAGACCTACAAGTTTACTTTCATATATTGGACAAAGGCACATACTTGGACCTGAAAGTATGTTATATCAATTATTAACAAGAAATGAAATACCAAATATTATTTTGTGGGGTCCTCCTGGTTGTGGAAAAGTAAGTAATATTATAATAATCAGTATTATTTATAAATAAAATTTATTTATTAATTATTTTTTAGACATCATTGGCTAATGTTATAGCCAATGTCTGTAAACACTCACCAAAAAGTATGCATCGTTTTATCAAACTATCAGCTACCACATCTGGTATAAATGAAGTAAAAGAGGCTATAACAATAGCATCCAATGAACTGAAGTTTAAACGCTATACAGTAATGTTTATTGATGAAATTCATAGGTTCAATAAAATACAACAAGATACTTTTCTACCTCATGTTGAAGCAGGTACAATCACTTTGATTGGTGCCACCACTGAAAATCCATCTTATAGTTTGAATGCTGCACTTTTGAGTAGATGTAAAGTTATAGTTTTAAATAAGCTCAGTATAGAAAATTTGGAAGATATTTTGATAAATGCTGTGAAAAGTTTAGATGGATCACTGAGTGAAATGAGACATGTAAGTCTGTTACAGAATTCAAGAAACTTTGTAAAATACATGGTCTTGTATATTTTGAACATTTTCAGAGAAATATAACTTCTATTGATGACACTCAAGTTCAGAAAAAATTTTTAATAGACAAAAGTACTATAACTTGGTTAGCAGAGACATCAGATGGAGATGCTAGAATTGCTCTTGGAGGTTTGGAGTTAGCAATACAGTCAAAAGTGCCAAAAAATTTTTCAGATGTTGGAATTATTCATATCTCATTAGATGACATAAAAGACAGCTTGAAAAAGACACATATGCTGTATGATAAAAAAGGAGATCAACACTATGACTTAATTTCAGCACTTCATAAATCTATCAGAGCAAGCAATGATAATGCTGCATTGTATTGGTTGGCAAGAATGTTGTCAGGAGGTGAAGATCCTGTTTATATTGCTAGACGTTTAGTTCGCGCGTCGAGCGAAGATATTGGGTTGGCAGATCCTAAAGCTTTAAGTAAGTATTTTTAAAAGTAGTTAAAGCTTTATCTTGCTAAAATTATACATAGATTTATTATTTTCCAGACATGGCGGTGAATACGATGCGAGCTTGCAAAGAATTGAAATCAGCTTCTTGCCATGTACTTTTGGCGCAGTTAGCAATTTATTTAGCTAGAGCTCCAAAATCTCGTGAAATGGATGATTCAATTAATGCTGCTAAAAGTTTTGTTGCAAGCTACAAAGATAAGCAGCCTCCTGTTCCTATTAATTTAAGAATGCCTCCTAATCAGACAAGTAACGCTATTTTTTTCCATTAAATGCTATATAAGTAAAAACTAATGGAAGTTAAGAAATATTTAAATTTTGTATGTTTCAGAACCTGGTAATGAAATTGGAGAAAATCTAACATACTGGCCTAATGGAATTTTAGGTGTGGATTTTTGTTAAGAATAATTCAATATTAGGCAGGAAGTATTTATTTTTTGAAGACGAAATCCAAAAATAAAAAAGAAAGTATAGACTACTTATAAATTAAAGAAACTAGTTTGTGGGAATAAAATACAACCATTATACATACATACTTTTTTTGGCATTCAAACGAGTATTAATAAATAAATTACAACACGGTAATAGTACAAGTATTACACAGTGACAAAATATTTTTTTGTTTTCTAAGGTTTCTGTGTTGTTTGTCAAGTTTATGAAATATAGCTTAAAACTTACGTTGATTGCGATAATTGAAAAATGATTATTTTTCTAAAAATTATAAAAATTATAAAAATAGAATATTAGTAATTTTTATTCATGAATAAAGGGCATATTAAAACGAAATCCGACAATTTATGATAATTTATATTTCAATTTGAAAAATACCTATGTTCTTACGTATTTACACATAGTATAACATTGCTGTAGCATTGTGATTATATAATAAAAAATACCTTTGATTATCACTGGTTTGTCACTTTAACTATGTGATACAAATCTTAGAGTACAATTGAAATCAATTGTAGATATTTGGTAGAAAAATATCAGATCTCAATTTAAAATATCAAAGTTCATGATATTTATGAAATATGAGTGCCATAAACTAATTCTAAGAGGTGTATACATTAAATTAGTTGATATTTTAATTATATGATTAAGGAATGTTGAAAAAATTACCATTCCTTCTATTTCTTTCAATCTTGAAAAACAATATTTCGAAGAGAGTCTTGCTCAAGCGTTTCGAGCACTGCTGTCGTTCCGACGTTAAAATGAATTGCAATTCCACCATCTATCACCAAGCCACCGTCATAGCATTGTGAACGAATTGTTAATTTGTCACAAAAATCCCGAGGTTGTATGTTATTAGGTAGTGGCCAAATGTGCTTAACAATCATATCACGAACGACATATGCTAGTTGAAGTTTTTCTGAACAAAAAATACATTATAAAATCAATTTCTAGTTTCTAGAAAATACAATAAATTTATAATGTAATAATTACCGGCGGGATATTGTAGTTGAGAGTTAAAATCAAAACAAATCTTCTTGAATTCTTCATGGCTAAATTTATTATTACACCCTGCTGCTGATAAAACATCTTCAACCATCTGAGGATTAAGACAATTGATATTTCTATACCAGGAGCTTGAACCAGTCCCAGTAGTAACACACAAGCCAGAGCTTTTCACTTTTTGAAAAGTACCATTTCCAGTGTCAAGGTGCAAAATACTAATTCTTGCTGATAATGTTTCACCAATGAAAACCTAGAAATAATACTGTTGTATTGCTAAAGGTACAAAAAAATATTCAAGTATTTATTTTACCTCATTGAGGGCCAACCATGGCAATTTCCTCACTTTGGGAAGATTTCCTTTTGGAATAGTTGTTTTATGATATTTCACATAAAATCTGCAATAGTTTTTGATGAAATGTACAATCACAAGCCATGTTTGTGATAAACATTTTTCAAAAATCATTTAAACTCACTTGTCATCTTCACAAGGCAAACATTTTTCATGCATGTGAAAAGGCATCTGCCATACATTCTCCCCATGGAGTGTGATTCTAATTCTACTCCTCATTAGGTATTTAAAATTACCAGATTTCAGTCTTTCAAATATCTCATTTATATTGTTAGTGTATTTGAATGAAAGCAACAAAAATCCTTCTGAAAATTCTGGATCTGAATTAATTCCTACAATGGGTTTATTGTTATCGGCAATCATGTTAGCAGCTAATAAAAATGTACCATCTCCACCCACAGGCACAATAAGATCTGCCCAATCAATACTTTCAATATCAATATTGTGTCTAAAACAATGATAAACAAGTTTTTTAAAGGAGAATTAAGCAAACAAGAGTTGTACACAAATTAATTTACCTATCTCTTATTCTAAAATCAATATTTTGTTTTTTGAGTGCCTGAATAGTTCTTAACTCTGTAGCTTTATTTCGTTGATGACCAGCAAAGATAGCATCATAGTTTGTGCCTCTTGTCAATAGCCCTTGTTTGAACTGGTCCTCAGAAAGACTAGGATTAGCTTGCCTTTCTATTTGATATCTTGAAATTTTTGTCAAGATAAGGACTCTTTGTGGTATAAAACTTGACTCAAAACACTTATGAATTTGCAGTAGCTTGGATGAGTTGCGGGATTTCAGAAATTCTTGAGCAGCTGTTATGTAAAAAAGTGAAACTATTTTATCAAAACAACAATACTTTAGTATCAAAACAATAATAAAGTGTATCATTTTTCATAAATGAAAAAAGGAATCGAAATCTTTAAATATCACATTATCCCTTTAAATGATTATAATTGATTTGAATAATTAAATTTCTGTATACAGGCAAAAATAAATACTCACAATATGCTCCTCTTTGAAGTATTGTAAAAAACTTCATCATGTGCTTCGCATGTTACAGAATCAAATTAAAACAAGGGTAGAATTTGCTTATATATGCAAAGTTGTTTATAATTATACCCTATAACATATTTTAACCTCACTGTTCGTCATGAAATTACGTTCAACTCGAAAATACAATTCGTTCACTATCAAATACTTATAAAAGCCTGCAAATTGTACGTGATTATTTACATAAAAAATTAGTGGTTAAATAAAAATAAAAACATTCCCTGACAATTAATGACAAACCAAATTAGACTGCACCGGAGAACGTATAGAAATGTTCTACAGTTTCAGCGTAGGTACATTTGTACTTTATGTACTTCTTCCAATCTACATATTGGACTGAAACACCAATCAATAAAGAAGTTTTTGTATACTAAGCTTTTAATTATTGAAAATAAATTTTTATCACTTTTTATTTGAAATTACGCAGTACCTATTACCATTACACGATAAGTAGTATGGTTTTGTTTTAACTTTCGGGTAAATTATATACAATTTACAAAATCAACTTAAAAGCACGAATTGCTTGTTGTAAAGGAATTTGTTATGTTTGAATTAAGTTAAATATTTATCTTCAAAAATAAAAAAAAATAAAAAATTGTTTTTTTATATTTCTTGAGGCGTTACGTAAAATCGAAGATTATAACTTAATGGTTGATCAACCTTGGTAACAATCAATTATACGGATCTTCTTTTCATTTTGCATGATACAAAGGTTATAGGGCTCGATATTAATAATTGCGTTATCATAGTTCAAAAAATAAGTAATACCAATGACTTTCAAATCAATGAAAAAATTATTAACATTTCAATTCGAACAAAAAATGATAATTGCATGCTCAAAATTATATTACTTTGAAAAATTATTATAAATTTAAAGATGATTGATTGAACACATATTAGTGCATAAAGAAGTATTTATCTTCAATCGTTTTCAATTTATGTATAAAAAAAGACAAATAAATACAAGTGAGAACAATGGAAGGAAAGTATATAAAATTAACACGATTGTTTTTTCGTTTACACGCTTCGCTTACATTTTATTAATTTGTTTGCAATACAATAAGTCTGTTTAAATAGCAATGACAGGCTACCTAGTGTAAGCCATCCTTGAAACTATAGACAATCATGATGATTTACTTCTAAATTCATCGTTTGCTTCGTCTGCACAACATCTCTTTCCACTTTTACATATTTGCGTCGAGAAATTCATGCAATCGGATTTCTTTTTTCTTCTTCTAGTAATTAATATTACACTATTTAATGTATTGTAAGGTCGCATCAAAAATTAAAATTTTATAAAAAGCGTCGTTATTTCGCGAACCAACGATTTAGCTAAAGTATATTTCTCTCAAATTATAACAAATTAGTTTAGTTTATCATCGACGGGGGAGATGGAAGTGCCTCACAGCACTCTAAGGTATTGTTTACACATGCACTTTTTGAAAATTTGAATTGACGAAATACTGTTCATATCTAAGACAACGTTTTTATTTTACAAAAAGAAAATAATAAATAAATTATGCTAGACGAAAAAAAGTCTATCTTTCAGTTGTTCACATTTCTTTTTTAAATATAAAATTATTACTGTGAATCGATACTAAAATTATTGCTATGAATAAATTGGCGAAACGTGAATATGAAATCTAATGACTTTGAACGGAAAAACATTATTTTTCTCACTTTACATTTGCCACAACTTTGATTGGCTTCGTGGCTTATTTTTACGAATGTAGATATCTCATGATATCTACGAGCGCTGTTATCAATATTATTATTACAGGTGGAATTGAAAATCATTTTTACATCAATTACATAAAACAATTTATTTCAACGTCTTTTATGCTCAAATTCATGCATATTAAGTAATTATGCGATATTAGCTGTTAAAAACTGTGGAACGACGATATACTGTTGAAAATTTACAAAGTTTACATAAATCACATGTAAGCTTAAGATGAGCTGGGCCAAGGTAAAACTACTTGAAAATTTTCATTCGAAAAGACGTTATAAATTGAAGTTAAGAGAAACATCAAAATAAACTAATTTACGTTGTTATAAATAGAAAGCAAGAGACGCGTAAAAGCTAAAAAAAGCTATATAAAATACAAGACAATTCCTTTTTTCACCTAAAAACTCGACCTATGAGTGTACATAAGTGATTTTTTTGAACTTATTACTATATCGACATTATGTTGCATTACAGGAGAGAATTTTTTACAATTAAATCTAAAATGCGATTAGTATGTTTGCACCACGTGTGAAACATTCATAATGCCACTTCTTCGCGAGCCTTAATGTGAAACGGCGAGCTCAGAATTAAAAAAATTCGTTATAAAATCGTATTTACACTACACATTGAAAAGCGGAGCATTCACCATATCATCATTTTTAGTAGTTATTTTTTGTAATTTTTTGTATCTTCGTAGTAAAAAGTACCGGATTATCAAATTTGTCCTCTATTTAAAATCCATTCACAGCATCAATAGTTATTATTAGATAAGCTTCGCAAAACATCAGTGTCTTCACCATTCGCTATGTTTATGTACAGTTTGAACTTTCGTAGAGTTCCCGTCGGTTGCAAAAAACACATCTTTACGTGCGAATCCGCTTATTAATCTACACCTTAAAATACTGATAATTGATGATGTTTCGAATAATGTCTTTTTTTATTTATGCTTTGTTCATGAGTTTTTTCATGACTCTTCAATACTTTCACTATGCGTGTACACTTGAATCAACGAGTTCCGCTGCACTCGAGTGTGCAATATGGAAAGATATACGAGTGAATTCTGGAATGGCGTGTAATTTGCTTCTAAACTTGTTATTTCGTGTCAGATAAAATTCGTTTGACTTTATCTAGAAATTGTGTATACATACATTCTGTTAATGTAGCGTTAAACTGCGATTTGTTTTTACATTTTACATAATAATATTGTGATCTCTATACACGTTTTCTAGGTATAATATATCTTTTTTATCTCTCTTATCTCACATTCGTTATTTTGTAAAATATTTTTTCCCCAATGACTCTGTGACACTAAGCCTATATAATACAATTTTGTGTAATCACGGTTGAATTGCTTAGGCAAAATATTTTCGTTTAAGTACATCGACCGATCCTCATTTAATATAATACCAAAGAAAAAGACTGTTTGTTAATTAAAAGAGAAAAAAAACTTAACATTAATGAAAACGCAATAATGAGTATTATAAAAAATACTTTTCAAACTAGACAAAGAATAAAACGTAACGTCAAATCTCGAGTTGTATCGAGTGCTTTAGGCCGGATCGAGAAATTAAAGAAGAGAAAATACAGAATAATAAGGTGGATCGCTATAACGCGATCGTCATGAGGATCCATGCTATTATGACAGCATTGTTTGTTTTTGTTTTTAGTAATAAAAGTGTGCAAAACTATTACAGCCGCTACGAATGCGAGCTGAGCCTCAGCTATGCGTCTGTGGGTGTAGTGGTGGCGGTGCTCCGGTTATCTCAGTCCAGCGTGCCTCAAAGAAATTTCGCATCCCGTGGCCCGCTTTGCCTACCGGACTATCATCTTCGTTGAACACTTCGCAGTTTATAAACATCTGCCGTACGTCTGCGCAAAAATCCTCGCGTGATTTATATCTGGAAAATAAACAATTTTTTGATGAATTGCAAATTAATGGATTTTTGCAGGTTTTGTATTTCAGATGTTCTACTTACACACAATCTTGTAATTTCTTCTTGATCGTACTGAGATCCATAGGAATCTTGATAATTTTCTTATAGGTGGGGAATTGCTTGGTGTTAACAGGCAAGAGGAATGGCCAGGCATCGTCTTGGTTTTCTAACTGTTCGAGCAAAATTTTACAGGGTGCAAGTTCGCGTTGTTGTTTCTTGGTTAATGTTTTTCCATAATTGGCATCTTTCCTTGGTGAAGCTGTTGGTGTTGCTGGCTCGGATGAGCTTACGTCTTCTATATGCGTGTTTGAGGCTGTTGATGGCGTTGGACTGTAGCGCAAAACACATACATACATCAGTCAATCGCGCGACGCATTTAAAAAAATTTTTTTATTCAGCCTCTAAAAAGCGAAAACGTAAAATGTTATGTATAGTGAAATGAGAGTAGTCTAACAGCGGCGGCGGCGCTTAAATAAGAAACAAAGGTACACTTTTTTTGATAAAAAACAGCGAGTCAATCAACTGTCAAGTCGATCGAAATGAGAGATGTGTTTCTCGTGATAATTAATGCGTGAAAGTGTGAGTGGTGTTTGTATGTATATGACTCGTGTTCGATGGTCGACAGAGAGGTGCTTGTAATTCTTGTAATTCGCAAATAGTAAACCTTGTAAATAAAACACGCTGAACCAATCGAGCCGACACATTTGTTTTGCTTTAACGTAATCACCTAGCTGGTGGATGATCGGAACTTTCACTGTCTCGCGTGCCTCCCGCCTTATCGCCCTTGTGACTTTTTCTGCTGCTATTTCGCTTCTTTGGTTGCTTACTATGACAGTTCGAGCAATACCATTTTCCTCGAGGCATCTGCAAAAATAAATGAAAATTGTTTAAAATCAGTAATATTACTGGTAATAAATCGAGTATAAGAAATAATAATCAACCTGCATTTAACGATTAATATTTTTGATAAAAACTTACAGATCAAAATTATAAAGCAGAACATAAGATTTTATTAGATCACAGTAAATAGAATAAATTAACTAAATAATATTACCTTTGGCATAACAGGATTATGGCAGTCCGTGTGATAAGCTCTAGGGCAAAGTTCGCAAAGAACCAAGTTCTTGCCAACTCGTTTACCGCAGACTATGCAATTCCTTTCTCCTGTCGCCTTATTCATACATTCGTGACAGTACCTAAAACAAACCCGACAAGAGCTTATACAAATGTATACGGTTGCGTAACTTAATTGTAATTTTAATCACTAACCAATCACCATCTGGAATATTTTCCATTTTTGGACGGAAACAATAAGTATGGTAGCCGCGATCGCAACTATCACATAACAATAACTTGTCTTCGTTGTCACCGCTATGACAAAATTGGCAGTTCTGGAAATAATCACGTTGATTATAGAAACGCAATATTAAAAAAAAAGCAAAATTATTATTTGTAAAAGTAGCTTTTTAACCAAAGCTTTGTTTATATAAAGTTTATTTGTCATTAGAATCGATTAGAAAGCAATAGGAGTAAATTGAATAATAAGTTAAGTTGAAAAAGCAGCAAAAAATATTTACGTAATTAGTCAAAGAAAACGTAGCTGTGTTATGAATTATTTACGAATTATCAATGGAATTTAATTGAATATCATGCATTTGTAACTTGAACGAATAATAAGGTTGATCGAACGAAAATGTAATATCCACCGAAAGGAATGAAACAAGCAAGGAGTTGGATTAAAATAAACAGGAAGGATAGCAAGAAGTGATTGTTTAGTAAGTGAACGATGTTAGCAAGCATAAATAGTCGATTGAAATAATTAGTCGAATAAGTAGCTGTGCATAAACAATCATGCTGTGATGAAGTAATTCATTAAAAAAAGCCTTACAACAATGGACAAAAATTAAACGAAAAATAACGGCTTTTTCTGCTGCTTTGAAAATAAATAGCACATAAATAATTAATTATTCAGCGTCACAGCTTTAAAATCGACGGCTCAATCAATTGTACAGCATTGATAAATCTCAAATCAGCCAAATTTGACCTTAAAATATTCACCATTATAAAATTCTAACAAGTAGGACGAGAAAGAGGACAACATTAGGAGGCAGTTTTTGCTTCTCTAAGAAAAGTGAGACATAGTGACAATGGGTGCAGAGTATTTTTGTTGTTGTTTTACAAAACCACTTGGAAAAAGACTGTGGAAGTGTTGGACAGACCAAGGATAAAGAAGAAGTAGAAGAAAAAGAAGAAGCAATCAACCGGTTAGTAAGAGTTAGTGCAAATACCCACAGAGGCCTGAGTAGAAGACACTAGCTGTTTAGTAGCGCTTTTGAGTGAGACGCTGCGATTTCGTAGCTTGACGCAGACTGGCTTTCTAGCCGAGTTGTTTAGACTCACAGCCTTCATGATGCTCTTATCCCAGGCGATGCTCGCCTCGAGCATGTACAATGCCATCGCCAGTTGAGCTGATGTGTGTGCTCTGGCTGTGGCCTCGCGCCAATTGTTCAATCCTCGCGGTGTTGTCTCCTCCATTGAACTTGGTTGTGAACTGCCACCTTCTGTCGACAAATTTGCACTGCTATTGATGTTCGTGCTGCTTGCTGCCGCCGCTTGTTCTGCCTTTAGCGCTGCTAGATTCGCATCGCCCGCGCTGCGGATAATTGTAATATAAATAATCTTTATATCAATTGTTAATCTTTTAAAAGTAGCTAATGTAGCTAATGTTTGATTTTTAATTGACTCGTAGTTTGTATAAAAGAAATTTCAAACTGCACTGTACCAAGTTCCAAGTGGTGGTTTGAGATATCTCCTCTCGATAGCTGCCTCGAGCGAGAGTAATCTTTGCCGTGCTTGTTCCACCGCACTGATCTTTTCCAGCTCGTGTAACTTTTCGAGCTCCTCGGCCTCCTCGGTACCAGCCCTCGGTGGCAACTTCCAACCTTTGATCTGCATACTTGCATTGGCGACTTTGTCTTCGAGAGCTTCCACTTGCTCAAGCAGTTGTGCATCTACTCGTATCGCCACCTGTTCGCTCCACTCGTCTGGATGATCTGCTTTTGGTGGATCGGACGGGTCTGTTTCACCGTCCTCTGACATGTCTGTGGCTGTAATATTGCCTGGATCTACGTGAACTTTGCCCGTCACCGCAAGGAACGACTCCATCATCGCCCACGTCGTGCGTTTCAATTCTTTCTCGCGCACTCCACGTGAATGCAGATGTTCAAGAAGTTCATTGAAGGTTTCGACCTCCGTTATTCTCCACCAGCCACATCGCAGATCTAAGAGCATAAGGTATTAATAAATTAATTTTTACATTTTTACAATCGATTAAATTAATTAAAGCATTATGTTCCTGCATGATTTGACATATCTTTAATGCGCAAACGTTTAGTGATAAAAAACAAATAATTCTTTATTTTAAATTGAAGTTAGCTAGCTCATGATGCATTAGCACATAAGGTAATTGGTTGATACATTTTTGTTGTATCTACACGTAGACCATATTCTTCTTTTATGTAAAAATATGTTTGTAAGTACCCGTATGATTTATTATTTAAAAAATTAACATACATTTATTTTATAAAACAATGGCACTACGTTACTTTTCGTTAATCAAACTTTATAGTCATTGCCAATAAGAAAAATACCCTATCCTATTACCCCAGCCACTATTTGGTTCAAAATTTAATCATAAATTTACCTTTGGGCACAGGTTTCGCTTCACCAGGTGGTGGTAAACCATGCACTTTTAGGTACTCGAGCTGTGTAGCTTCGTCTTGCGTTAGAACGAGTGGCGCAGGGCTGTCGCATCGATCATAGCTGGGACTTGCAGGTGGTGGAAATATCGGGATCTTCAGCTCTGTTGGCTCAGCGACGCCAAAGATCTGTTTTGTACTTGTACCTGGCGTGTCGCATGTTTCACGTGGGATGATGGAGAACCAGGTATCCGTTCCGTTGTCTATGAAAAAAGAATATTAATTTATTTATAATTTTTACTGTTTGCAAAATTTGTATTAGGAAATCGATAAATATATTACCGGTGATATAATTTCCATTTAGCTCTTTGCCATTGTGGAGGTTATTTACATGATTGAATTTATCCCCATTAGCTACTGCCTCGACACTCTTGTTCTCAGCCTTTATGGTACGTTTCGTTTCTTCTTCATCGCCATTCTCATCCTTTTTCGGTTCGTCTGATTTCATCTCGACGTCCATTTCAGTCTCTTTTTTAACGTAATCTGCGTTGGTTTTACTGTCCATTAGATCGACGTCTTTCTTTATTAACGAATTCTTCAAGTCATCGGATATACAGTTATTCTTCAGGACTTCAGCTGTGTTCTTGTGATCGTTTTTCACCTCGTCTTCTTTCTCGTCTTCTTTGATCGAATTGACTTTCTTCTCCTCAATTTTGACGTCATTGGGAACTTCATTTTCACGATTCTCGTTATTCTTAATATCCTTTTCTTCGGATATCGGCTCCTCTTTCTCTTCGACAGGCATATTTTTGTACTTTTCGTCAAGTTCTGCTTGTAGCTCGAGAACTTCAGGTTCTGTGCTTTCCATCGCCTCAACGAATATGCCACCGGAACACGGTAATTCCCAGTACCTTCGCCAATATCGGTCTTGACCAAAAGCATGAGCTCGGAGTCCTTTCGACGATCCATTGAGCTTTTGAAGCTGCTCTTCCGATTGCTTCAATAATTTTTCAAGCTTCTTGCCAAGTTCTTCTGCCGACAAGTTCTTATCCTCCTCCTACACAAAAATAATGAAAGTTAATTTCACGCATACATCGATTGCAAAAATACAGTTGACCCGTAATTCACTTTATTGAAAAGATATATATTTTTTAAATATTTTCAACAAACGAAATAAAGTTTTTAAAAATGCACCGTGTTATCAAGTCTATTGACCTGATTTCAGCAAGAACAAGGTGCAGGACTCTAACACGAACGATACTAACAATACTGACCTCTTCGGGCTGCGTGCCCTCGCTCTCGTTCTCGGACATTTCTTCTTCATGCGTCTCCTCCTCGTGATGCTGATCATCGGGCGTCGGCGTTGTGTTTACAGCCGTGGAGTTGGTATTACTCTCTTCCCCGTCGACGTCCTTCTTCTCGATCGTAATCGTATCACCAGTCTTATTGACAACCACGCCAACGGCCTCCATCCTGACTTTTCTACCATGCAATTGCCTGAGTTTCCTGATCTTCGTATCCAGTAAAAATCTCTCTTTTTTGAGTTGAGCGACGGTTTCGAGACTCGTCTCGATCTGTCGAATCACAGCCTTGTTCTGCAGCAGCTCGTTACACAAGAAGGCGAGCATCTGCGCCTTGTGCGTCGGATTGAGCGCGAGGAAAGGTTTATCGCGCAGGCGCTCAGACATGCGCCAGGTTTCGTTGTTGTGCAGATGCTCGTAGAACTGTGCATTCTTACTGGAACAGTTAAGCGCGTTGTCGCCGCCGTTCTGATGATGATCAGCGAACCTTTTGTCTCTCTCGCGCTCCAGGCACACACCCGTCAGCGCCTTCACTTCGCCGGTCGCGTTCGCGTACAGATAGATACGCAGTACCTCACTAATATTCGCGTGTGTGATATCCGCTTGGCGAAGACTCTGACCGAGACCGGTCGTGTGGCGTGCCGGATGGGGTATTCCGGGATCTTCGATTGCACAGACCAACAGGTGCGTCATGACTGACAGCATCTCTTCTTCAGCTTCCTCGTCGTTCAACAGAGCCGCTTGCAGGCTCTTTAGACTAGGCAGCGACTCCATGTCTACTGGGAAAAATTTTGTCCGGTCATCACCGCAGTTCGAAATGCAATAGCAAAAGTCACGATAAGAAGGTAACTCACCAAAGCCAAGCGTCTCGCCAAAGTTGTGCAGAAACTCGAAAACCATGACGATATCAGCGAACGCCTGTCCGGACAATCTCAAACCAGGTATTCTCTTGATCTCTGGCAAAGGCCTGTGATCCGTCAATTCCATATCCTCGACTGGTTTGCGAATCTGCTCGACGAGTTCAAGCTCCATTCTCCTCTGTTCTGCTCTTTTCTCCTTCGATGCTATCCTTTCGGCTCTCGCTTCCAATCTCTTCTTCTCTCGCTCTTCCATTTTTCGTCGATTTTCTAATGCTCGGATCAATGCCATGTGTTGACGTCGCCTTTCCCGTTCCTGTGGGTACATACAGAACATTTTTGAATATTCAATCGTGCGACCGGCGAGAGAGGAGAACGATAAAATAATTATGAAAGAAAATTTTTGCGTCGACAGACGACCGAACAGACACGTCAAGTCAACACACACAAAGACTACTACTTTTCTCGAGGAGAGTGGAGGGACTCAGCGGGATTAATCAAGCGTTTGAAAGTGTTGTTGGAGATTCATTTATCGCTTGCAAAAAAAATTGATACTTTATTTTTCCGACAATTGACCTGTAATTAATAATTACAGAATCAAACAATTAATTTTGTTTCATGTTTTTCGTTAGATAATCGCTGTCATGCGATAGTAATTAGCAACATAGAAATTTTATGAATTTATTATTTCTAGAAAAAGAGATCATTAGTAATTGACCCCACTTGTTCATATAAATTGAAAAAAAGTAATATTTTTCTAAGATAAATTGAGATAAGTCCATTTCGTTCAAAAAAATTACTTTCCGGTCTGAAATCTTCCGAATAAATCTATTTTAACGTCAAAAATTTAAGTATTGCTCAAAGCAAGGGGATGATAAGGATGAGGAAAGACAAAAATAATGATAAAAAAAATTACACACATCGATTCATTCAATCAAAGCCAAAAAACAAAGCATGATGAGGTGATATAACAAAGCGTGAAAACACCAATGAACCAAAAACAAGTGAAACTCTCGAAAGAAAAGACCATACAAGGCGATGATTTTTTATCCGCAAATAAGGGAGAGAGCTTTTGTAAAAGTGGGCTGGGTGGTCTGGGGGGTGGGGGGAGCAGCAGGTTAAACCAAGAGTTAGGTATGGGACATACCAGCTCGACGGTGTAGAGCATCTCGCGCTGCTTGGTGAGCTCCTGCATGTACATCTGTGGCAACAAAAACACATCCAGTCCACCAGTGCTAATCTCTTTCGCTCTCTTTCAACAAACTCACATTCTCTCTTTCTTTTCTTTTTTTTTTATTGTTGAAGGGGATACTCACAAAGCGTACATGTCATTTCTCTTTGATTTTTTTATATTTAAACGAGCGCGCCAAAAAAAAAAAAATCTTCTGAATGAGTAAACTAGCTACTTGAAAATGTATAAAAAAGAATAGTACAATGTCAAAAAAACTACGAAGATTGATTGAGATAACAAAAAAATAGTTTACAATGAAATCAAAAAATAATAACTCGCAAAGAGAGAGAACACAATATTACTATATGGATATCACACGAGAGATAAGAGCAACTTCTTCGTTTCGAAAAGCAATCGCTTACCTGCTCTTTTAGTATTACCGCTTGTTGTCGCTTTAATTCGCGTTCCTGCAATTTACATATACATTATCATAATTTTTTCAAAATCCCGATGCCGGACAGGATGACAAAATATTAAAAAACAAATTTTGTATTAACCTGCTGCTTCCGTTGTTGCTCCTCAATGCGGATCCTGTCCACTTCTTCCTGGCGTTTTTTCCGCGCCTACGCATAGATTCGGATATCATTCGTCAGTTCCTTGATTGCACATTCTCGTAACTTTGATTTCTTTTATGTATATTCAGAGAGGATTGTTCAAGTAAGTGTATCGACAGAGCAGGTAAAAATATTAATATAAACCGATATATGATTGAATTATTTGCAATTCATTGGCTTGGAAACTAATTGGCATGTGTTTTTTAAGTGAACTTTGTAAATTTTATTTGTCCGATAATATAATAACCGCAGCGCTATGTCTAATAACTCACTCGATCATCCTAAAAATTCAATTAATAGTAGAGTGATCAAAATTCTTTTGATTGAAAAAATATGTATATAAATTATCGTATGGTTAGATGTATTTGTGTGTTTTCGTTTTTCTCGGCAAGTACCTTCCATTCGTGTTTTCGCGTTTATATTTAAAAAATTCTTTTTTTAACTTCGACAAAATGCTTTGATAAAATGTCATCTACATCCTTGTTTTCGAAAGGATCTAAAATCTATGAGATGCTTCTACAGACACATAAGCAGCCGCGATTTTATAAACGTGTAGAAATTAAAATTAGATAATACCACTTATATTTTCTTTTTGAAAAACACTGTCACGAATTTAATAAACATTAATCGTTTAACATTTTTTTCTCAGATCAATTAGATCAATTTGTACAATATTTCATAAAAAATTTTAGTTGTAATTTTAAATACAAATCTTATAAACTCTTTAATCATTGAGAACATTATAGTAATAATATAAATATATTATTAAATATATAAAAGAAGCAAACATCAAAACTGATTATATACATATATACATATATATATAGCATATACATATACATATATGTATACATATGTATATATGTATATACAAAATTAACTACTATTTCAAAAATTGACAGTATTTTAATAAACTTGAATAATAAATGTAGCAAAATTGACATGCAAAACTTTGAAAAACTTCTGTTGATCACTGACAATGCAAGGCACAGGAGAGAGCAGAAATCGTCCAAACATACCCTAAAAATTACTTTAAAGTGATCATAATTAAAAAGCTGATGATGCACAGATAAAAATAGTAATATAGTATAGTAAAATATGAGCACGTGAGATATGTATTCATAAACCGTCACCCATAGCAGTTGAAATTAACAAAAAGCGTGCATGCAAAAATTGAAGCTTCATAAGCACTTAAAACTGCGAGCCCTATGACACAAAGCTTTAAGGACTAAAAATGCAGAGAACTATGTAACAAGAGAATGGAGAAAAAGATTTTTTTCGACAGTACAATACAATAATCTCTCCGTTGACCATAAAAGTTATATACAAATGTATACGAATCACTAGAGATATATAAATATATAGTTGACATGCTGTATGTGATTAAACAGCTAGCTGTTATAATATAGTGACAGGAGAAGCTATAGAGGCACAGGAATAGTGTTGCTGCAGTTTTCTTTATCGCACCTACGATTACATCAGCCTCTAAAAAACGTGCCTAAATCATATATATATACATGTATATGTATATCTATCTTTCACTGCTTTAATCATCACTTGCACTTGAGATCTTGTGGTCTTCTCAGATCGTCGCCGTCGTTGTTGTCATCTTCTGGATCTTGAAGTACATATGCGTGTATGCACGCTCTCACAAGCAATTATATGCAAATCGGCTTTAGCAGACGACTCGCCAAAGTATATATTGTTGAGAGAGCTCGTTCCCGTTTATTCAACACAAGTTCGTTTTAATTTTCTTTTTTTATTATTCAACTAGTCAATCATAGAGACTCACTACAAGCTTTTTTTTCAATGATAGTGAACGAAAAATATATATAGAACAAAAAATCAACATCTAAAAAAATAGAAGTCAACTATGTCAAACGGAACTAAAAAGGAAAATAAAGAGGAGACTCGCACCGCATAAGTCTTCGAGCCGCTAGCGGAAAACTTCTCTAGGTGCGTGCGCTCGTTTTCTTTTACAAAGACGTATATCTCTAGAGGTATACATAAGCTTTTTCCTAGTTTTCATGCAATGTCGATCAACAGTATATAGAAGTGTTTTAGGGCATCTATATTGTCGAGTATATGGCTTGTCGTTTTTTTTTCTCTTTCGTTTATTTTTTGCTTACTAAACGGTATGAATTTCTTTTTGTGCGATTCCTCTTCTATGCGTTTAGATGTGAGTGTTTTTATAAATCTGTGTTTTTAATGTGTTTGTTTGCTCTGAAGTTGTTTATAAGCAGTTTTCTTTCTTAAGCACAGCGCATGTTGGTTTGGTATGTCGAGTTTTGTAGTGTGCGAGTTTTCTTTTGTACATAGTCAGGGAATCGAAGGGGAATGAGGATTTTTAATTTTTAAAAAGGAAAGTAATTGAATCCGAAAGACTCAACAATTGCTCATTGGTTGATACACTCGCCAATTAAAGGTTGGCGGCAGGAATTTCGAGGTAGGACTTGTAGTGTCGATGTCAAAGAGTCGATATAAAGTTCCCGCGCGAAGGGCAGGTAAAGGACTCACAGAGTGTGTTTTTTTCATCACAGCGCTCTTACCTCGAGCATCTCTTGGCTCTGGCTCTGTGCCTGTTGTATCATCTCCACAGTGGACTGCTGCTGTTGTTGATGGCTGGGTACAAGGCTGGATTCGCTGGGAAGTTGCTGTTGCTTTATCGGCGTGGTCAGTGCAGCGGCAGCTTTCTGACTGGTCGGCTGATGCGCAACGATCTTCTTGGCATGCTCGACGTCCAATTCGGAATGCATCATGTCGCGATTCCTCCAACTTTCGGCAATATTTTCGCGGTTCTTCCAGATCGTAGCCACGGTGCTGCTAGCCAAGCCCAGCTCGCGAGCCACGTCGCTTTTGCTTTTGCCGCGCTCGATCTCTTGGATTATCTTCATCTTCTGCTTGATCGTGAATGCTAGCCGCTTACGACCCTATACACGAGGCACGTCGAGATAACATTGAACACGCGCCGGAGAGATTTTTTCTGGCTTACTATAGTCCTAGTGACTTCATTGTCGCAGTCTTTTTCTATTTTTTTTTTCTTTATGATGATACATTTCGGTTTGCACGACTCGGTGGAAGATAGGTTTTTCTGTTACATATATAGAGCTAAAGGGTGATGTGCTTTGAGATGATTGCGTGGTGGTATATCTTTTTTAATCTTTGATTTTCTTTGATTAATTGTGCGTGTTGAAAGATGAGATTTAGGTGAGTGCAGGTGGGGCATTGTTTGTATAGCCAACTGTATATAGATCGTGAAGTTAGTAACAGTATATAGTTATAACGTTTACTCGAGTGCACGATTTCTCTCTCTTGCTCTAAATGGTCCTTATATATTGTGATAAGTACCATTAGGAAGCAATTGGAAAGTCTTTGCATGTGGTTGTTTTTTCAAGCAAATGAACATATCAATTACTCATTTTTTTATTAATATGATTTTAATGTTACTGAACAGTGAGAGCACAGTAATCAATGATTTTTTTTCAAACGAAAACACAAAGTGCTATAGCTCTCCTGTCACTATCGCTAGCTAAATTTGTTGGCTGGTGTAGATTCGTGTGTTTGTGGATCATTTGAGACAGGAATATAAAAAAGGGGACAAAAGTGTAGTAGACTAAGTCGAAAAATATACATAAGCTTATATATGTGTGAAGGAAAAAAATAATATATATATATATATATATATATATATATATATAAATGTAAGAATCTGATAAAAAAATTGCCCACGTGTTTAATATGAGCATATATATATGCGTGTGCATGTGTATACACGCACACAGATATAAATAACTCCAAGATAGAGAAAAAATATGTGTATGGACACAAGTAAATTCCAAAAAATTAATAGAGTATATATATACGGTACACACAAAGAGCATGCGACACGCACGACAAGTGATAAAAAGTACAAAAAGGATCAAGTATCCGAGAGAGAGATATATAGAAAAAAGAGAGTAATTCTTTTGTAATAAAAAATGAATGAAACAACAAGATGATAAAATTCGAGAAATTCCTTTTTGAAAGCCTGCTATTTGTTGTATTTTTTTTACGAACGAACACACTTACCTCGAGCAGCTGTTGATTTCGCAGCTCCCTCTCTCGACGAACGGCCTCTTGCCTTTCAGATTTTTCTTGTTCTTTTAATAGCCTGCAATTAATCAATTTGGAAAATTATGCGCTCGTAATATGATGGAATTAACGGGTTATTTCAATAATACATGATTTATTAATTTATTGTAAGCTGTATCGATAGTGAATGCGAAATATAATTATAGATTACATTACAAATCGATAAACACGGGATTCGATTGAACGTTTGAAAAAATGGCATTAGTTAAGATGATTTTTTTTCAAGAATGAAATATTAAAATACAAAAGTAATAACTTACCTTGCCTGCTCCTTGTGCCTCTGAGCCTCTTCTTTAGCTAATTTCTTAGCATAAGCAAGTTTGTCCCTCTCGTACTGGTTGTTAACCCTGACGTCGCGAAAACTACCAGCTGCCCTGAGTTCTTCGAGTCGCCTCGCAACCTCCTGAGCACCGAGGCGAACGAATTCGGCTTCCGCAAGACCCATCGTTGGTTGAAGAAATTCACCGACTAGTGGTCTCGACGAAAAAGAGAAGTTAATAGTTGTCAAGTCTGCTGGATTTTGCATGTCTAGGAACTGTTTCAAAAAACAAACGTTGTAACACCTTGTTACAGTTAAAAAACAATATTGTAGTTGTCAGTAGAAAATTAACGTACTTTCAGTAATTCCGAGCTACTCCTAAAGATTTTCCCGCAGGGGCTGTAATACGACACGTCGCCCTTAATCGAGCCTGTCTTACCGAGACCCTTGATCACGGTCTCACGCTTCCAGCCTCGTTCGAGCGGCGCTTGCAGATCTTTCTCGTTGTAATTGAGCTTGCGCTTCTTCGCGCTCGGACCGTCGAGGATATCCTCGTCCGTGTCCGAAAGCACGTCGGTATTACTTCCACTTTCACTTGTCACATCCATATTTTCTTCACCAGTTATATCCATTAACTTGTTCTTCATTTTTTCTTGCAGCGAGCGCTAAAAAGATACGAATCGTGCATCGACACTGAATATTCTAAGCTTTCTGCGATTATAGTATTCCGTGATAACTCGACGTTTACGATATAATAAATTGGCTTTGAATAGATCAAATCTTACCGAGAGTTTGTCGTCGTGATGCCCAAGTGTCGATGAATGCAGCTGGGCCGCAAGTATATTCGATCTGAGCAGCGATACCTGATGACTCAACGGTACATTAGGATCTAATTGAGGCGTGGGTTTGATCCCTAACGCTCTGCTCTGTGCGAGCAACGACGCTACCGTGTTTTTCTTGGGTTTGGACACACCACGACCGAGATTTCGCGGCCGGTCCTTATGATGTTGTGCTGAATGATGCTGCTGTTGATGCTGACCAGGACTGTCACTTTCCTCGGGACGCTGAGGAGACGAGTCTGCTGCTGCCGCGAATAGCTGCGCCAGCGAAGAATTTGCCGAGCCTGGTAATGAATTTTGAGGTACCCTTCGTGGTTTGGGACCTGGCTTTCGTCGTGCTGGAACATGAAATTTGAACTTTTACGTATGTACATCGGTTTTTTAAACTAAACATTTTACACACTTTGGCTGTGCAAAAAGAAAATACAATTCAACTAAACAAAGCGATGTTTATTTAAAGTCAGCGCTATCTACGGCATGGCAAATCTCCATTATAAAAATCTCATTTAAACTCACGTTCAAGTTTAAGGTTTCATAATCAAAATGGTTGAATTGAATTATTGCCAATGTGTAGTTCAAAAAATTAAAGTAGCTAGAAAATTTATCTCAAAATGCTTATCTCTCATCCTATTTTTACATTAAACTAATTAGCATTTATAGATTTTTCTCATAAGTTAGATAAGATATTTTAATCATTATCGAATGCTTTTTTTTCATAGTCGCGATCAGACAAGTCAAAACACAAGATAAACGAGTAGTCAAAAAAAAATGACTTACAAGTCCGATCAGAAGCGAGGAGTGACTGGCTGAGATTGCTGAGTTGACTTAACGGCTGACTACTAGCATGAATAGGCGAATCAGAGCTGGTGGACAAGGGTTTTAACGAAAGATTCAACGGTGCATCGACGTCGGAGTTGCTGGTAGTGTTATTCGTGGTGTAGGTAGATGAGACTGAGAGTACCGAGCCGTTAGTTGAGTGAGCCGGCAACTTTATCACCTCCACTCGGTCCAGCGAGTCTCTATCTCGATTTCTCTCGTACTCGTTGCCGCTGCTATCGTTCTGTGGAAAATGGCATGCGGTTCAGTCAGTGGTATTCCCCCCCCCCCTTTATGAATCATGCCTTATGTATGTAGCTAGATAGTAAGAAGAAAGTTATACGTTCGAGATTTCTCATTGAATAAACTATTGGATACGGCGTGTAATTCGATTGAGCATAATTTCATCTTATATCGCATCATTAGCGTTTTTATTACACACGATAAAAAAAATGGGAGAGAGAGAGAGAGAGAAAGGTTATTATTCATTTCACTTCATTAATCATTTCGATAGTGTACATCGTGAAGTACACGCGCTTACTAACAAAACAGAACAAAGCTCATTCGCACTTTTGGCGTGAGCAATTTCATCAGTCGATGCGAGCGAGATGTATAGTAATATTGCACCATTCGAGTTACGAAACTACGTCAGGGAGAAAATGTACGACGTTTTCTTGAAACCACACTCGTGCGCGCGACATTGTGACTGTTGTTTGGATAATTTCTCTTTATCCGTATTACAGCTAATGTAAAGATTGACTTAAAAAATGTAAACAAGAATAAATTATCGCGCTTCTTATCTCCCGAGACGATAATCGTATAGCGAAGAGAAAAACTTGCATGTCAAATATTTGGCTATCACTGATAGGTGTGTGTTTCTACGATGACTACATCAACGTACCCTTGATCGGCTGTACTTGGTCGAGTCCATCAACAGCTGAGCAGCTGTGCTATTATTTAACTGCTGCTGTTTCTGGGAGGAGGACGATGTTGTTTGTGGCGGAAGTGGTTGTTGCAAGGGACTGTGTACATTAACGGCCGGCGAGTCGAGCGAGATGGTCTTCTTACGGCCGCGATTCGTTGTGCCGGGCACTTTCGGGCCTACGATGCTCGACGTGTATTTTATTATCTCGGTGTCGGGCGGCAGCCTTACTCCGCCCAGAATACTGCTTGCGTCACTGCTGCAAATGTCAATTCAGAGACCGTCAGACTGCTAGGTGGAACGCCGCGCAAGCTCGCCCGTCAGCGATTTATCTACGTGATTTCGTTCCGAATTTTCGAATTCGCGACTAATTCACTCGGCTTTTTCTCGACCTAACGATAAATATTCGCGTTGCTCTGGAGTCACTGAATTATTAAATTACAATTAGCGCAAAAGGGCTCAGCGGTTAATTCATACACAGGAATTCCGTTCGCGAAGCTGCTTACTCGTTCATTGTGCCCCAAAAGAAAACAGCTGCAAAATAAAATCCTCACCTAATGACATTCGACTGAGAACTGCTCGACTGACTGGCGCTCGTCATCGAGTTACCGCTAGTAGAACTCGAGGTATTTTGGTGTGTGGTAGTCGCTTGCTGCTGCGTCTGGCTACTGGGTATCACCGGCGAATTAGCGGCAGCTCGACTCGAGCTCGAGTGCGAGCTCGCGTTGTTCGTCACCGCCGACGTTGACGATGATGCCGATGATGCTGCTGCAGCTGCCGCCGCCGCCGCTGCGACTGCTGTTGTTGCCGACGACAGCGACGAGTTTTTGTGACTGTTTTTGCTCGATTTGGCTGCAAGTGCACTTATGATTACTAGCTCGCCGGACAATCGAGTTTATGATGTTTTTTTTTATCGTGAACTACGAAAATTTCGATATCGGCTTTTTTTCCCCCGTGGTAAACGGTTAATTCGAGCAACTTCAAAAAAAAAAGCACACATTATTGCGATTGATAATGAGAGTAATAATGGCAGCAATGACAATTGCTGCGTCCGTGAACAACGTTATTGAATTAATCGCAAAGATTGCGGAAACTTTAGTTATACTGTTCATCATTCATTCGTGCCTCTATAATTACAGTTACGAATTGTTTGTTGGCTCGCGATAAATGTCGATTGCAACATTTTCTTATTACACGAATCGCATTTTTTTTAATTCGAACTGCAAGCGGTCTGCAGCTGTAACTCGAGCATTCGGAAGTGAATTTTTCAACTGCGTCGAAAAACGCACGACGCAGGCAGCTTGTCCGAAAAGCGCCAAGCGATCTTCGCAAATGCGTTGAGTCGAGAAAAAGAATGGCCTTTCTGATTCAACGCAACGCGGCAATTCAGGAAGATTAGAGAGCGAAACTTACACTTGCTAGACTTATGCGAGGCGTGCGAAGGGGCGTTGAGCAGAGCGGCCGGCGGATAAGGCGGCAGAAGGCTCTCGGCACCGGGTGGGAAGGCGGGCAGACCGGCGGCGGCGCCCTGCAGCCTGGCCAGGTAATCTTGCGTGGCTAGGTGAGTGGCCATGGTCCACCAGGCGGCGGTGTTCATGCCGAGGCTGGCCGCCTGGCTGGCGGCGACGCCGAGGCTGCCGAGCGGGCCCCCGTGCGAGTACGGCGAGGCCGCGGCCGACGAGTAGCCGCCGGGCCCAGCTCCGCCTAGCCGCGCGTACGCCGAGGGCAGATGGTGGGCCCCTAGCCCGGGGTAGCCCGCGCCCTGCATCCCCGGGAACAGCGAGCTCGCTGCGTCGCTGCCTCGAGGCCAGTAAGCTGCAAATCATTTTATTGATTTCTCGGTTTGCTGCCAGCTCGTGAGACTGCGGCGAGGCAATGTCTCGCAGCCTTCAACATTGCGACGCGCGACGCTAAGCCGCTGCGATGGAAATCGAACGGATGTCGGCTTGAAGGCTCCGGTGCTTTCTGCTTTATCTTTGAGATAAACGCACGTAGATACAGTTGAGCGTCCATAATCTAATCGGATGCTAAATAGGAGTTCTCCAAACTCAACTCCACCGGGGCATTAATCAAATTTTCAAAAACTACTTTACGAATTACAAAATTAAACTTTTACCCTCTCAATTCCATAACGTTTTACCTTTTTTCCATTTTTTTTTGTTTTTTTTTTGTTTGAACAGCGCACTCGAGATAGAAACGAAAAACAGTGAGGGAGTCAGCATATTTTCGACGTGTGAAATTTCCGCCGCGTTTAACGTAGAAAAAAAGCATTTTTTACAATTCTATAAACGCATCATCTCAATTGAATGAGCTTGCGATTGAAATGTTGATTCAACGCCGAGTTCAGCAATTAATAAAAGTCATGGAGGGAGATTTGCATACTTGCGGTAATCAGAATTAATGAAAATCGCATTATAGTAATCGTAAGCAAACGAGAATACATAATCTGATTTTTCTACATCGATCGCTTATACAAAATTACCGTTGACTTTTCCAAGTTCGACTAAAGAAAACACACTCGGTCAATCGCGCAAAGTAAAAATGGAGAGAAATCGCCTCTCTCTCTCTCTCTCTCTCTCGCACAACCCTTTGCGCTTTACTTTTTCCCCCCATAAAATATTCACACACACATGCAGAGTGAGAGAGAGAGAGAGAGAGCTGAGGGGACGCTTGCATAAGGAGAGAGTAGGTAAGCTTTTAGAGCTGTGTCCCGGTGACCTGCTGAACTGCGCTCGCGCAATGATTCCGAAAAGCAATAAACTTGGCGCGTACACACGAGCAGGCAGCGCGGAGCTAGGCGAGCGCCGGAGCCCTTTGTCCCCGGCGAAAAGTGCGCGGAAAAATCGATAAAACGCGCGCGAGTGAGAACGAATCATTACCGCCCGGCTCTCGTCGTTTATGCACCCCTCGCGACGGACGAAAGGAAAGAGAGAGCGAGAGCGAGAGCGAGAGAGAGAGAGAGAGAGAGAGAGACAGAGACAGAGAGAGAGACAGAGAGAGAGAGAGAGACAGAGAGAGAGAGAGAGACAGAAACAACAAAGCAAAACAGTGGCGATCCGCCTCCGCTGGCGATTTGCTTTCGTTTTGCGCTTTCGGCCCGGAGAACTTTCATCGGCCGCGTCGATAAATCCAAGCGGGCGAGCGCCAGCTCGACACACATCGCCGCGACTTGGAGCGCATCCTGCGGCGGAAAACTCTCGAGCGTCGTCGCGTTCTCGGCCCGGCATTCCTCTCTCTCTCTCTCACACGCACGCAGCATCCAAGATGTCCTCGGCATCTATTTTTACGTTCTCGCGGCCAGGCTCTCGGCGCGCGCGTAGCGAAGCCATCGAACGCGGCGTCCGCGCGCGCGCGAGATCAATTAATCGCGGCCCCGTTGTCGGCGGCGACATTTTGCCTCGGCGCGCGCGCTCGTTTTAATTGGAGAGCGCGGGCCCGTAGGTATCGTCATTAACGCGTTCGTTCGTTCGGCGGAGCGGTGTCTTTGTCTGCGAAGTTCTCGCTCGAGAGTCGCCGCCTGTGTTCGTGTGTACGTGTGTGTGTGTGTGTGTGTGTGTGCGCGCGCGAGAGAGTATATACCGCTATTGCGCCTGCGTCACGCTGCCGCCGCTGGCTCGATTGCTGCGAGGAACCAAGTGAACGGGGAGAGAGAGAGAGAGAGAGAGCAGCTGTAAAATAAATCGCTCGCTCGCTCGCTCGCTCGCCGTGCACAACGGCCAGGCGCGTAGCCGAGCGAGAAACGGCTGAAAGTTTTCGGGGGAGCGACGACGCCGAGATCTGCATTGCGGAGCGACGATGATTCGGTCTTTTTGCTCTCGCTGCCGCGCGCGCGATTGGCTCTGGCTCTTGATTGCGCGCCTCTCTCGATGCTGCTGGACGCGCGAGGCGGAAGAGGATACAAAGCGTACGAAACGAACGACGGCTAGCACTGCGAGCGAGCGGACGAGCGGGACGAGGCGGTCGATCGATGGCCCGCGTGCGTGTGCGCATCGGATGGATCGACGAGAGAGACGGGCAGGCCAAGGCAGGGGCCAGGCAGCAGCGAAACCAAAAGCGTCGCGCAAATCCAAAAGGGGGTGGGAGGGCGAACCACTCGGATCAGCTGTTTTAATAGGAAAATCGATGGGGGCCGAGCGCCGCGGTACCGGCGACCGGCGAGCTTACCACCGAAGAGAGCACTGGGGTCTAGCAAGGAGTTGGCCTGCTCCGCCGCCTGCAGATGGTCAGTGCTGGAGGTGGCGCCTGCCGCGACTTCGCTGCCGCCGCTTCCAGCCGTCGCGGAGTTCTCCTTCTCCATGCCAGGCTCCCCCTGTCAACACAATCGCACAATAATTATCATCCGTATCCAACAGTCCCGCGAGCGGCCGGCGGCCCGCAACTTCCCTCCGAGCGGATCCGACGGCACACGCACACGCGCCGCCGGGCCCGCGGGGGGAGGGACGACGGGCCGAAGGTCAATGCTAGCTCCCTCCCGTCATTATCATCGCGATTCGCCTGCTAATAAAACGCACGCGTGTCTCTTCGGCGCGGCGTCGCCAAACCTGCGGCGCTACGCTCGGCAATCAATGGCTGCTCGCTCTCGCTATAAGAACCAGCGACGAGCGAACGGCGAGGCGAGGCGAGGCGAGAGAGAGAGAGAGAGAAAAAGCAGCGTTATACGTGCAAGGAGAGGCTCCGCTGCGCTGCTACGAGTTGCGGAGCGCAGCTCTCCGCTGCTGCTGCTGCTGGCGGCAATCAATACGTCGTGCCGCTCGGCCATCCCCCTCGCGCGCAAACCTAGCTGGCCTCTCTCTAACTGCCTGCAGCGCCAGCAGATATACTTACGATTAATTCGACGGACGCGCCGCTCTGCTCTCCTTCGAGAGAGAGAGAGAGAGAGAGAGAGAGAGAGAGGGAGAAAGAGAGAGAGAGAGCAAGAGAGAGAGAGAGCAAGAGAGAGAGAGCAAGCAAGCGAGCAAGAGCGACAGGGCCGTGCGCCTTTTTTTCGGGGGAATCGATGGCTGCGACGCGCGATCGCGCACGTTACAATGCTTCGCACGGCGAGCCTTTTCATCGCTCTTTAAAGTTATACGAGCACTCAAAACTTTCGTGTAAGCTTGTTTGCTGATTGATACTCAACTCACTGATAATCCATCCGAGGTCGCCGAAAGCAAGAACAACGAGATCGCGCGCGTCGCCGACAATTTACGAGCGCGCTGGTTATGGCGCGATCTGACGCTCCTTTTCCTTCTTCTTCATTCACGAACAAAAAAAAAAGAAAGAAAAAAAAAAGAGAAAAAAGGAAAAAAGAGACGCACCGGGGAAAATAGTAAAGTGCCGCGCCACGTGAGCTTCATTCAAATTGAATAATTGATTTTCGATGAGCTGTATGTAGACGCACGTTGACACACAGCGAAGTTTCATTCTATAAGTCATTCACAAACTTCGCTAAGTGATTCATAAACTCGACGAGACGAGAGGAAAGAAAAAACATAAATAGACGGAGAGAGAAGACGAAGCTTAATTAAGTATATCCATAAATAATTCAATCTGATTTTTATTTGAATAGCGCGCGGCGTGAATAATGCATAACAAATTTCTACCCCCCCTCCCTTTTTTTAAATGTCGCGCGCACGAGAGTTTTATCGCCGAAACAATTATCGGCGCGAAGCGAGCATTTTAAAAAGAGCGAGAGAGAGAGAGAGAGAGAGAGAGCGCGAGAGAGGGAGAGAGAGAGACTTTCGAAAAACTCGGTCAATGTCAAACATTGCATAATGTCATTCAGCGAATCAATGTCGGCCGTTGACCTTTTCGACGTATATACATGTGTACGCGTGTGTGCGCGCTGCTAGAATCAATATTTTCGACTTTTTTTTTAATATATATACTTCTCCGCTTTCACTTCCACTCGCATGCTAATATTTCTCTTTGGCGATGATTCTAGCACAAACACGTGCGATTTAAAGGTCAATGACAGGCCTGCGTCTTATCGTCCAATATCGTTTGATATACTCGGCGGTATGTGCGCGCGACAACTGACAATGTAAGTGTATATCCTTGATTAGCGAAGTAGGCTGACGACGAGCGAGAGAGCGCTCTTTTCCTTCCTTTCTTCCTTGCCGCCGGTCGCGCGCGGCTTATCGCAATTGGAAACGGATCCCGGGCACGCGAGCGAGGAGCAACTGACGCTCGCTGGCGCTTTCCGAAAATCGACGCGTCCCGAGGGTTCTCGCCTCGCGCCGACGAGAGGCGACGGCCGCCGGAGCGTCGCTCGGCCGCGTCGGGCAAGGTTCCCGTCTTGAGTGCGCGCGTCGGGTGCGAAAATCGCGCCGTTCGAATTGGGAACGCGGCCGCCTGCGCGCGGGGGAATGGGGCAATCGTTAATCGCCAATTCGAGACTGCGCGCGGACGCGCCCGCCCGACGAGGGCCGCGGAGGTGGATAAAGCCCGAGCGGTCTTCCCGTGGCGCGCGACTTTGAGGCGCTGCAGCGGGCGCGCAGCCTTCTACTTGAAAATTCGCTTGGCAGTCGGCGCAACGCATTCTCGGGCAGAGATTACTCATTCGCTGGGTACGTTGGCTCGCTGGCCTGGCAAGGTGCTGCTGTCTCGCTCTCTCGCAGGCGGCTGCACCGTCGAAAAGCAGGCCAGGCCGCGCGTGCACGCAGCCGACCGAGCGAACGAGCAAAGCAAAAGCTTAAGGGGGCCCCTCTCTGCGCTCGCACGCGCGTCACCCATCTGTCTCTCTCTCTCTCTCTCTCTTTGTCTCTCTCGGAAACGTTGCACACAACCGACGAGAAAGAGAAAGAGAGAGAGAGAGAGAGAGAGAGCGGTGGCGGCGGCGGCGTCGATTATTAATCGTCGCTCGGCCGCTTCAGGCGCGTCTATCTCTTTTTCATTGCGGGTGCCTCGGGTCTGCAGATCGATACGCCGCCGCCGCCGCCGCCGCGGAGTGGGACAAACTCGCTCGGCGAGAGAGTGCACAAGAAGGGACGGACAACCGGCGGCGGTGAGTTTTTGTGCGTGAGAGTTCTTTTCTCTCTCTCTCCCCACCGCCTACTGCCGCCGAGCCGCCACCGCTGCCGTTTGCCAGAATACTTCTCTCGTTGCCGCGTTGGCCAGAATACTTCTCTCGCAGCCTGCCCGCCTACCTCGAGATTCGCGTACGGCGATGATGATCATTCGCCAGCTGTTTTTTCTCACTGCCAACCAACAAAATAAACAGCGGCGACGGGCACGCACGTATTGTGCGCGCAGTGGCGGCTCAACGTGCGACGAGCAAATCGATCGATTGCTATAGTACTCGCGTATACGCTCGGCTGGCTGGCTCGCTCGCTTCGCTCTCTGGACGACGGACATGCAGAGTCGCCGTCGTCGCCGTGCAAAACAAAAGAAACGCGCGCGGAAAACCAGTTTTGGCCGGAAGAATATTTGGAGCGCCACCCCACCCAATGATTCTCTCTCCGCGCTCTGCTCTGCTGCCTGGCCTGTGTGCTTCTCTCTCTCTCTCTTTCTCTCTTCGCGGAGAGAAAGGCCCTTGCACACACACACACGCGCGCGCGCGCGCGCAGCTCGCACACTCGCCCAAACCAGAACGCCGCGGCGGCGACGGCGACGGCGAGTACGACGACGACGACGGCTCTTTTTTTCATTGCTTGTTTTCTCTTTCGCGTGCAGCAGCGAGAGAGACGGGCAGAGAGCGAAAAAGAGACGAACAGAGAGAGCGCGAGAGACGGACAGAGAGAGAGAAAGAGAGACCGACAGAGACAGACAGACAGACAGGCAGAAAGAGAGAAAAGACACGACTTGTGACAATTAAAAACGACGTCACGTGTACGTGGTCTCTATCTTTTTTTAATTTTTTAAAAAAACGTTTTCCTCCCTTAAGCGAACAAGAGCAGCGTTCGGCTATAACCTATTACTGCGCCGCTGGCTCATCGTTCCCGTTAGTCAAGAATCAAACGCTTACCTAGACACTTTGTCGGAGGATGCAGCAGCTGCAGGCTCACATGTCTCACTTTCGCGCACTGCACACTCTCTTCCTCTCTCTCTCTCTCTCTCTCGCGCGCTGCTCTCTCCCTCTTTCTCTCCTCTCGACGACGACGACGACGACGACGAGGATGTTTCTTCTTCCTTATCGCTAAAAAGCACTTGGCACGCACACCTCGAGAAGAGAGAAGCACTAATAATGACTCTGTATGCGTTCGTTTAGCGCGATACAGACACACTCACGCGCGCGAGGAAAAAAGGTAACGAGTTATGCGCGACTCGGCCGCACGACGTCGTTGAAACACGGGCAAAACGACGACGTGACACACACCTATGCGTGCAGCTCTGCACTACTGCTACGAGCCGAGCTAAGCTGAGGCTGAAGGTGCATCCTCGCGCCGCGACGAGAGCCGTGCGCGCGCGCGCGCGTGTGTGTGTGTAAGCGAGCGGCATAGGTGGCGCCCTCCGAGCTCTTTAAAAATTTGGAAGAAGAGGGCGGCACCGACAAGACCGGTTGGTTTTTTCGCGCATTTTCAGATTGAAGTAATACAAGTGCGGCCTGTAAGAACAAGACAAGATATACGAACAGCGCTTGTGTGCACCCCAATTGCCATATGCTCGGCCACGACGACGCAATAGGCTTAACCGCCGTTCACACCATAATGAGATGACAATATTACGCGCTCGATCGCGATAATTCGCCGATTCACATTACAATGCTGTCGATTTTGCGTAAGCCGCGTTGTCGAGTTCGACACCTTCGCGTAAGATTCGGAAGCGAGGCACGGCGATACCTCTACGGTTTCCGACCACGCAATTTTGGAACCAGCGAACGATAAAGTATATCTCTTGATCGTGTGTCGACGGATTCTCAGCGAAGCAAAACAATATCGTTCCCGTAGTCGCGCGCGCACGCACGCAGACTCACCACGAGCGTACATTACGCCCTAAAAATAGAGCATCTCCCGAGCGCTCTCTCGCCCCCTGATTTTTACGTTCTAAAACTGCTTAGGCTCTCGCGCGAGCACTCGACGCTGTCCATCTTATCGCCAAGAGCGAGGCGCTGCGACGACGATGACGCTTGTTTGCCCGCGTGCGTGCGTCTCGCACACCAGCTGATACGGCGGCCGATGTACTCGTCGATCGATATCGCGATTGGCCAAATCAGGTGGCGTGGCTTGCCAGCTTTCGGAGGCGAACGCGACGATGCACGCGTTATTCCCTCTCTCTCTCTCTCTCTCTACTCGTGCGCGTCGTGCAGCGCGTCCCTGCGCTATTCGTGAAAATAAAGGAAGCAAGCGACAGCGCAAGAATGTGCACGGGATGACATTCTGGCCATTCCTCGAGGCATCTTCCACGCTCCGAGCGCGCAGGTATACCAAAAGCGTGGGAGAAAAGTCCGAATCTCCGCGCGGCCGGACGCACGGCGTCCTCTCGGTCTCTGCGCCGGGCGAGGATTTTATTTCAGTCGTCGCGACTCGCTCTCTCTCTCTCTCTCTCTCTCTCCCCGAGCGCCACGCGAGGTTTTTCAGTGCGGCGAGCGGAGAGGGAGATCGCATATTAAAGCGTTCGATCGCCAACCGAATGGCTTTAGTTTAGCGCAACGCCACTCCTCCGGCGCCTCGCGTCTCCATTTCCACGGCCTTATCACGTCCACATACACATTTTTCCGGGAAGATGGGCGTCCTCGTTAGCTTCGTTCGGACTATCACTCCTGGGGCGCGTCACTTTGGCAAAGGTGAGTTTGCGTTATTGTTCTCGTTAGCTTTTCAGCCCGTGGAAAATTTTTGACGCCTCTCCGTCTATTGATCGGATGATCTCCCACTTTGCCGACTCGATAGACCGCGTTACACATGCGACTCTATCGATAGACTTAATGTTCGAGAAGAATTCTTTATATTTTGACGTGAAAGATGCGCGCAAGCGTTTCTAATGGTTGATTTTCCAATTGTTCATCTATTCCGCTTACAGTCGTCACAGTCAAAGTTGGAATAAAAAAATAACAAACGTCGAGAGAATGACACTTTTATTTGACCCGTTTCTATCTCAAGAAAACGTTCGCGTCGTCGTGAAAACAAGAATAGGTTCGCGTGCTTAGCCTCGCGTAGTATATTCCTACACAACTGCATGCATAATATAATTCCCGATTCGCGTCGATTGAATCGGCTTCGCGTTATTTTCCTTTCTGCCTATCGGGGTTTTCCCTCCGCGCGCCTCCGAAAATTGCGCAATTCCACCGAGGAAGCCGCGTGCAGAAAGGGGAAGGAAAAGGGCACGAAAGAATTCCGACGAGACCAGCGTGGGGGCTCATTAGAGCGCGCGCACAAAGTGTGCAGAGCGATAAGAAACATAATTTATAGATCAAGGTCTGCGCTAGTATCAAAGCTGCGCGAGATAAATTGCACGCACCCCGTGCGAGGCGATGCCTCGGCTACATAACCGCTCGAATTGGTTGGCGTTACAGCGAGCCAGCGCGAGTTTTCGAGTGTCGGCTTCGTGGGCCTCGGCAACATGGGCGCCTTCATGGCGAGAAATCTGATAAAGAAGGGCTACAAATTAACCGTCTACGACATCAACAAGAAGGCGGTCGAGGGTGTGGTCAGCGCCGGGGCCAAAGGCGCGCAGAACGTCGCCGAGGTGTCCAAGAATTCCGAGGTGGTCGTTACTATGCTGCCGATGAACCAGCACGTGTTGGATTGCTACACCGGCAAGGACGGCATCATCAGGTTTGTCCGCCTTGCTTGAAAACAGCCGTCGCCCGGCGTGCGATCGACGAGCGACGAAGTAAAGAGACGAGCAATTTTCAGCGCGGCGAGGAAGGGCACGCTGCTGGTCGACAGCAGCACCATCGACTCGTCGGTCGCGCAGCAAGTCGCCCACGAAGCCCAGAAGAGCGGCTTGAGGTTCATCGACGGCCCGGTGTCCGGAGGTAAGCTCGTCGAAAAGAATACGTCGTCTTTGCGGTCGCTAAAGCGCGGCGCTGTTTTTGCAGGAGTCGTCGGTGCGGAAAACGGTACGTTGACCTTCATGGTCGGCGGTGCCAAGTCCGATTACGAGCAGGCGAAGTCGTTCCTCGAAGCCATGGGATCACGCGCAGTGCACTGCGGTGAAGTCGGCATGGGACAAGTCGCCAAGATCTGTAATAACATGTTGCTGGCTATTCAGATGATCGGACTCAGCGAGGCTCTCAGTTTGGGTGACAAGTGAGTTTGCGAACGCCAAGAGAGCATCATTCAATATCGCGATCGATCGTTTATAATTGCTCGGGTGTGTCGTTAGATTGGGTCTCGACCCGAAAATACTCACCGACATCGTCAACACGAGCACGGGCCGATGCTGGTCGTCGGAAATTTACAACCCGGTGCCCGGTATCATTCCTACGGTGCCAAGCTCTAAAAATTACGAGGTACTCTTTCGAAAAGTAGCTCGTTCTTGCGCCACGAATCAATCGCACGACCGACGATAAGGAAATCAAACGATTGTTCGTCGTTTCCAGGGTGGATTCGGCACGGCGCTGATCTCGAAAGACCTTGGCTTGGCGCAAGCTGCTGCAACGAGGGTAGGATCGCCGATCGCTCTTGGCTCCCTCTCTCACCAGATCTACAGGACGATGATGGCCCACGGTCTCGGTCCCAAAGACTTCAGCGTCATTTATCAGTTCATTAGAGGACAAATGAAGATATGAACCAGCGAGCGTTGCGTAAGCGCGATAAGCTTGGCCCGAAGAAGATCATTTAGCGACAAATTAATTCGCGCGAGCGACAAAAAGACGAAAACACGCTCGTTATCTGTATGCCGATAGAAATCAAAACAGATACGGATGCTTTTCGTAGCCTGTGTCGAATGATAACGCCGCGCGCATAGCATGTATATACATACATACGCGCGCACACATACACACGCGCGCGCGCACCCACATTTATACAAAATTTATTTTTTTATGCAACAGACTATGAAATATATTTTTATGCATGTTTTTAAAGAGAGGCTTTTAATCATTTAAACGACACTTGGCGACCTTCACTTAGATCGCTATCCTTATCATTTTTATAACCGATTAAAGTTTGTTTATGCTCGGTATAATTTTTGAATTTATAATAATCAAAACAATTTTTTGATACGTTTTCACACTATATATGGCAATCATCAACCCAATGAGATCTATACTTCCCTGGAAAAATCGCGTTTAACTGGTTATTTTCCTATTAGATTTACTTTTATTACTAAGAATAATAAATTGTTTTCCAGTTGATAAATAAGCGTTTGACAATTTAAGATTCAAAAATCACGGATCGATCTACATTATCGGCATCGCAACTACGCGAGTCAGTTAACTCAGCGATCTGCAATAGTCGAACTATTAACCAAACCTTGCGAATTATCGTAAGAATCAGTCTTTAACCTTTTCTATTAAAAACATTGAAAATACGAGGTTAAATAGCCGTGAAAAGAGAATCCGAAATGAAAATCGAATGGTAAAAAAATATGGTCGCTCAAAAGATCAGCCGAGTGCACGATCGGCCGGGACCTCCATCTTCGCGTTCCATTATTTGTTCTCAGTCTTGTGTGTGGTACTGTAGTTGTCGTGACGGCTCCACCTCATGCGTCCTCGCGGTAGCTAGTTTGGTGTCGTCTCGTCGTCGTCGCGCGTGCGGTCAGTGCTGCGTGTGTATATATTTGCCTGGCGTGTCCCTCCTCTTTCTCCTCCACCATTTCCTCCTTCGTCATTCTGCACGGACGCTTCAACACGGCGAGAAAAGTCTCGTCCACGAGTCAGTTGCGCGACGCTGACTTTTTGTGTCGAGTAAAAGAACTTGTGGAGGCGAGGGCGGGTCACGCAGGCTTTTCTGAAGGCGAGGCTGTGCTGCCTCCTACACTGCTGCTACTATCGTGCAATCGCTTCGTTGTTTTTATATGCACCAACCATGAGCAAGACGTGCGCACGCTGTGAGAAAACGGTCTATCCGATAGAGGAACTTAAGTGCCTGGATAAGGTGAGAGACAAAACGATACATTCTATGTGACTTCGTGAATCATCACTCTGCTACTTATTTGATTGGTCTGCAGAAAATCAGCTTAAACGTGTTTTGGCTTAATGCTTTCTCTTTTTCTCTGTGCTGCAATAGTCTACTTTTGCATATGTTATGGGTGTTATTCAAATATATTTTTTGTTTTTTTATTCAAATCTACATACCTTTTAACTTGCAGATATGGCACAAACAATGCTTCAAATGCAAGGGCTGCGGAATGACCCTCAATATGCGTACATACAAAGGTTTCAATAAAGAGCCATACTGCGAAGCGTAAGTTAATTCTTGTATTGCTTTTATTTTCAGTCTCTTGATGCTCAATAAATTTAATTGAATGATCATGTGGAAGTGAAAATACTTTGAAAAATAAGTTGTTTTATAAATGTCTGTATTATAAAACTCTATTATAAGTATTTCTAATAAATTAAAAATTATTAATTTATACTGTCGTTGGCGCAACAAAATCATTTGTAAAAGCAAAATGATTCTGTGCTGAGACATAGAATAATTTTTAGAAGTGCCGAGGGGATAGTGCATTGAGTCTGTACTTTCCTGCAGATAAGCTTCATACAAATATAAATTATAATTCCAAAAGAAACAGTAAATTTTCAAATATTGTATTCTTGAGTAATTATAGAAAGAGTTTGCTTTATCCTTGACACCTTTTTTTTTTCATATCTTATATAAACGACAACTACCTGACTATGCAAATTTGCGTAATAACATCAAATCTTACTTTTGTTTGTACAGACACATACCAAAGGCAAAAGCAACGACAATGGCGGTGACGCCAGAGCTTACACGCATTGCCGAAAATACAAAGATTCAGAGCAACGTTAAATATCACGCCGAGTTCGAGAAAGCCAAGGGAAAGTTTACTCAGGTTGCCGATGATCCCGAAACCATAAGAGTCAAGCAGAACAGTAAAATAATTTCTAATGTCGCCTACCACGGTGAACTTGAGAAGAAGGCCATGATGGAACAGAAAAGGACTATGACCGGTGAAAATGGCGAACAAATTGGTACTTATTTTAATTTTATCCTAGCTAGATTAAAATTATTGACGTACTTTTGAGAACTGACGTATTCTTTTTAACGTTTAAGAGTACGTTGAGTACACGGATGGTACAATTGCGCCGGCTAGTAGCGTGAACGCTAATACCAACGTAAAATCCGCCAGCAGTGAGGAAAGCAGTATCACCTGTTCAAACGAACTCCCGGTAGAATTGCTGACTACGATCCACTTAACGAGGCAAGGCCGAGTCCTTACTCGTCGAGGCAAGGAGCTACCACTGTTATTTACACGAGTGACAAGGGTGCCGGTACGTCGTTTTAAAAAATAAAACTCATCGTCATTGTTGCATTAAAAATCTAATTTGCACTAAAAAGAATCGACATCGATGCGATGCTGGTATGAGTATGCGCGCTTTTTAATTGGATAATGATGATGTTGCAGTGACGAGTCCACCGACGAGGAAAATCGGCTCGGTAGCCGACATCGACCCAGTGAATGAATATTACGGTTCGCTGACCGCCCGCCACAAATAACAACCATGTCCCACAACACCAACCGCCCCCACCGCCCGCGAACGTGGGCGTAAGTGTCTTGTTATTTTTGTTTGCGAGAAAGTACAATTATAAAATCGATGACTAACCGAATGATGCGATTTCTTTTTTCCAGCGTGTGTATCGAGCTATGTACGACTACGAGGCACAAGATCACGATGAGGTGAGTTTTTGCGACGGTGACCTGATAATAAATTGCACGGCCATCGACGAAGGTTGGATGACTGGGGTAGTGCAACGTACCGGTCGTCAGGGTATGTTGCCGGCCAATTATGTTGAACCATTCATCTTTTGAACGACTCGACTATCGAGGAATTATACTCCAAGTATTCGCGCGACGTGTCACGGCAATCAGTATCTAATAAGTTTGTAGAAGAAAGAGATGAATGTAAAGAGGGACGGAGTGTCCAAACGATGAGAGGCTAACCGACTAGATTCATTAAATTGTAAGATATCGCGAATTTTCATCCGCTACTATTTATTGCATTTTCCATTTGTACTTTTTTATGGGTTTCAAGACAACATTTCTTTGTTAACACGAGTCGGTTGGTCTTTTAGTTGTTTTTGGCTGGCGAGTCAAGGAATTTCACACTGCTTCTGATGAATAATGTATTTGTCATAATAGATTTTTTTTTCTCTTTTGAGAGTTTCTTGAAATTACTAATTTATAATTTGCTGAGACTTTTTGCATTTGTGTAATCTAGTGAGTTTTAAAACAAATTACTAAATTGACGAAGTAGGTTAACTAAAGTGAACTTTTTAATTCAATTGTAGTATATCTCATTTATTGCAGATCTAGCATAAATACGTAATTGAAAATTTTAGTACAACTTTTACAATGAAAAATTTAGAAATGCATCGAATTGCTATTCTGGGGCCAATATTTTTCTATGGAACTTTGTTTTCGTTTTTTGGTATAGGCCAAATTTTTAAAAGTTTGATACATCAAGTTAAAAAGTGATCTTCTAAGTAATATTTATTTTTTAAGTAGTTTTATCGCATGCAATGTACATTTGAAAATTCCAGTTTACATTCTTTGCAATACTAGTTTACAGCTTATAATATTAAAGTAGGTTCTGCCGAGATGTACAAATTATATCTATGCTTTTATAGATGTATTTACGACTCTGATTTTACTTTTTATCCTACTTCAATTTTCAAGTATTCATTCCATATTTTGCATTTCACGCATTTAATTTTGAATGATATTTTTTTACTTTGAAACCAATGACGAAAAGTAAAGAGCATATTTTATCTTATATTACTTTGATAGTATAATGCATCCCACATTAAAAATTTCATGATCCATTTGATTCTTGATAGATCTGCTTGAAGATACCTTATCATCGCATGTGATTACATGAACAATAAATTCTGTGTGCCTTATTTACATACTAGGCTTCTAAGAAATGACTACTTCGAACTAACTGAAAAGTTTTGTGCAGGTAATAAAAATCACTATAAGATAAAAATGACCTTAATACACGTAGAGGAATTTTAAAAGCGATTTTTTGGAGAAAGATATACCTACCGATTATTGTTGAGTCACATTTTAATGTAATGCAATTTTTAAAAGAAGTTTGTAATATTGTTAAAGTATGATGGAGATTATTGTTAAACTTGCCTGTTTCTCTTCCGAGAAAGTATTTTTAAGAATGTTACTATGCAAAATTTAACTGATACATACAATCTTAACTGACATTTATTATCTAGATCATAAGTTTTTGGTGGATAGTACTTGTGTTTCAGAATTGCGTATTACAATATAACAAAGTCTATCAAACATAAATCATTATTGTAAAAATTTACAATGTTGAAATTGTATAATCAGTTAACTATACATAAACTTTTCATTACTAGTGCGTTTTTAGAAAAAGTATGCAATGTTTAGATAAATTTAAGAAATTCGGAGATTTGGTTTTTCCTTTTACATGCAATAACATTTACTAAAACGTATTAATCTTTAGTAATAAATAAATTTTTAGAAAACTACAATTGTTCCATTCACGAACGAAATTGCAAAAATTAGTCTTCCAAAATTTTGAGAATATTTCAAATACAAATTCTTTTATACGAAAACATGAACATAATATAAAATACATTGCAATAGATACAGTTATAGAGCTATAAAATTTTGTAAGAATGGAATGATAAAATATTGAATTAATATGAACGTATAGAATTATGTTAGTGTTGTGTTGTAAACATAATTTTATATTATGATGTAAAATTATGAATAATAACTATGTATGTTATGCACCAAATGCCTAATTACTTACCATTTACATGATTACCTTATTGCAACTACCATATTTGATTAATTTTTCCACATGGAAACAATAGTTATAGCTTAACTAAGTCAAATTATTATGTATTTGAATCATTGGGTAAAATATAAATTATATTTACATGATCAATACTTATGTACGTATTATACACACTTGAAAGAGTAATCAATTAATTAATATAACAATTTATACAAAAGAAACCTTATCACAACTCACGTGAAAGGATTATTTACTCTACTTACTGTACAATATTTCCACTGTATTGTGATAGTTTATGGTCTTCAATTCAATTGGTCCCGTCGTGGCGAGAACGGCCTACAACTTTAGGCATTTTTTTGTTCGTCGAGTCTTCTAATTCTTTGGGTTTGTAATAATGTGGTGCAACTTCAAGCAGCCATTTCGACTCGATTTCGATTATCTAAAGCCAGTGGAAGAAAAAAAAATTAAGATCGCCAAATCATTGAATTAAATTGAACTTGAATACAAACCTGTCGCATGAATTCTTTAGTTGTGAAGACAAGCTCGTGATACAGTACCCACCGAGGCAGTTCTTGAAATAGTGAACTATTTGGATGTATAGATACTTGCTGATTATGCTTGGCAGTTTTGTAATTACCGCCCTTCGACAGCCTAGCCACATGATAAAAATAACCAGCTGTAATTGCTTTTCTAATGTTTGCAGTTTCTGTAATACCAGACACTAATTCCATTTCAACACGCTGCATCAGTCCAACCAATTGTTCCCTAACATCTCTGGCTCTTTTCATGGACCTAATATAACAAAACAAGCTTTAATACACATAAACCAAATATAAATTTTGCGTTACTCACTTGTGCTGAATAAAATTCTCATAACACCAATGAACGCTGAAGTCGCTTTGTTGCCATTGATTGTAGACATTTAGCAAGACCAAATGATCACCTCCAGGAACGTTGAAATTTTTTCTTGCCGCATCAGCGTGAATGATTTTATCCTTGGGCCGATAGAATATCGCACCATTCACTGATAACATAGCTGCGATAGTAGCAACTTCCTCGGAACATTTGTACTTCTCGCCAGCGATGAGCATTTTTGCCATCATCGGATCGACTGGAAATTCAGCCATTCGACGGCCCAATTTAGTTAACTCACCACGGTGGTTCAATGCTCCAAGAGCATATAACTGCTCTAAAGCAAGAACGAGGGTTTCATGTGGCGGTGGGTCCAAGAAATCAAAATGTACCAGATCGTTGATGCCTAATGCTTTCAACATCAATACTGCATTACCTATAGATATTATCATCAGTAATTTAAAGTACATAAAACATTCAAAACTGTATTGAAACAATGAAATTTTCGTGCACTAACCCAAATTAATTCTTTGAATCTCAGGTACCGTGTTGTCTTCCATTTCGTGTTTATAGGCCCACGCGGTGTACAGACGAAAGCATTTTCCAGGTGCCACGCGACCCGCACGTCCTGCACGTTGATCCGCCGACGCTTTGCTGATTGGTACGACCATGAGACTCTCCATACCGGTACGCGAGTTAAAGTTATTTTGTTTAGCAAAACCAGGGTCAATGACGTAGATAATGTTGTCAATCGTTAGTGATGTTTCTGCAATGTTTGTTGCTAAGACCACCTGTGAGATACGCAAATAAAAAATTACTCAGCGATGATTGTAAATAAGCCATGAAAGCGAATGGTTAAAAATGCGAACCTTCCTTGCACCCGGAGGAGTGGGATTGAAGATTTTGGCCTGCATGTCGCTGGGTAAATTAGCGTAAATCGGCAGAATCAACATCTCTCTTACTTTGCTACCCAATCTACGAACTCGTTCCTGGAGCATTTCAAAACACGTCTCGATTTCCTCTTGACCTACACATAAAAAACATATAAAAACATTTCAATTTCAATTCAACTGTTTCAAAAGTTTATAATCAATATTACCAGTTAAAAATACAAGAACATCACCAAGTTCCTGTGTGACGTGGATTTGCAGAATCGACACGACTGCCGCATCAATGTAATCGGCTTCAGGAGCTTTTGTATAGAAAATGTCAACGGGATATCGACGACCAGGAATATTGAATACTGGTGCGCCATCAAAGAATTCACTGAATTTCGTAGTATCTAGCGTAGCAGATGAAATGAGAAGTTTTAAGTCAGGTCGAAAGCGTGCGATATCTTTGACTAAGCCAAACAGGATATCTGTGTGGAGCGTACGTTCATGAGCCTCATCGATGATCATAACACTGTAAAGAATGAAATTGAAAACTAGATCAATCGAATAAAGAATAATTGATTATTGGTAAGCCAAATCATACCTGTAAGATGCTAAATCGGGTTCACTAAGAAACTCACGATGCAGTGTACCATCAGTCATGTACTTTATTCGGGTCCTATGAGAAGTACAGTCTTCAAATCGAATGGCATAACCAACTTCATTTCCTAGCTTAACTCGCATTTCGTGAGCCACACGAGCTGCAACGCTCATTGCAGCAACACGACGAGGCGATGTACAACCGATCATCTTTCCATCATTACAAAATCCTGTTTGGTATAGATATTGTGGGATCTGAGTAGTTTTACCAGAACCTGTCTCTCCTCGAATGATCAATACCTGGAAAATAATAATTAAATAATTTTACAAATGACAATCATAATTTATGAGTGTTCTCAAGTAAAATAAATTACTTGATGATCTCTTATAGCTTGAATTAAATCTTTTTTAAAAGGATAGATAGGTAAACTTCTTTGTGTTTCTTCAATTGTTGTTAGTTTGCTTTCAGCGGGTTTTATGACAGCCTTTAACTTTTTTTCATCTTCTCCTGGAATCCTAATTGCTCTGACAAACTCCACTTCATCTTCCAGTAGCAGATCATACTCTTCTTGAACTGTACATAAAAGTATAGATATATCTTTTGTAAACTCCTATAGTAATGTACATGTAAAAATTTATTGAATACAAACCTTTTTTATTTTTAGCACCAAACTTGAAAACTGCTGATGACATTTGATCTGACTCCCACTTACTTTGCTCAAATTGAGGTGGTTCCCGATCATTGTACTCTGGTTCTGGTTCTAATCTTTTCTTATCCAATGGCATATGATACCTTTGAACTCTTTCCAACTCTCTTGCTTTTTCATGTTCTGTTGCTAATCGAAGAAGTTCTTTTTTGTGAGCTCTCTCTCTCTTTTCTCGTTCAGTCAAGCTAAAGCAAATATTATGTTATTGGATTAATTAGACCTGAAAAATATAGAAAGTTGTAAGATAGGGGAAATACTCACATCTCCTCTTCAAACAGATATTCATCATCGCGAATATCAGCCTCTAACTCTGCAACTTTGTCTTCCTTTCGCTTTTCCAAATACTTTCTCCTAGACTCAACACGAAGTTTTGGAACTAATTTATCCTTTGACTCATCTTCCATGATCTTCAACCTTTTTGCTGCCTCAGCTAAATAAAAATAGAACAGTGATTATTTACAAACACACAACAACTGTTGTTAATTTATTTGTTGATATATAAATGTACTCACCAGCTCCGGAACCTGCGGGTAGAGCAACTTTCTTAGTTTTGCTTTCATCTTTGGCTTTGAGACGATTGGAAAATTCATCTCGTTCTTTAATATCCTTCCTTCTTCTCTCCTCTTCACTGTCACTGTCACTGCTCGAGTGATCCCTCTTACTGTACTTGCTATTCATTATTGTTTTAGTCGGTTATTTTCTATCTGTAAAAATATGTTAGATTAGGCATCATCAATACCTGCTAATTATTATTTCATACGGAACTAATTTTCGAAATAACATAAATAAATAAAATTAACTTAGTTGTTAGCTCTGTTTACATATATAGGTTAGAAACGTTGTTGAAAAGACGTGAAAAACCCTTTTGAAAACTTAAAAAATTGTCGATTACCTAAACAATAAATCCTGCTGTTGATTATTAACGACTAATTTCCTAACTAAAGAATAACAATTAACATTTTATGTACGCAGTGAAAAATAAGCAGTAATTTGAAAACAATTAAACAAATCATCGGTAAACAAGGCCGCTATACATGCCCCGAAAAATCGCGCATCTGACACGGCGCATCGTCAGTGTCGAGCAGATGAACTGTTGGTGAAATGGGAGGGAAAATGAAATTTCTAACAGTTTGTTTTGAATCAAGTCCGACGCGAAGAATGAACAACGCCTCTCTTTTTCAACTTTTGCAAATTTCAATTGTATGTTTAAATTCCAACTCATTGGCATGTCGAAATAAGATCTCAATAGCAATAATAACAATAAGCACGATAGCTATTATATGTTATTAATGTGCTCGTTTATCGAGCATCATTACAGCGAAGAGTTTTTAATAATAAAAACAACTACAATGGAGTTAATTTTCATGAAATACGCCGAAGAAAACTGTGGTACTAAGTTTTACTGTACAGCATCGCAAAATGGAATGAAGTAAACGATAATGAATAATCAATGTTCTTGAAAATGCTGGAATAGTCGAATTGACTGTTTTTATAAATTGTTTAAAAAACAATGAATTTTATTATATTTTAGTTAGCAAAGTAAACTATTTACTTGTAGTTGCTTCATTTTGCCACTATGTTATACAGTAGCTGTTACTGTTATTTGTTTTCATTAGAGGTTTAGAAATACGATAACGCGACAGTCTGATATGTGCCTCGGAAATTGAGAGTATCGGGAGCAAGATGAATGACGAAGGAGAGAGAGAGAGAGAGAGAGAGAGCGACGACTGATCAACAGAGGCTCTTTATTTGAATATTTTGGTGCCGCTTTGAGGTGACAATATTGTGGCGCCAAGGCGGTCTTCCTCGGTTAGATCTTTATCGTTCCAACCCCAGACCGGGTGGGAGCCATCGCCAGTTCTCAAAGTCCTTTTCCGAACGAGATCCGGCGAAACGGTCTTCAAATCGTACGCCCAGCCGATTCTCGCGAAGAAATCGATGAATCTCGTGGTGTTGTTGGTCCAATGGTTTCCCAGCTCCGATGCGCTGTAGTCCCAAGGGAACGCGTGGTGGTAGTTGTGCCAGCCTTCTCCCGACGTCAGGATGGCGGCACTCATGTTTTCCACGGCGGTCAAGTTTCTGGAACAGCCAAAGCCAGAGAATTATAGCGTCGAGCGACCGGCCGACCACCCTTGGCTTACTTGTCGTAAGGCTTGTTGCCGAACATGTGGGCGACGGAATTGACGAGTCCCACTAAGTGGGCCGTGAAGGTCCAACGCAGAGCCACTGCCACGTAAAACGAATTGGCAAGAGTCTCGTTCCAAAAGTACATCGGTATCAGCGTGGGCAGGACGTAGCAACACAACATCAACACCGCGGTTTTATGTCTGCAATGACATTCGCGTAAGCCATATCAAGCGTTCGTGCGATCGCTACTTGCGAAAAACCCAACGAAACGTACTCGTGTTGAAATCTGACCAGGGGATTGTTGTACAAATCGCTCACGTCGATTTCTTTGCCTTTCTTCGCGACGTCGGGATGTTTCTTCAAAAACACCCAGCCCATGTGCGAGAACAAGAAGCCTCGTTTCGAACTGTACGGGTCAGCGTTAGTGTCAGTGAATTTGTGGTGAACTCTGTGATCTCTCGACCAAGTCAGCACTGAAAACTAGCAAAAGAAAAAAAAACATAATCTCGTGAAAAAGTAGTAAAAGACTAATAATAATTGTCCTTGAGGATGCATTTCCTTTTCGATATTCCGTATCCTTCCACAAAGAAGTTCCAGCACTTACTTGATAGGAAGTACTAAACATGATCATCAACAGCACCTGAAGCGGCCATTTGGCTTTGTAGGTCCGATGCGCCCAGAGTCGATGTACACCAGCCGTAGTTCCCAGCATCGTGAATTGATACAGGAAAATCGCTGAAACGTTATTCAAGTCAGATAATAATTTTTAAACTTTATTGACGATGGACAAATAGAGAGCTTATTCAGGGTTCGATCGGATTTTAAATCGAAAGAGCATATTTGAATCAGAAAATCGATCGTGTTCTCGCTAATTGTCAATCGCAATATCGTAAAGTAGTTCGAAGAAAAATCAGCGTGTCAACTCACCAAACAACGTAGTGGCGATTTTGGCCGAGGTGAAAACCAGATAGAGGCCGTAAATCGCCGCCACGTGGTTGAAGCCCAGAATCGCGACTATTATCCAAGAAATTTCGATTTTGGGCGACTGTTCCTCATTTGTTTCCAACTCCATCTCGGCTTCTAACTTGTTCTCTATGATTGTCGCGTTCATGATACAGTGAGCGCTACGTTTGAAAATGGATATATAACTGCAAGAAACACGAAGAGTTCCTTTGATTAATCGTGTTAACACGTTAATTATTTTATTCTTCAGTTCGAATTTCATTCAATCGTTCATCGTCCATCTTCAGGAATATCCATCGACATTACCAACAAGGTTCTCGCGGTACTTTATTTAACGAAAAATCCGATGTGTCAGTTGTTTTCAAGTGCAATCTCCGACTCTCTTCAGGATGAAATCAATGATAAAGCTTACGATTAACAAATTCAAACGGAACTTATCAGAAGTTAACAAAGAATTAGAACGTGATCATAGTCAAAACGTGTACATCTCGCGTTTTGACTTTGGTCATGTTTGGACTCTCCGCTGAGCTTTGATCAATTCCGTTTTAATGTAAATCAAAAAGTTTATTGTTGATTTTATAATGCCTTTGGCTTTTAAAACTATTGCGGCGCGCTTTTTGGTGAAACTTAGATAATGCTGCTTGATAAAAACGTACGTTTTCTTACGAATCGTTTGGCTAGAATTATTGATTTCTGGCAGCGGAGAAAAGCGAATGAATCTTTCAGCCGAAGTCGAATTGCGCTAACTCGACGTGGTCAAACGAAATCGGAGAAAATTTTATTTGCCTCGCCGTGTTGTACCGTGGCGTCGCGAAAGTTTGGTCGCGGGCGAACGCAAGCACGCGCCTCGCGCGCTCGGTCGCAAGCTCGCGAATGATTCATCACGCGGACTGCGATGGCTCAACGCACCTGTCAATGTCCTGGACTGCAGTAAGCCGGTATCACGGCCGAGGAAGCACTTGATCGGCTCGTTTACCGGTCGAGTGCACTGTGCGTCTGCAAATTGATTACCGTACGTTCAGCGAATTCGAAACACCACAATGTGAAATAAAGTTTGGCCAGTCTAGGCTTGATAAAACTTCAATTTAACAAAAACCAGGCAATAACATATCGTTTGTATTTGCGCCTTGATCCGACGGCAAGCTGTGGAAATCATAAATGTTCGCGATGCACTTGGGAGTACGATGAGGTAGCGCCGAAGATGTTAACTCACCAAACAACGTAGTGGCAACTGTGGCCGAGGCGAATGGCAAATGGAAGCCGCGAATCGATCCAGTTGGGAGACAACCACGATCACAATTGGTCACCGGACGAACAGGATGCTACAGCTGGCCGCTCGCCATCAGCTTTTTTTCTCGGAATGGCCGGTCTACTTGTCATCAGTTGTGTGCGCGCTGTCAATGCCGTAAGCTTTATACTGCAGAGCTGACTTTCGACTGGAAGCTCTGGAAGGAAAATAATTATCTGCCGTCAAAAAAATTGTTCTGAAATGCAATTAACTTTTTTTTTCACTCGAAAGCGCCGCGTTGCACACGCGCGAACATTAATATTTCATAGTTTGGTCTAAAAGTTAAGTCAATGCGCTGACCTTGCGTTCAATAAGTCATTGGTTGACGCGCGGGATGAATTCCGTGCTGAAATCGTTGCCGGCAATCGGAATGCTCATCGGAGCACGCGGTGGGTTCGGGAATGCACGTATGCAGTGGACTCGGGCCGAGGGTGGCGCGTGACGCGATATCAGACGGGTGCACTTACGCGATAGCAAAGGCAGGCGGCGAGAGCAGCAGCGGAATCGCCGAGGCCCACGCGCGATGCACGTCCGACGCTGCGCTACTGCAACGCGAGGTGCTGCGCCGATAGCCCTGTTCCCCGAGGCACGACGGCCGGAGATACGATGAAGCACCGCGACGGCATACACGCTGAATCTTGAATATGCAAGGCAATCGCGCGGCTCGAATGAGATTCGGTATTGCAGGTCCGCCGCGAAATAATCGGCTGTCGAGGTGCGCGATTTGCATGTTGCGCGATCGACGCGCGATGCAGAATATGCGCGGACACCTGACGCGACGATTCGTCGCTCGTCGCGCGAGAGCTGGAGTTGCGTTTGCGCGAGTGCCGAAAAGTGGCGCGCGTCTGGTGGTCCGGCGATTCGTTAGCAGCACTGCTTCACCCCCTCGAAGGAACTCGATCTCGCGGCTGTCGTTCGATGTCCGAGTCGCCGGGCGTCTTCGTGCGCGCTTTGAAGTTCGACGAAAGCAGCCCGCGACCATGGGAATGTCGAGCGTCAAGGTGAACGAACGCGGCCCTCCTATCTATTTCTACGCGCCGGAGGGTTACGCTCGCAAAGGTTACGAGCGAATCGGTGACCCGAGATCGTGACGCTCGTTAGATTTCCGTAATTTAATGGAACTTAAGAAATACAAGGCTTCTACTAACACTGAAAAAGGTCTAGCGTCCAGGCAACTTTTCGACTCTCAGATCCCCTCGCGTGCATTTTTCAAGCTCCGCTACAAGTTCACCGGTATTGCCTTTCTAATGAATTGCAATTTTAACTTCGATTGGATTGATCATTGAATATTGCATTTTTTAGTCGTCGATGAATTGACAATTCGACGTACAGTATCGCTTTTTACCGAGTCAACGTTGATTTCAAAATCCGATAACTGTTCCGAGTTGCGGAAGTTTGTCAGACATTATGAAGCCTCTTCAAATTTACTGAATTTCATCGCGTGCGTTCCATTGTTGTTACTTCATTGTTCACCTGTAAGCAAGGCAAGGGAGGAGGCATTGTCCAGCGATATTTAAATATTTACTTGCAATATGCAGTGAACATGATCATCAGCGATGGCCGAAATAACCATTCGGCTTTGTACGTGCGACGTGTGAGCCAATTCGAGGGACACCGTTCGTAATTATCTACATCGTGAAAGTTTTGCATGTATAAATGAATGTTTATTTGTCTCACGCTTGCGGAGATCTCGCTAAAGTTAGCCTTGCGTAAACGAGATCAGGCCTTCTCTTTTCCGTCAATTTTTGGAATACGTTTATACGTCGATTTCAAAACCGAGCGTCGTACAAGTGTCGTATAATGAACAATTCTTTTCGTATGGATGATATTCACCGGTCGCCAGTTTCAAATAGAAATACGATTTGGACCAATGATACTATGAATAGATAAGCCTGAATTATCGTCACTTTCCAAATAAGTTTCATTTGAATTTTTGGCTCGTCATTGCTTTTTCGAGAGCACTCGAGTCTTTTTGCGGACTTCATACCAACGATAACATGAATTGATTTTCGACTGAGAATTCACAGGGAAAATCCGTTGAACCGTATATAAATGCCATTAATATTTCGCAGTTTGCATATTAATATGACTTCACCAGTTCGTTGTTTTACTCGACTATTGATTTTCTCAACTTCATTGCAAGGTAAATTCTGAATCAGTATAAAATAAAGCATGAGTTCCCTTTAATAGCGAAGGAAAATCAAAGAAAGAATTTTAATTATATTTATTTTATTATCTTTGTCGGTATTTAAAATTTTGATCTTCATAGGTATCAGTATACATTAGCCATCCCGCTAGATGCCTTTGTCCAAAATTCAGGCGTTTCAGTAGTAATTTTTTTCGCAGCGTCTTGCCTGTTCTGATCCCAAACTGAGTGAGCGCCCGTCATCGGTTCTCCCAGTGTCTTTTTGGACGATGACATGAGATGGTTTTCATATCGTAGTCCATAAGCAAACAACTGAATCAAACCCGCTGTGGTGCCTTTCTAATACTAATCTATTTTGAGCTGTTTGCAGTCTCAAGGGGGCGTTTGGTGGTAATAGCGCCAGTTTTCGTCGAGCATTATGATATTTTCGATGGCGGGGAGGACGAACTTTTGGAATGTGCAATAATAAGCCAAAGAATCGTACGCAAACAGTTAGACACGTGCAGTGTTGGCTTACATGTGATATGGCTATTATTATCGAACACGTGAGCCGCCAAATTAATGAGGCCTATTGCATTGTAAGTGGACGTCCCACGATAGCGCTATGAGTCAAGATCGTTATCGTATAAAATCGAAGGTATATATTCGTGTCGAAAAATCTCTGTGGAATTGTTGTACGAATCGCTGACATCGATTTTATAGATTTCTCTTTCACGTTTCTTCGCTGCATCGAGGCGTTTCACGTTACAGTGCCCAGTCGAATGTGAGTCTGCATCTACGTCGTCGAATTCACGATGGATGCCTGAAAAAGAGACGAATTATTCCTTACTGGATTCTCGGCCGACGCAAGAGGTCGAAAACAATATCGAGCACTTCTTTCCTTATTTCGTACAAGCTGAAGGGGCCTGGTGGTTCCCAACGCGCATATGCTTTACATATATCATAACTAAGCGATGCAAAATATGCTCGGGGCATGCGAGTTTCTGCTCGCCCAATAAAATACCTATATATCACGCAGGTCTTGCTGCCGATTGCCTATCAATGGGAGCTACGCTTATGGAAGTAGTCGCAATTTTTTTATACTTTTTCGGCCGAGCAAAGGGAACGAACGTCGGTGCGCCTTTCGCGAGGAGTTGCGATGGGTTGCGCGGAGCGTTCGCCGAGAAGAATGTCGTGCGGCTATACAGCCGAACAGCCGACTCGTCCGGGGTAGCCTTTGCTTGTTTTGTTTTTTGCTCGGAGCGCTTAATTTTTATGACTCGTCATAAAATACGCGAGCGTTACGCGCGTGCACCTGAAAAATGAATGGACATTTTAATAACATGTACCTGGTCGAAGAGGCCGTTCGGCTTTGCAAGTCCGATGCGAACGATCGGTTGGCAAGTTTGGCCCAAGTAAGCCATGGTCAGTACGAAGACAGCCCAGGGTTATGACGATTGTCTAGCTAGTTTGATTTTCTACGGCGATTAGTCGTTGCGGTCTCCATTCCCAGATACCCGACCTTATTGTCAAATACGTTATACTGATTATATTCGCGCTCGTGGTGTCGTGAGTTTTACGCTCGAAAATTGGCTCTCAACTGAGAATTTAAAAGAAGATTTGAATAGTTCTAGTATTCGTGAAAATGCAAAATTGTACGTTTGTCAATAATCGACATTAATATTTCATGGCTTGGTTTCTAACTGCAAAAGTCAAGTTTATACGTCGACCCTGTAAAGCAAGTTTCTATTGGTTCAATATTGACGTTGATCAATTCAAAATTGTTTTGAAATTAATATTAAATTAACGTCAAATTCAAATATATTATGAATTTTTACGTATTATTTTATTTTATCATTTTGTGGTAGTCATTTCGTTGGCTTTATACGGCTCGTTCATTAAAATGTGATGTTTATTAATCAACGTGTTAAATGCAGCTGTAGCCTTCAGACGTTTGAATAAATAGACTTGTATACTTCAAAAGACAATTCTTGAATATATTTTATTATAGATACATTCATGAAAATATATACATGGTAGATTGCGGCTTGTACAAGCCATTGTTTTAATCGGCTGTTGGAATTTTTTTCTGAACTTGTTTCGGTGTTGTATTCCACGTAATAAAACTGAAATGTTCAATTTATATATATATATATATATATATATATATATATATAGGCCGATTAATAGACTATATATCTGGTGAAATATCGGTTGTATGTTAATTTTTAAACATCAGGTATCAAAATAACAGTACGCAGTATAATAGACATCAATTCATTTTTGTTCTCGATATAAAAAGTATTTTTTTAGCTTCGCTTTCGCTCTCTCCATACAAAAGCAAAAACGTATAGAGTGATACATGAGATTATGTAATATACAAATTATGTCGAAACACTTAATTATACATGTGCGTAATAGTAGCCCTATACAACGTATAAATGTGTACCTAAAATACGAAGATCTGAATGATACACAAAAAGTAAAAGATAATCGTAGATAAGTGTTATCATTGGGACTTAAAGAAATAATGAAACGATACATTCGATAACACTGTTTACTATGTTAATAGTAGGATCTTCGACTTCTCCTCTGACAAGTGTGATTAATTAAATAAATTTTTTTTTTCTTTCCAGCTGTGCCTTACTCTCGACAATTTGATTAGAAATTAAATACCGAATATCGATTACGTCAACCCAATCCTTTTCGTGCAAGAGTATCTTTGTTTCTACTTTACAGTTACTGGTGTGCTTTTAAAAATATTAATTTCAACTTAAAATAATACAACGTTTATACACATTGATATAAATCTTACGAGATACATGTTAACGTGCAGTTCTGTAAAAAATGCATTAAGTTATTAAATGAACATTTGTCGAGTCGTGGGTCAGAAGAGAAGCCAAGCGCGCAAAAGTTATAATATAGTCAATTGTAAAACTTAATGTTAACTTCAATCATTTTCTCGAGTAATATGTATAAATCTTCGAACACATTAGAAAAAAACTTTATTGTAATGCAGTATTGCTTCTCTCTCCTCGAGAGAATTTGATCCTATCTGGGAGATTTACAGGCACAGAAAAAAATGCTTTAGCCGATTTGTCCTTTATAGCATCTGGATCATTTATGTCTATTCTATTGCACAGCCAAACACTTGCATTCTCGATCATTCGTATCACGCCACATATAACTCATTATACATAACACATATATATATAGAAACAATAATATCATTCGTAAGAATTGCTCGGTAAAACTCAATTTTATAATTATTTTTCAGTGGGTCTATAGGAACCAATTATTGATAATAAAAAAACGAATTGAAGAACCACTGATAAAACGCATAACAGCCAATGAGATTGCGACAATTATTGTTCGCAGCAGTAAAAAAAGATTTGAATTATCGCGAATAATGGAAAGCTTCGAGAAAAATGAAATTTTTCAAGCTCTTCTTTCTCTCGCTTTCTCCGTTTTCCTTGTAACTTCATAAATATTATAGACGCATCGAACATTACTTATCTTACAAGAATTTCTCCAGTTCCGCACGACAGTACATAATATACCATTGATGTCACACATTTGTTTACGTTCAACATACAGCGTATAAAACATATTCTTTTTCTTCTTAACTATACACTTCCCCGTGTGGATTCGTCATACTCTCTTTCTCTCTTTATTCAAACTTAGGTAACGCGCAACCTTAGAAGCTCTTTCGAACGTATCTACATTACGTCTTTCTTGCAGTCCTCAAAGAGAAATAAACGATTACAGGCAAAGTGTGTATAAACGATAACACGCTTAAAGACCTAAATGCCCTACAAGACATTAATTATATCACGAGTAGTCGTCGTTTAAAAGCCATTCGGATGCACGCGTCGAAAGAAAATGCAGTCCCTCCCCTCCCAGCGTCAAAGAGGCGAGGAAAGGAACAAAGGGAAAAAAACTCAAGTTTTAAGTCAGAAAATCTTTCGTCTCATATGTACAAACGTTATCTCCCCATGAGGTTAATAATGGTCGAGAACGTGTTGATTCATTTTTTTTTCGTCAGTCTGATAAAATGTATATACCTTTTTGCGTGTACACCCCCTATCGAGTCACTATTGAAATGCAACCTGCGCTCGTGTAATTCATTGGGACGAGCACGCTTGTGCGAGGAGAGCATACCGCATCGTGATGATAGTCATCGTCTTCATCTTCGTGGTCGTCGTCGTTGTCGTTATTGCTGCCGCGGGGGATGCTGAATCACAGGATAACGCAGCAGCGGCAGTAACGCTGCCGAGAGGCACCGGACGATGGCGGCGGCGATATCGGCGCGAAGTACGCGTGAACTTTTATATTTGGCAGATGTGTCTTGAAACAGAAAACGTGTTTATTGATTAAAGTTGAGTGCGGATGGATAATGTTAACGGATCGTCGAGTTCCGGTGGATCGATAATTATCTGACTAAGATAAAGTTCGAACAAAAGAACCGACTCTTATTTGTAACTGTTTGTTTTCGAATGCCGTTGCATGCAATAGCTCTTTAAAAGATGTTTGCTCGACCGGGATCGAAATTAGCAAGTAATAGTAAGCTTACAAAAACATTAAAAGTAGAACAAGTTGCATGAATTCCGCGGTATTGTAAAGCTCAGCGTCATTAGCTATTGAGATTATCACGCGGTAAAAACGTTCCGCAATGTCGAATGTTTCGCATTTCCGAACTCGGACGAGTCAGACAAAAAGAAGATACTCACTCGGAGTCTGCGGATGCCGGCTCTAGTGATCAATTGGCAGTCGTAGAGCTCGATCCGCTCGAGATTGTGGCAAGCTTGCAGCATATGGTCAAGGCTGGCGTCCGTTATCAGTGGGCAATTGTCTAGCTCCAATACGGCCAGGTGCTCGGCCGCGCACGGCGATATGGCTAACTGTCTTATACCTTCGTCGGTTATCAGCTCGCAATGCGATAAGCTCTGCAAAAACAATCATGATCGTCAGAAATATGACGAGCGAAAGCGTCTCTCGGATTCGTCGGAAGATCGAGTTTTCAATGGCACAATTAAGTTTGCATACACTCATCGCTTCGTTATTCACGCGGGATTCCAAGGAAATTCGAAGAGACTGTTATTTTTGGTCTCGAGTGACTTACGAGTTTCTCCAAGCGAGGACAGCCCATCGCCAAGTGAATGAGCGTGGCATCGGTAATGAGTACGCACTCCTCCAAGTCCATTTTCTCCAGTAAGCGACAATTCTGCAACGGATCACATGTCGCTAAATGGTGCCTCAATCGTGCTTTGTTGAGCAAAAAATCAAGTATTACCCTCGCGAGAGCTTGAAAGCCATTGTCGGTGAAGTGAGCGCAACCGACGCACTCGAGGACGCTGAGCAGGGGACAGTATTGCGCCAGGTTCATCAGGGTCGCGTCCGTCAGGTTCGGACAATTGGATATGCAGACGTAGTGCAGCCGGGGACATCGTTCCGCCACCTCTCTCACCGAATCGTCGGTTATGTTCTGCAGAGAAGGCGCAACGCACTCGTCAAAGGTCGTTACACAAATGGACTCGTGAGTAATCTCTGAATAACGGGAAAGTCGAGACTGCGAAATACCGCCCTTGGCAACACGGGCTCGACTCGCGAGGTCCAGTTAAAGGCGGACCGGTCGAAGAGTGGCATTGATTATTTATTTTGAAACTCGGGCTAAGAGAGTCCATTAGATCTCACGAATATCGAGCAGCGCTTTAACGTTGGAGGTCGATACGAGAGGGGCGGCGACCAGGCGAAATCTTACCCTGCACTCGTGCAGATTAATCGCCTCCAGTTTGGGGCAAAAGCGCGCGAGGCACTTGACGGCGCGGTCGGTGAGCAGCCTGCAGCCCTTGCTGTGAAAGCTCTTGAGCTCGGGGCAGCCTCTGGCGAGGGCCTCGACGCCCTTGTCGGTGAGCAGCTCGCACCACGACAGATTGATATGGGTGAGCAGCGGGCAGCCGTCAGCCAGATCCTTGAGCGCGAGATCGGTGATCTCGGGACAGGAATCCAGGTTGAGTCGCTGCAGCTTCGGGCAGTGGCTGCTCAGCGCCGCGCAGGTCGCGTCGGAGATCTTCTTGCACTGGCTCATGTTCAGTTCCTCGATGTTGGGGCAGGACTGGGCGAGGGTGCGCATCGACTGGTTGCCGATGCTCTGGCAGCCGCGCAGCGACAGGCGGCGCAGGAATCCGCCGCATCGCCGGGAGATGTTCTCGATGACCGGGCCCTGGAGCGCGCGCGCGTCGGTTAACCATTGGCGTGACTCGCCGCCGCCGCGCGCCGCCCGTCGGCGCGAAGCCTTACCTCGACGTCCCTCTGGAAGTCGAACAGGTCGATCCGCTGCCAGTTGGATCCGTCTAGGGCCAGCACGTTCCACGCCTTGCTCACTTGGGCGCAGCGGCACAGGGACACCACGTCCAAGTATGATAGAATTCTACGGGCCGGAGGACAGAAAGCACAGTGCGATTAACTCTGCCGCTCGCTCGCTCGCTCGCTCGCCCCCTCGGCCCTCTCCCCTTCGCACGTACCTTAGCAGCAACTCCTTCGGCAGCTTCTTGTTGATTTGGGCCTCGTCGTCGTGGAACACCCACGTCAACTGCAAGGAAACAGAGCGGAAAGCGTGAAGGCAGCGACCACGAGGCATCTTTAGGAGCGAGGCGCCGGAGGCCGAGTCGCGCGGAAGCTCGCGAGATCCTAATCGTGTCTTCGTTTTTTTCCTCTTTCGGAGAAACGACAGTGATACTTGTCTCGCAGACAGCTCAAACCGCCGGGAAGATAAACCACAGGTCGTCGTTGAGGATACAGAGCTACTTCAAGATACGCCACGTTCCACCTCGCGTGCAGCGACGACAATAAGGCAATAACAACGAGGAGCATACAGAAGACAATGCACCATGTACAGACACGACAAAAGCTGAGACGAGAGCTGTGCAGCTGTACGAGAGGCCCACATACAGTGAGACGGTGAAAGAGTAAGAGCAATAGAAGAAGGAGGAGGAGGAGAAGGAGGTGGTGGCGGAGGAGGAGGAGGAGGAAGAGAGACAGTGTACGTGTACGTACGAGGCGAGAGTGAGTGAGATGAGCTGAGAGATGAACGAACCTGCATGTAAGACTGCTTCATGCTCGCGACTGGATTGGAGACGTGCGGGGAGTGCGAGTCGCAGTGACGCTCGTTGCTGCAGTGCTGAAGACCGTGAGGCTGAGCCGCTGACGGCTGCTGCTGTTGCTGCTGTTGCCGCTGCTGCCGTTGCTGCCGCTGCCGCTGCTGACGCCACCGCTGGCCGCCGGTGCACGAGCCGGCCTCCTCTTTGCCACCCACACCCACTCGACTTACTTTATTCTACAACACCAGCAGTCTGTCTGTGTTTCTGTACGATACGTCGTCACGAGTACACCGTATTTTGCTAGCCCTTTATTTATGCCGCTGAAATGTCTGTTTTGTTATGTATATGTAGAAACGATTTCGCTTTTTTCTGTTTCCTTTTTTTTTATTTCGTTGAGTTACTCTTTCAATTAGCGGACGAGTTCTTTTGCAAACGTACCAATGAATAATGCAGTCGTCGAGTGTGCGTAATTGTTGAGAGAGAGAGAGAGAGAGAGAGAGAGAGAGAGAGAGAGAGAGAGAGACAGAGACAGAGAAGAAAAGAAAATTGAAATTTCTCTCCGCTGTTGCAGATAAAAGAGCGAAATAAATACGCACACAGTTCGTGTGTGTACGGTTTCGTCGATGATGCGAGAGTGTAAATAACAATACCTTTGGAAAACGAGGATTGTCGAAAGAGCGAGAAAGCACAGAGTTCGAGAAAACGTACTCGGTGTCTTTCGCGTAAACATAATAAATCACACATACACACGCGCGCGCGCGCACAATATAATTGCAAAACACACGGATAGACGCAGACAGTCCGGAGTAAAACACAATCGATCGATCGATAAAAAAAAAGAGACGAATAAGTGTAGGGATAAAAAACTTGCGTGTGCTTCGATAACGAATAAGACAGTGACGGAGAGGGAGAAAGAGAGAAGGGGGAAGGAGAGGATGGCAACAACAAACAAACGAACGCTTCCTCTCGAGTGCGTCCATCTAGAAGAGCTACAACGCGGGGACAAAGGGTAGCCCCGCAGTTTCCGTGGGAGGCTCATAAAACCCTTGAGGAGTGTGCACAAACGCATGAGTTCTCATACGTTGCCAAATGGATCGCGAACGACCTGGAGGGAGCGAGAGAAAGAGCGAAGGAGAGCGCGATAGACAGAGAGAACAAAGGACATCGTTCGCGAATGCAACCAACATGGAGGCAGAACGCATACGAGAAAGGTCTGTTCTCGCTCTTTGGCACAGACCGAGCGAGCGATGATTACGGGACCGCGAGAAAGGGTTATTCGGCACATCAAGCGTGATATACGTGGGGAGAAATGATCTTGCGTCTTACCTCGAGCCTCGTGCGCCCGGAGTGTATCATCCTTTTGCGTCGCGTTATTGTTGCAGTTTTAATGTTCGTTGGGGGCTAGCTGGGGGACGTAGGTCGTCGCGCCCAACAGCACCCACGCATTCAACGGGCGAAAAAATCGACACCGCAGCACAACCGACACGGGCGCGCGCTGCCACCACAAACAACGGCAGCAGCAACAACAACAACGGCGACAGCCAACGAAAACCGCACGAGTACCAAGCCGCCAATACTGCGAAATGGCCGAGTCTACCGACACAACACGACTGTTGCTGTGTGGCGCTACTGCTGCTGCTGCTGCTGCTGCTGCGCTGCTGCGCTGCTTTGTTCGCGCTGCAAGCGAGAAGAGGGCCGAGAAGGACGCAGCTGATCGCCACCAGCTGCGATGCCAACTACGAAAGTATAGGCTCGTCGTGTTTAGGTGATTTAAGCGGCTTACTGAGCATGCGCGCGCGTCGCCACAGTGTGAAACAGATGGTGGGGGTTAAAAACATGGGTGACTCTCTTTTCGCGTGCATTGTTATTGTTTTGATTTCGAAAGAGAGAGTGAGAGACAGAAAGAGTATGGAGATTTTAAAATTAAATGCCGGAATATTGCCAGCTTTGTTGTGAAATTCTTAGGCGCTAACTACTGGAACTTGACTTTATATTTTTTTTTAGTATTGAACACGGAGTCCTTATAGCAGTTTTTTCTGCTCGTTTCACTCGTAAAGTATTTGATCTCTCTTATAGGCAATCTAATCCATAATCAAGGAAATGGCATATCGAAATAAAGTACTGGGCAGGAAGGCTCTCAAAGTCCAAATCGCACATATCTTCAAGACTATTTCAGAGACTTTTATTTATAATCTGTCATGAACAAACAATAATCGAGCAGCATATAATGACGTGACTAGCGCCAAAACTAAACGCACTTCGTTCTATTGAATTCGTTGAAGACGAAATGATTATTCGTCGAGATCACGTGTTTGCGCTTATCGAGAGGAGAAGCGGGGGGAGACAAATAGTAAGTAACAAACACTATTTTACCTACGACGGTTTTTTTTTACCAGACTACTCTACCAACAGTAGATTTCTACCTTATCTCTCGCTCGTGCGATCAGCTTACGGGCTACATATGTACGTATATCACATTTCGATTTACAAACAAGTCTGGAAGTGCTTTTTCTTCAAATGCATACCATCGATTTTTGCGTTACATTATAGAAATTTCAATAAGAATCTGCAATAACTGAATGATACAGGCGACGGAATTGTAGATTTCAAGTGCAAAGAGGAAGCAGCGAACGCAGTTTTCGTCCGGCTAATGATTAATGAGTACATTCTCCGCCGAAAAATAACAATTATTCCATCGTTTCGTAATATCTATTGAGGTGCTCGTCAGGATATATCATCTGCAGCTTGCTCGGCTCCTCCCTGTCTAGCTGCTTCGCAAGTTGGCTGCGCTGCTTGTGCTGCTCGATCGCCATCATCATCCGCAGAATGTTTATAGGGTGCTCCGGCGCGTTCGTCGCTTGATACGGGTCGGCTCGCTTTCCGTACCTGCGTTTCAACAGAGACAGATGATCATTACGCGCTTTCGTGCGATACGCTTAGTTTGGTCAAGTGATTTCGTTGAAAATGCGACGAGCAGTCGCTTCATTTGGATCTTTCTATATCATTTGTTACTGTTATATCACTTTTTTAAATGCACTCTATGTAGAAAAAGTTTAGGGAACTTAGGTCATTTAAGGCGGTCAACTGTTGAAAATTATGCTTTCTTTATTGTGATGTCAAAGCTGTTTTAATAAAGCTGTCACTGTGAATATTTTTCATTTTGAAGTATTTGGAAAATGCTTTCATTTTCTTCTTTTTATGTTCTAAAATCTCACGTAAGAGCCCTAGGAAGTCCCCTCAACCGTAATACCTTTGTTTTAGAAAAATTAATTTACCACGATTTCTGAACATTAAAGTGAACGAAAATCACTTTTAAATGGGTGGATTTTCTTCCTTTAGATTAGTACTCCCGATTAAATGAAAGATTTATCGAAATATTCGAGTTTAACATTTTTATGAGAACTTCCACAAATTTATCTAAAAAGAATTTTGAATGAAATTAATCTGGAGTACTGATCTAAAAGAAGAAAGTAAGCCCTTCAAAAGCGATCTTTATTCACTCTAACATTCGGAGGAGCGTGGTAAACCACATTTAAAAAAAAAAAAAGCTCTTACGATTGAGATCACTTTAATAGAATGTTTTTTAAAACGCAGTAATAAAAATTTATAATTTTTACTGTTTAATATCAGTTGCTCCCCTTAATAGGTAACTGCGTAGAAACAAAAGAATGGGGTAGAGAATCACGCGAATTTGAAATTAGAAGGGAAGCTCTAAGAGATGTATGGGAGGGGAAAGCCAACATAAAAATGGCGTAAATTGGGTTAAAAAATTAGAATGCGTAACAAATAAAGAAAAGGCAATTGAGGAGAAAGAAAAAGAAAAAAAATCTATACAAATGTAAATGCAATATAACATATGTAAATATGCGAAACAAAGGAAATGTGTGAAATAAGATAGACATGAAAAATTTGTAAAGTGTAAATTTGATAAAATTTGTAAAATGTGAGATTATGTAAGATAGGAAAATAAGGAGTGATAAATTAAAGAGTGTGCACGAAAAAAGATAAGATTAAGTATTATCACAGATTTAAAGTAAATGTATGTATCAAAGATCTTGTATTACAATTATGTATAGAATTTATGTAATGAAACCATGTCCATTATTAGACCATGCAGAGGTTGCAATTAATAAGCTTACGTAGAAATACATCATTTTTTATAAATAAGGCAAAAGATTTAGCAAAAGATTGTTCTGGTGCTGTGTTTAAAGCGTAAATTAATAATAAATGTATAACAATTTGAAATTTTGATAGTATTCAATGTTATTCAATGACTTATTAGAAAAAGTCTGTAATTACACGAAATGACACACAACTAGGCAAGTTGCACGCATCATCCCCAATATCACTCCAGGAGTGTAGAAATGAAAAGGAAACTATCGTACCGTGGTTTAGAGTTCAAAGTGTAATAATCCTTGACGAGGTCCAAGTACTGCTTCAGCTCCTCCGGACTGGTAAACACTTTCGGCCTGGTAGGCCTTGCCATGGGTTCCGGCTGGGACTGCACCGTCAAGCAGCCCACGGCCATGAAGATCACGGCGACGCAGGTCGCGCGCAGCAACGCCTTCGAGCCGTGCATTTTTCTGAAAGCCCAGCGGACAAACGTGAGTACGCCTATCGCTTCGCGCCCCCTTCGCCGGCTCTCGAGACGAGTTACACCAATTGGTCCGCGCAAGCTCCGCGAGCGGATTGTTCCGTTATACGTTGCGCGCAAGTGTCTACGCTCTGCGGAATTAACGCAACGCGCAGCGACTTATAATGCTCGCTAATTGACGCGACGAAGGCGCAGATTGGCGATGGCTGTGACGCGCGGTGACTAGGATGGGATGCGTGCGAGTATACAAGTGTCGAGGGCAGGTCAAGCGCGCGATTGGCATCGAAGGTACGACCGTCCGTGGATCGAGCTTCGATAGTTTCGTGTCAGCGCGGCCGACAGTCCGCGACGCGAGTTCGGCTATAAAAGAGCCTGCATATATGCAGTGATATATATATCGACCACGCGGCTGGTTTCCGTCGTCGTCGTCAATGCCACACCGGTGCCACGCACTTGTCGCCCGGTCAAACTTTCCTTTGCCTTTTCCCGCAATCTTATCGCGCGATGAGGCCTCTTCCAGGTAATTTGGCTCTCATTAATTTTCTCCGCTACTGCTGCTGCTGCTGCTACCGCCCTCCCCCCTAATCGCGCCTATGCAAACTTGGCGAGCTCCGCGGATTTGCAACGACGCTCTTTATCGTTCGCGCGATAGGTGGCTTGTACTACTAACGGCGAGCGGCCACGTCACATGGAAACTTGGACGATAAAGAGCGAATCTCTTCAGCTCCTTCGTCTTGTTCAGCGCGCCTGGCCAAACGGAAACGATTATTATCTGACTCGACGGCTTCGAGCTTTCATCCGCGCCACCGTAAATGAGCGCCGCGAGCACGAGCCCGGGCAGTTTTCTTGAAAACGTCACTCGGCCGGGGCGAGAAGATCGAGCGGCACAACTGTTGCGCGGGCGCGCAATTGCAGCTAGGATTTAGGTGGGTAATTCCCGCCGACAGATATTCACAGTAAACAGCACACGTGGCCGACGGCATCATCTGTCATGTTTTATGAAGCTTTCGTTCCATCTGTTAGTGTATGCCTAATCCATTTGTTCAGTGCGCGCGTCTCTATCTGAATTGAAATAAAAGGGAGTGGAAAACCCCGGCGCATGAATCACGTTTGCATAGAGACGACGCGGTCGGAGCCACTTTTCCTCGCGCGCGCGAGCTCGTTCGCGTGATAATTTTTCAGGATGGAAAACCGCGTGGGCGGACGTTACATCGCAGCCATGGAGGGGGAAGGGGGAAGAACGGCGACAAATCGATTTGGCATAATCGCGCGGAGTATCTGGCGTTCGGCGCACGTACTTGCAATCGATGCGGCGATAAGGACGAGAGGAGCCCGAACCGAAAAAGAGGGCAAATATTTATTATTTCCCGGGTACCGATACGCGGCTCTTTACTGATTGACGCATACACATAGTCGCGCGCGCATCCTTGAGACGACAAAGTCGCGGATTGCCTATCGAGGACATGGGCGGCTTTTTCCTGATTTTCGTCGCGCGAACGACGTTCCGCGTACATACTTCGCCGCGCGTGCATCATCTCGACGCGGTTGAAAATATTTCCGATAATGCGGTGCTGCGCGCCGCTCTGCGTGGCGCCAATTCGCCATTATCTTTTTTGCGCTTTCATACTTCAGATTAGGCGGCAGTGAAGCAATGTTTGCGCTCATTACGCCTTGTACGTGCTCCTGATTACCCGCCAATTCGTTGGCCTTATCGCTCGGCGCGTCTACTACTTTTCGATAGCTTGGACTTTCCAAACGAGAAGTGGGATCTCGGAAAGAACCGAGCGGCTGGAATTCGAACGAATAGATCGTCGATGAAATCATCAACGTCGCGACGTGATCCGTTGACAATGCCGCGCGCAAGCCCCCGTCAACTGGAATCAGAATAATCTACGTTGGAGCTGTGATCGCCACTTTTAATTTCGCCCGACGCCCATGATAAAAACAATCGGGAAGAGAAATAGATAAATTGCTGTGAATACATTGACCCAGTAAAGAAGATGAAACTGCCATAGATGTCATTTGTCCCTTATCTGCACTTGGCCGCGTGGCATAAAGCCTTTTGAATATTTACAACTTTTTTTTACGGCGCATATTGTCATTGCTGGACGATTGAACGCATCGAAATTCTCGCTACTACCGCTACGTGTTCGTTTTTTTCGTTTTTTCGACGAACGTGCTTCTGCTTACTGCACTTTCCGTTTTCGCTCGGCTTGCCTCGTCCGCGCACACGATGTCCGTCAAACGCACGTCGCGCCGATTTGACGGATTCGCCAATTCTGATCTGAAATTAATTTCCATGATGATGGCCTCATGCGCGTCATAAATTTCGTTCTCGTGTTCGTAAATGAAAGGCCCGTCATTTCGTGAAATCCCATAAAACTGTACTATTTCCTGCCAGACCGAGTTATATACTCCGCGAGCACCGCAAAGTGCACTATAAACTTGAGTCGTTTTTACTAATACGTTTTTTATATCATTTTCGCTTTATAAAATCTAAAATTTTTATGATTTGCATTCCTTTAAAAATTCAGCAGTCATCCGAAAAATTGTTTTAGTCCTACGATCGTATCAATGAAATCGCTGAGAGGCAGATAAAACATCATTGCTTCTCGTGATAATTAAAAAAATCACGTATACTCGAAGAAGAGATACAAGGTGAAATAAAGTTACATCGAGCTCAGATCGAAGTGTAATTGATATAACAATGGTCCCAGCAGTATGCATATTTAAATCCTCTCGTAAATCTTCATTAGCAAAAGCCAGACACGCACGTGAAAAGCGCGCTTGACTAATTGGAATGCCGAAGCGACAGGTAGATTAGACAAATTAAGAACTACTGGACGCAGCGTCGCCCCGTGGAATTCAAAATAAATTAAGATAAGATTTATCATCGCAGCAGCTGACACAGATTAGCCTCTGAGTTGGCTTTATCAGGCCTTGTTTTTTTTTTCTTTTTCTTCGGCCCTTCAAATTACGTTATTTTGCCACATTGCGTCACAGACGTCTACACGCTAGACATAGAAAAACAGGCGAGGTATTTTTTTCGCGATCGCTAGACGATAAAATGACTGGGCGACAGGTGATCTCGAAATCTACGATCGTTCACGTGCCGCCGTGATACGTCGGCGTACACGCGCGAGGAGCGAACTTATGCGCGGCGCCTGGAAAGAACGTGCATCGAAGCTCCGATTACGTTGCTTTTTTCTTGGTGCTGTCGACTTTCACGGATGTGCCTCGCAGGGTTTCTGCTTGGCGCGGCGAACCAAAGCGCATTCGCATTAAGCTGCCCTGAGCTGTACGTCGATCGCACGAGGAGCTTGCAGAGGCGAACTGCGCGCGTGAGATTTGTCGTTGAAAATAAGATAAGCGAGCGATCTTCGATCCATCGAGAAAGTTGAGCGAATTTATCGCGGCAAGAATTTTCATCCACTGTCCTTTTCCAAGCCGGCGTAGGCGCTGTGGAGCGAAAAGCTCAGTTTTCGCGAGCTTCGAGTTGGAAGGCAACCGAATTACTAAGGCATCCGATTGCCAGTGGATCAACGAAAATATTGCATTTACGAGTTTCATTGACGGCGCGCAGTTTCGTCGCGAAATCAACAGGTGCAAGACAAACGAGCGACAAAAAGAAGAGAGAGAGAGAGGGAGAGAGTACCAACCTTGGCAACCGGAGAGCAGAGATGTACAGTGACGATTGGCTGACCGTCTATCAGCAGCAGTGAATCGAAGTGGCGCCCGTCCCTATCTGCTATCCGTTGCGGAGGTGCAACTTACGCGCGAAGCTGGCAGTTCGCTAAAAGCCTGGATGGCGCACGGCTTAACTTCGTTGGTCTGGAAGTTTGTGTAACGAGCAGTCGGGCGCGCGCGCCGTCGCTTATATATACAGCGGCCGACCAACCCAGAAGCACCCTCGCCCCGGCAGGTGCGCGCACAGCTCCCAGCGAATCCCCGACTGCGAATCCTATCTTCTAGCCCCTACTACTTGCCGTGTAGGCACGCGTCGCTCCTCTCTGTGCACCACGTCCGTTATACACCTATCGCGCTCTCGTCTCTCTCTCTCTCTTTCTCTCTCTCTCTCTCTCTCTCCCTACGCTACTGCTCGCTTTTCCGCTTTTCCAGCGCGTCGTTTTTGACTGTTGCCAATCGGACATCCTCCATTCAACATTGGAAAGCTTTATTAACAATTAATCCGCTGTGATTTATTGCCCATTGTAACGTGGGCTGGCGCCAACGGGAAGAGTCGTGCGACACACGCACGCGGGCGCAGCTAGCGTAAAATCGCGCGATCTCACTGTCGCGCGCTGCTCGCCTCGTTGCGACAATTAAGGCAATCGCGCGGCTTTCAAACCTATATATCATCGCCGTACTCGCCGATCGCTCGCGCCTCGCGCGGCCGCTCATCGTCATCCGCTCGTCGGAACGAAAGGGGCCCTGATTAAAAAGGAGCCGAGCGATCTTCCGTCCGAGGTAAATGAAGTTGCGAGTTATGGCCGACGCCCACGTCGGGGCGCTTCGGCATTTTCGCAAAATTAAAATTTCCCCCCGTTTCCCGCGATTAATCGAACCATAGCGCCTCTCGCGCTCAAATCCCGGTAATTACTCATCCCCGACGATACATCAATTAAAGGTGCCCGTGAGATACGAGTGGCCGGGAAAAGTTATGCCTCTCACCGGCGCGCGCGGGAGGGGGAGGTGCTTCGAAGCACCGACTCGCGTCCGCGCCGGTCAGGCTGCCTCGATCGTCGCAAGGGAATGCGCCAGTTTCGAGTGCAGGCGACGGCGAATTCGCGAGCGCGTATCCCCGCTCCGCTCGCGCAGCCAAAGAAAGTATCACGGTCAAGGTGCGCTTCTTTCGCTCTCTCTCTCTCTCTCTCTCTCTCTCTCTCTCTCTCTCTCTCTCTCTCTCTCTCTCTCTCTCTCTCCTGCCACCGTGGCCGTATAGATACATAGATAGGAGCGTGAGCGAAGGGGAAGAACAATATTAATAAAGCCGCATCTCCCGCTGAGGGGAGCATAGATTCATTATAACTGATATACAATCCCCCGCGCGATATTGGATCCTGTCTCGTGAAATTTTTTTCTCCTCTCTCGCTCTCTGCCCGAAAAGTTTTTAGTCCGCGTTAATCCCTTCGGGCCAACCTCGAGTTGATCGTCGCCTTTTTTCCTCTATGACGTAGATATTGTTTGCGCTCATTATCTCTCTCTCTCTCTCTCGCTCTTTCCTGTATTGCGCGTGATTCGTGGTATTTTCAAGCGGTGACTTTTATCTGTTGCATCGACTTGCGGAACGAGTGCAAGTCGCGATGCGCGCCGCAATGTGTGCCGGCTGTCCGCGCCCGTTAGCGCCGAATTGAATCCATCGTCGAATAAAACGATGGTCTCTGCGAGTTTCGCGAGAACCGAGACGCGTGGAAAAATTTGAGATCCCCGCGTGAAATTCAATAAGAGCGGCGCATCGCTCTCCGGACGCGCAAAGCCCAAAGCGCGAAATTCCATTTCGCGAGCCAAGAGAGAGAGAGAGAGAGAGAGAGAGAGAGAGAGAGAGAGAGAGAGAGAGAGAGAGAGAGAGAGAGAGAGAGAGAGAGAGAGATAGAGAGAGAGAAATGCGCGCTCGAGTGTCCAGGCAAGTCGGATTGGCGATTGGAGAATCTTCAGAACCGGACGCTCGCGCCATCGCTGTCGATTGCAAAAAAAGCCGTTATTCCCGATGCTTCTGTTTCTCGACGAGCCGGTCCAGATGAAAACACGCGTCGACACTTATAAATATATTATTACGAGTCGCGTCCGCCGGCTCGCGAGCGTTTTGGCAAAAGCTCTCCTCGTCCCGCATACTCCGCGCTGAGATAGTAGCGCGGGAAGGAACATCAATACCGGCCTTCGTATTTATGAGCGCTTGCACTGTGCCCCTCGTCTTTGCGTAATTTTCGCATTTAAGGAAAATTACTATCAGTCGGGCTTTCTCTAGCAGGTCTCGTGCTTGTTTTGTCGACTTCGCGTTGCACAGACGGAACATACCTCTCGCTTACCTCGAAATGCGGCAACGAATGCAAATATGTTTTTTTCGCGCTCAACGCGGTTATCAGTGCCACCCTAGGCTAACGAAATCGCGAGCATTTTCGTTGGGTTCTCCTGGTATTTGCTCGGAGAAATGTAAATGTAGCCTTTACAAATTATAATTGCGATAAATACTGTCACGTAAAAGTCATTCGTGAATATTGATTCAGCGCGTTTCTTTGCTCTGAATTTGAACCGTGACGCAGATGGAATTTCAGTGACGCGTGTACACGAGGCGCCGGAACGAGCCACGCAATGAAGCGTCGAACGCTAAACATTTTAGAAAAATCAGGCATTTCCAATTCTAAAACGAATCTTTTGAGCTACAAAAGAGTGAAAGTCGCGAAGAGGCAGCAGCAATGACTTTTAATCGTTCGTTCGGCGGTGAAACTATCCGGGCGGTTGACGGTCGCGTACGCAGTGCTGTTGTGTTCCCGAAAAAAAAAAAAAGACACTCGTACGATCCGTCGATGTCTGAAAAAAGCTTTCTGTCTCCCGACTCACGCACGCGTCGATAAATGCCCTGGGCAACTGCGTCGAACTCGAACGATACCCAACGCCATCCCCTCGAAACATCCGTAGAGCGTCAACGAGAAGCAAAAGAATCGCGGGGATATAATCAGCATAGTGCGCTATTAGGGTTACGCATCCCGCGGAAAGGTAGGAGCTGGTAGTGTTGTTGGCAAGAAAGAGAGAGAGAGAGAGAGAGAGAGAGAGAGAGAAACAGAGCGCCTCAAGGGAGATAGAGTCGCGGTGGGAGAGGGGGGAGAGAAAAGAACGGTCATTGCCTCCACCTGCAGCACACATCGCGGCGGCAACGGCGGCGGCACGGGGCCCTCCTTTTTCCTCACGGGCCACAGCCGCGAGTCGAGTCTACCCAAGGAGTCGCTCGACTAGACCTCGCGAGAGAGACAGAGCTCGACGGAATGTTGTCGGGCTCGTCGTCGGTTCTTCCTCTGTTTATCTCGACGCTCGCGTGAGGCAGCCAAGGCTTAGGCTTAGTAACCCCCTGCTCTGTCGGAAGCGCCAGCGAGTGGACAACCGCGTCGATCTTTTGTCGACGCCCTGCGGATCCATCGGCGATGTCAGTCGTCTGCCGCCGCTGAAGCTCTCGCACCGTTCTCCCCAAGGTAAGACCGCCGGTCTCTCGAGCTCGCGGACGACGGAGTCGCGATCCGGGCGGGCCCCGGGCCGTGCGAGTCCCGGGGCGCGCGAGGCGACGTCGGATCGCCGCGGCTTCGCTGCCCCGTCGAATTATCGCCGCGCGCCTCGTTCGCCCGCCAAGCTGTACGCGATGTACCGTAAATCGGCGCCCACGGCGGGGCCCCGTATATTCAGCGTAGCGGTACTACGACGGCGCGGCGACGCGGAGCCGTTCGCGCGCGCGAGCTCGGCCCGATCGACTTTCACGAATTTCGGACGTGCTTTCCGCGTGACGCGCGCGCCCGAGGCAAAGCCCCGTCCGCCCCCCCCTCTCTCTCCGACCGCAGGACGTCGCTCGCGCCGGCAGGCCGCGCGGCGCTCTGCCCGTGTTTTCGGCAGCGCGTGGGTGGCTCTGACGCGTCTCGAGGTGAGCAGCAGATCGAGCTCTCGCAGTTATGTAGGTGAGAGCAACGGTAACTCGCGCGCGCGGCTCGACGCGGCGCGTGCGCCCGACCACGCCGATTTTTCGCCTCTCGTCAACCCAACCCACTTCGACGATCGCCGATCCCGCTGCTCGCTGCTCGCGTCTCGCTTCGTTCTCAGTCGAGAACGCGGCCGGAGGTTCGGGCGACTTTTCACGCTCGGCCCGAGAGAGAGAGAGAGAGAGAAAGAGAGAGAAAGGAAGAGACAAAAGCGGAGCCGATCGTCGAGGGGAGAGAGAGGGGCAGAGAAAAACGGACGCCGAAATACCGTTTCTGAAAGCTCCGCGAGAGCGACAGGCTCGCGCGCGCGCGCGAGAAGGACAAAAAGGCCAACAACAAAAAACAGCAGTCGGCCGCTGCGCATAGTTGGCCTTGAACCTGCGCGCGCGTAATTGCGGCCGTGACTGCGCGTGGGAAAGTTCTCATAGCTCGCAGCCACCTCGACGTTGGCACGACAGAGTCATCGCCGCCGAAAGGAAAACGAGGAGGCAGCCAGGCGGCAAAGCCGTATTTTCCGACCTCTTCTCTTGCAGATGATGACCAGGCGCCACGAGGTCGTCATCGCCCTGAGCTGCCTGACAGCGCTGGTGCTCGCGCAGCTGTGCCACGGCAGCCCGGTGTTCGTGCCGCAATTCCTGTCCGGAGGTAAGACCGTCAAGCATCCAGAGCCGCGAAACCGCGTGGCAGCGGCTAATGGACGCGCCGCCGCGGAAGCGGATCAGTAGGCAGGAAACCGCGAAATCAGAAGAAACGAGCGCGCGACCGACCGATGACTTTCTCCGACTCGCCGCCGCGGGCACGCGCCGAAACTTCCGCTCGCGCACGCTGAATGACAAGTCAGCTGCGACTGGCCAACTGACCCGCAAATTCGTCCGCTGACATTCTTTCGCTCTGGCTGTCGCCCGACTCGAATCGAGACCAGCCGGCTTGGATAGCTCCTCGGTGGACGCTGCGCATCCGAAACGCTCGGCATTCAACGAATAGACGTGGCTCTCCGCGGAGCACCAAGATAACCGTCGCACAGCGACGTTAGACGAACGATCGCAAAAGTATCGCTAGCCGACAATCAGCCGTAGCTGCGCCCGGACGAGTTGAACGCGCGCGACACCCACTGCACAACGACGAATCCCACGTTTCGTCAGAATTCATTGCGCGCGGAGACACCCCCTCTCGCCGCAAAGAGCAGGCTCGTATGCTCACGCACGCAGGGCGCGCGGACTCTCCGGAAGCTGCGAGATTCCCGTGCGTCCGCTTGTCGTGGCAGCAGATCCGGACAACGCGGGCCGGAATTCGGGCGACAGCGCGGCGGCGGTGCCGGCAGGATGGTGGTGAAGGATGGCGCAAAGACGCGGCTGACTGCCGCGCCGCGGCGCCTCCTCGCCTGGCCTACTTTTCCGCTCGGCCAGCTAGTCTCGTACATCGAAGCTTAACGGTATCATTTCTGCCGGCATTGCCGACGCTCTAACACGAATTCACTCCTCGGTGGAGTCGCCTTGGACGAACGGCAAGCGGACCGCCCGTGCGCGCACTCGCGTGGACGTAAACGGCGATTTCCCGATGAGATCGAAACGGGTGTCGAACGACGGGCGGTCGAGTTATGGTAATCGGCCGATTACGCGCGCCGTTGACGCATTTCAGTCAGTTGCGCGCACCGCGAGTTCCCGTGTATCCGCTTCAGCGCGCGCGCGCATTTTTATGATAATGAACCGTTAGCGCCTCGTATAACTCGTTAGCTCTTCAAACGTGAGCGAGCCAATGGCCACGATCGGGCTGCGTAATTCGAGCCAACGATTGGTCCATCGGCGATGAAGATAATGACGCGGTTGCACGATTGCAGGTACCGGTCGCAACATTCGCCACCTGCCGTGCGTGTCGCGTCGCACGGGCGAGCAGGGCGTGTGCATGTTCGCCTTCACGTGCGCCAAGGCGAACGGCACTCACCTGGGCACCTGCATCGACCGCTTCTACTTCGGCAGCTGTTGCAAGATCGAGGACCCGTCGACGGCCATCGACGCTTTTCCGCAGGACAACGCCATCGACACGGACAGCACTTCGCCGGCGAAGCCCTTCCTCGTCGCGATCGCCACCACCGCAGCCGCCACCACCACCAGCAGCGCGAACAGCCAACCGCTCGACAGCAACGACATACCCGGTAACGTGGACAGCGGGTTGAAACCGAGGCCGACAAAGAGACCGCTGGACGCGACCACGCAGTCCACGAGACTGTCGACCTTCCAAACGGTGCAGAGCAACGCGTCTCAACAGAGGTACACGACCTTGCCCACCGCTACCAACACCAAGATCGTCGCCACGCCGAAGCCAGCCTCTACCACAGCCTTCTACTTGACCACGAGCAGCAACGCGTTGGCAAAAAAACCGACACCGCCGTCGACGACCTTCGGCCAGAGGATATCTACGAAGAAGCCGGCTTCTCCGTCGCCGACCAAGAAACCGGTTACCGCGACCGAAGCCACTTCTGCGCCGAGTCTCACGATTAATCCCGCCGCCGATAGACCGAGCCTGTTCACCACCACGACGCAAAGGATTTATCCTGCTACGAGATTCCCACCGAGGAACGCGACGACCGTGGCTTCGACCAAGTTCAGCAACAACGCGACAACTACTACTACTAAGAATGTAGTGCCGGAGACGTCGACGATCAAGCCCGTGACGACGAAAAAACCGGTAAAGACCACCAGCAAGAAACCAACGACGATCACGGTCGCTAAGAAACCCAGCACGACGACGACGACGACGACGACGACGACGACGACGGTCGCTAAGAAACCCAGCACCACGACCACGACGACGAGTAAGAAGCCCGCGACGACTGCTGCTACGCCTGTTACGACGAAGGCCACTATCACCACGATCAGTCCACTGACGAACTCGAAAACGACGATACCCACAACTGCTACGTCGACGAAAAAAGTTGTAACCAAGAAGCCTGCCGCGACGTCGAGCAGTACGCTCGCGGTGACGAAGAAGCCTGCGAGCAACGCGACTCACGCGACGAAGAAACCGGTGAGCAACGCGATCTACGCGACCAAAAGGCCTGCGACGACCACTACCACCGTTACGACGAAGAGGCCTACGAAGACGACGAGTGCACCGCCGACGACGACCAGTACGCCGAGAACGACGACGACGACGACGACGACGACGGCAGAATTGACAACTAAAAGGCCTACCACGGCGACCACGCTGAAAAGGACAACCACACCTTCACCGACGAGATCAACCACGACGAGCGCGTCCACTACTAGTCGACCGACAACGCTGAAAGTCACGAGCAGCACGACGACGACGACGACGGCGAGCAAGCCCACGAAGCTGCCGATAGCCACCAGTGCGAAACCAACGGTCGCGGCCACGAAACCCATCGTGGCTACTACCATCACGGCAAGGCCACCCGCGAAGAACACCACGATCTCGAACGAGATCGACGCCGAGTTCGACGATCAAACGCCTACGGGATTCGTCACCTGGTCGTCCTTCCCAGATGAAAGTCCCACCAAGGCCCCGGCCAAAGAACCAGGTACGCCTATTATGCTTATCACAAGGCTATCAATGACGAGCGAAGGAGAGAAAGAGAGAGAGAGAGAGAAGCCACGCTAACGGTGGATATTGGAGAACCGTAATCTCTCTCTCTCTTTCTCGGTGCGGAATAGCTATGGTGTTTTTGCTCGCTCTATGAGCCACGATGCGCGCAACGATTTACTAGTGTATATTTTTTTCCTCTGTATTGTAACGTGGATTACATTATGACATTTTAAAAGGAACGTCTTTTCTTTCGTTGCAACGTTTCGTCTTCCGACAAGTTGGCCCAGAATTTCGGAAGCTTATTCGACTGATAACGCGCGTATCATAATGCTAATGCAGTTACGAGTGAGCGAATATTGGAAAAAATGACGATTTTCAGAGACCACGGAAACGGAGTGGCAGCCAATAACAACGCCCGACGGCTGGATCATCGTCCAATCTCCCGCGACCGAGCAAGAGGAATCCGAAGTAGAAGAAGAAACAGCGAAGCCGATTAGCAGTTCCACGACGCATAGTACTGACAGTCCGACCATCACTACAAGTAAGCTCGTGCTCTAACGCGCGAGCAATCAAGTTTAACGCCACGTGTTTACAGCGCGAAAGCGCCAATCTCGCGACCTTGAAAATTAAGCTCCGAACCGTGCGTTTCCAGCTAAGGCCACCACTCCGGCGACCACAACGACCAAGGAAAGCACGACGACTTCGATACCGACGACGACGACGACGACGACGACGACGACGACTCAGCGAGCTATTACAACTCCGTCGACGACCTACCTGGACATGCTGTCGACGCTCGCGAGCGTCACGTTCGCACCGAGTCACAACGAGCTGCCGGCTGTCCCCATAAACATGTCTAATTACAAAGATGGTGCGTACCAGGACAATGCCAGGCATCGCTGATCTCATCCTTCGTGGCGGAAGTTTTATCATTTGGATATAATCGTTTTCATTGGGAACTGACGAGCGATCATTTTTTTTTCCAATTCCAACGAAATGTCAACGCGAGTCAACAAACTCGGAAATTTATTCGGAGAAGAAGAAAAGAAACAAAAGAAAACGAAAAAGAGGGGCGAGGCGTTTCGCGAGCGAGAGAAGCTGTACCGGTACGGGCGGCGTTGTACCGTTAACACGCATCGGTTTCACATTCGTCGACCGACGCCGGTCGTAATAAAAAGCAAAAGTAGAGGCGAGCAAGGGACAACGGCGTGGCGGCTCGGGGGGGTGGATACGGCGGCTGATCGGCGGCGTCGACGCGACAAAAGCAGCCGACGATACCGGTTCCTTTCCACCTCCCGCCGGGCCCCCGATGTACCTCGTCGTCGCACGCGAGCGCGCGCGCGCGCGTCACACGGTCTCGGCGGTACGCGCGCAGTTGGCGCAAAAGCGCGTGTTCGCCAACATGGCCGCCGCGCTGAGGCACGCGAATCTCATGAAGAGCGTGAACTCGACGATTCTCATACTTGCAGTTTGCGGCAGGAGGCTGTTCCCCGAGTCAAGGATCGTCGGCGGCGACAGCAGCACCTTCGGCAAGTGGCCCTGGCAGGTAATGCGCTCTTTGCTCGCCGCTGCTCGCGCAAAGCTACGCCCCGGCGTGGCTTTGCGATCGGCTGCTCTGCTCCTTGCTTTCCTTCTCCTTTGTTTTCGCTTTCGAAAGCGCAAGCTTGCGAACGGGATTGCGCTTTGCCCGTTGGCGCGCGCTTCCGCTGGAATCTAGCGCGGCGATTGGGTTGCCGAACGGGCGTTTACGCGTGTAGTGGCATTGAGACGCGCGCGCGTAACGTTATTGTTGTTTCAAGCGCTGATCGTGTGATTGAGAAAAAACTTGATTGCACTGGCGCTCTTTGCAACTCCGCGATAAAAAGTCTACTTCCGCGCCTTGAACGTAAAGCGCCCGGAATCGGTAAGATTCGAAGGATTTCTTTGGCGCCCTTCCCGTTCGTCGATTCTGTTTATTGCCGCCATAATCGCGAGCGCGAAAAGTTGGCTGCCAATGCACGAAACATCGATGCATCCGTTCGATCAAGCCGCGAACGCTACGCTTTTCACTCTGACAGCCTCGTCAATTTGAAAAAGCATCGCGTTTCGGCCGGTCGACGATGCACAACTCGCGGCTATGGCAACCACATCGCCGCTGCGCTCACAATTCACACCTCGTCTTCCTCAACAGATCTCGCTGCGTCAATGGCGGACCTCGACGTACCTGCACAAGTGCGGCGCGGCTCTGCTCAACGAGAACTGGGCCATCACCGCCGCTCACTGCGTCCAAAGGTGCGTTCACCCGTGCCTGACTCATCATCGCCATCGCCATCCACGAAAACACAAGCCTCGCTCACTCACGCGCGTCGCGTTTTGCAGCGTGCTGCCGAGCGACCTGCTGCTGAGAATCGGCGAGCACGACCTGGGCAACGAGGAGGAGCCGTACGGCTTCCAGGAGCGCCGAGTGCAGATTGTCGCGTCGCACCCCAACTTCGACCCGCGCACGTTCGAGTTCGACCTGGCGCTCATGAGATTCTACGAGCCCGTGCTGCCCTTCCAGCCGAACGTGCTGCCCATCTGCGTGCCCGACGACGACGAGGACTACGTCGGCCAGACTGCCTTCGTCACCGGCTGGGGAAGGCTCTACGAAGGTGAGTCTGCCGCTTGTCCGGCTCTTCGCGCGCGCACGTTGTCCGTAACCGAGCGGCTTGCTCGCAGATGGACCGCTGCCGTCGGTACTACAGGAGGTGGCAGTACCGGTGATAAATAACTCGTTGTGCGAGGGCATGTACAGGAACGCCGGCTACATCGAGCACATACCCCACATTTTCATCTGTGCCGGCTGGCGGAAAGGCGGCTTCGACTCCTGCGAGGTAACGACCCCCTATTTACCCTCTACCCTCTCAGTTTCCTCCGTCAATTTTGCTTCGAACCCTTTATTTTTCTTTTGTTTTTCTTTTGTTATTCTTTTGTTTTTCTTTTGTTTTGCGGAGATCGAGCTTTCCTCGATGACTTTCAAGTTTGCCTCGGCAATCAGTGACACTCTAATTAATGGGGATAATTTGGACTCGAGAATCGGTCGACTTCGGTCGTTGTCTAAGTTCGTGCTACATCGCAGAAAAAGCAGTTCGATAAAGCTCTCACTCGCGATCCCCATTCACGAGCGTACGCGTTACTTCGACAAAGTTTTTGCAATGATCTTCATTCGAGGCGGCGATGAACAACTGGGAATGCGATGAGCTCTCGTTAATTTGTTTTTTTCTTTTCGAGTCACGATTTCACGCTCTTTCCGTTAGAGTTCGACCGGAGCCCGGTGAAAACTCGCCGCACCGCTGAGCTTGGCCGTTGAGAAATGGAAGTCAATTGCAAAGGGGGGACGAACTTCGTGCGCGCTGACAACCGAGTGGTGCGGGAGGATCGATTGTGTCTCTTTCATTCCGAGGGAGAGGCCACCTTGAGAGCTAGGGCCGCTGCGTTTTGCGCGACAATAAAAAATTCAACCGACGGATGTTGAAAATTTGCCTTCTCGTTTTGCCGTTCCTCAGGGCGACAGCGGAGGACCACTGGTAATCCAGCGAAAGCGCGACAAGCGCTGGGTTCTAGCCGGAGTGATCAGCTGGGGTATTGGTTGTGCCGAGCCGAACCAGCCCGGAGTCTACACGAGGATCTCCGAGTTCCGCGAGTGGATCAACCAGATCCTCCAGTTCTAAAGATGTATCATAATTGTTGTGTGGAGAACATTGTGCGCGAGGTGCAACAGTGATCCGCCCTATGTGTAGGGCAATTTGTAAATACGACAATTTTTTTTTTTTTTTTTTTTTTTTTACGTAGGTCTGTTATCGATTGTGCACGTATGCCAAACTCTTATTTAATTATTTCTTCGTCACGAGTGTTTCTGCTCTTACTCTGTACCCGTCGAGACTCTTTGCCCTATCTCTATTTGTATTTTTTATTTATTCATTAACGTATTATTAATTGTAATCTCGCACTCGGCGAAATAAAAAAGAAACGTCGAGTCTGTACAAAAAAAAATGACATTAGCTTTATCATAACAATAAAAGAAATACAAAAATGTTTGCCAAGAATACAGTGTTCTTTTTTGTGTGCTTTTCTTACTCCGAGCCGCTTTTTCCATTATATTGCGTCATTGCGCGAAGCGTCAGAAGTGTTCCTTATCGATCGTACAACACGTCACTACATCCGCAGCGGCGAGGCCTTTACATTTGCGCGTAGGCGAGGCTCGCCGCGGTCCCGCGTCGTTGACTGTTGAAGTGGCGCGCGCCTCTCTCTCTCTCTCTCTCTCTCTCTCTCTAGCTTCGTGTTTCTCTGACATTCGTTTTACGATTATGTGTGCAAATGATTATTTAATAGAACGTTGACTTCTTTAATACAGCGCACTCGTGCGGATTACATTGTTTCCATGAAGCTTCTGACGTGTAATTTTCCTCTTCGACGGTTCGATTTCTTTTCCATTATTACAACGATTTTTCCTCGTATCAAAGACTTTTGATGCGAGGTGGATTGCCGTAATAACAAGTTGCCACGGAGAGATAATTAACTCATTGAAATATATAATCTGTGGTTTTATTCAACGAAGAGAAACAGGTTAATTTGTTCATAAAGCTTCATTTTTAGCGCAGTGGGAGGGAGAGAGGGTAATTACAGTGTCACACACGCGTCGACAGAGAAAATTACCGTAGCGTGTAACGAATGTCGGCGCTACTTGGAAGAAAAACGAGATGTCACGGGCATGTCGAGCTTGTTAAGAACTGGACATTCTTATCCTCGCACATCGAGTACAATTATTCTCTTCACCCTCGAACTCTGCTTTCGCGCTCCGCAGGCGTTGCATTATCATTTTAGTCACGTACTCCTCGTGGAGATTTCGGCTCGCTTCAATTTGTTCGAACGCAGGCCGACCTTGCCGAACATCTCACCTTCTCTCACTCGGCACCAGGGAAAAAGAGAAAGAAACGATTTTCCCTTGGAAGCCCACCACCATGCGTATCAGGAGCAGCAGCTCTCTGGAAGGTAAAATAGAAAGCTCTCTCAGGGCTTTTTCGGAAGATCGTATGGGACACATGGAAAGCGATCTACAAGCGCGCGCGCGAGAGAGAGAGAGAGAGAGAGAGAGACAAAAGAGGAGTCGCCGACGCTGGAAGCGAGTCAGAACTGCAGAGCAAACTTTGGGCAGCAGCTCGGGAATACTAAATAATTCCTACTCTCGCGTGAGCAGTTCCAATCAAAGCTCCGTACGGTGAATTATTTATCGAGAAAAGGGCACGTGGACGATGAAAAAAGGGAAAGCCTTACGAGGATCAACCGACGGTTGCTCTGTTCGAAGATAGTTAACGCGGTAATCTCGTAGCTCGCCCACGTCGACAACTCGCCTTAAATACCTCTTAGCGACGTAAAGCGTTTTACGAAAAAACAAGAAAGAAAAAAACTACGTCGACAAAGGAGTCGGCTACCAAACAAAAAAAGAACAAGAAAGGGAAAAATGAAACTATCAACTTTCCGGTGGGCGCGCTTCTTCCCACACTGTCGCGAGCGACAAATTATTAGCAGGCAGCTCGCGCTCGCGGTGTACATTTTAATTCAGCGTGTTTTCGTGCCGCGCGCAAGGAAAAATCGAGTCCTCGATATTTTTACTTTTACACGCGAACACAGCCTAGATAACGGCCCCCTTTTCGAGCTCGTCGCTGCTTAATAGGGCGAGAATCGTCAATCGCTTTCTTCATCGTAGCAAAGCGAATTTCCTCGACCCCGAAGGAAGAAAAAGATAGGTATCGTCATCTCATTGGGCGCGCTTTACGAGTGCACTCGACTTTCCAGATCGGTATCGCGCGCCGACCGACGAAAGCTATTGACATTGATTTCGAAGCGCAATGAATTATTAGGCTCCGGTGCCCGTGGCTCATTGTTTTACACGCGGCGTCCTCTCGGATAATGCAACTTTCTTTTTAGCCATTTTCGATAGTCATCCACGCATCCAATCGATCGGCGATTATCTAGTTTTCACGACTCCCATTATACTTTCATAACAAGCCGCCGAGCGCCGCCGCGCGGGAAAGTTCTTTCTTTCTTCCGTCGGTCCCGTCGTCGTCAATTTTTATGCGAGCAAAAGTCGATAAAAGCCGTCGGAAGAAAGTACAAGTTGGTCGGGCGTGCCGCTGCATCGTGCCCCGGCAACTCCTCGCGGTCGCGTTCCCGCCGACGCCCAGTAGCCGAATTTTCGGCGCGACGCGCGCTTTCTCGCGCGTTTCGACTAGGCCGCGCGCATACAGGTATGCAAATCCATCGGAACGATCGGAATGCTGGACACGGGCAAGAGCCGCGTTGCGCGCGCGCGGAGCAACGGGTGTGACACCGTCGAACGCAGTCGCGGATGGATGTTACTGGACCGGGTTAAGTGGCCTTCGCGGCGGCGCCGTGCCGAGAGAAAGCTTTGCCACGGCATAGATTCACCCGCGCATCTTTTTCCCCGTCAATCTCGCCGCCCGAATTTCTCTCTCGAGACCCTCCTCCCCCCCATCGCCGCGCCGAGATTCGCTTGCCAACGACCCTCGTCCCGTGAGCCTCGCTCGCGGGCGCGCGACGCCTCGATGCGGCGCGGTTTCTCTCTCCATCGGCGGATCCAGCTGCACGCTATTGAGTCATACGTCGGATTGGCCGAGGCGCGCGCGCGCGCGCGCTCTAGTTCTCACTTGGTCTCGTCGTGTTTACTTTGGGACTCGCTCTCTCCGCCGGGGCCTGCGCGACTCGAAGCAATGACTCCGAGCTTTCGGAATGCCCGACGTCGACGCGAGCGAGCTCTCGAGCGGAATGCAGATAAATCGCGAGCGCCGATCGTGCGTGCGATCGACGACGATCGCCGGTCCGCGTCCGACCGAATTGACAATGCTCGTCGGAGCCGCGAACGTGTCGCGCGAGAGTCCGTTAGGCGGAGAACAGTTGTATTTTTTTCGGCGAACGTGGAGACGCGCGTCTCGTGCGAGCTTTGGCGAACAGTCCTCCGCGAAGGAGAGCGAGAGAGAGAGAGAGAGAGGCGACGGCCGCAGGACGGATCGCGACGAGGCGCGCGAGCGTCACAAGTACGCATCCGCATAGGAAGTTCCTGCGAGGCGGCGCGGCGCTCGAGCCCGGAGGCTCTCTCGCGAGCGAATGCTTGAGTAGGACAGTGTGTCGCTCGGTGCCTCTCTCTCTCTCTCTCTCTCGCTCTCTCGCTCTGGTCGTCGTTCTTGGTCGTCGCAGTAGCAGTGCGGCCGGCTCGTTTCGTTTGTGTGTGACCTGGCCCACTTAGCTTTCACCTCCTCTTTTTCTTTTTATCCTCTCTCTTTCTCGGATCGCCAAGCCTTTCGGGCCGAGCGCGGCGTACAGATGCCGCAGCGGCTGCGTCCCTTTTCCCCCGATCGCTTTCGCCTCCCCGCTTCCACTCTGCGCCGATGCGGGGCCCGTCCCAGGCTCTCTCGCGGCAGCGCGAGCCAGCCAGGCGGGCAGCCGCGCGCGCCAGAGCAGCCGTACGTCGTCGCGCGCGCGCGCTCGGAAGCAGACAGGTAGCGACCGCTCGACTAGCCGGATGGATTTCCAACCTGCTGTCATTCACGTGCGCGCCGAGGCTGCACACTGAAACTCTCCGGTGCAACCTGCGCGCTGCTCTCCGCCGCTCGGCTCTGTGCTATCCGATCGTGAGGAGACCACGCGAGACCAGCCGAGTTTGCGAAGTGTAACGCCGCGAGTGATGAGCTTTCGTTGATCGTGGAACTCCCGAAGAAAGCAGCGCAATTTTCTCGTCCTTGCCCGCTCCTCCGCCCAGCGCGCTGCCTAGTACGGTGAGTGTCTTGAAGAGAGAGAGAGAGAGAGAGATTGATGACCTACTAATCGCTCGGCCGGAAATCGAAGAGAAAGCAAATGCCCGGGAAGTGCGTATATGGCTTCCGTAACGGTCTTTAGGCCTTTTAGCTTGTACGGTTATACTTCCACCGGCAGCGCGCTGCCGCCGCGACATTCCGATGATTTGCCAATTTTTCTGACGCGGCGGGTGCATCGCGCGAGCACGTGTGCGCGCTCCTAACGGGACGCGCGTCGCGACCCTCGCGCGAGGCGCCGCCGCGCGCCCCCGGGAGTCGCCTTTCCGGAATCCCTCGGCCGATCGGGCAGCGCGAGCTCGCCGCGCGGCTCGCGACCGAAAATTCGCCGACCGTTACTCCGCCCCGCCCCGCCGTACGTCCGCGCGTTCATTAGCTCGCTCGCGCGGTCAGTCGCGGCGGAGCGCACCTGGCGGCGCGCGGCAATCACTCCAACTGGTGCGCGTGTCTGTTGCAGATGCTTCGCGGCACGGCAATGATCGGCGTGCTGCTCGCGTGCTCGGCCTACGTCGCCGTCCACGGCCTCAGCGTCTCGCACGGCCAGCAAGGCTCGCACTCGCGCGCGATCGCCCCCTCGCCATCCGCGGGTGGGCGCAAGCTCTTCGGCGGCTACTGGATCGCGCCGAAGGCGTGCCGGCCGACGAACCCGGGCCGCCTCAAGTCCGACTCGCCGGCGGTCTGCATGTTCAACTACGAGTGCAGCCTTCGTCGCGGCCAAGTGGTCGGCACCTGCATGGACGGCTTCCTCTTCGGCGCCTGCTGCCAGCTGCCCTCGGGCGCCTCGCTGGGCGCCTCGCTGGGCACCCTGGACAAGGCGAGCCTGGCGGACGTCGGCGCGCACGAGATCGATCACGTGCCGGACATCCCGATCCTGCTGAACCCCGACGGCACGCCGGTCGACGCCCCGCTGGAACTGAGCACCAAGAGCGGCTTCGCCACCAAAGACGCGATCGAGAACGCGGAGAAAACGCAGCTCGCGCATGCCAATCTGGAGGAGGGCTTCTCGGCCCTGCTCGGCAGCGAGCAGCTGCTGGACGAGCTGAAGCTGCCCTCGTTGCTGGCGCCGGACTCGAACAACAGCGTGCACGAGCAGACGCGCCCGGTGACCACGCTGCTGAGCCCGGACCAGATCCTGCAGGTGGCCGACCCGGTGGACCAACTGCCCGCGCTCTTCTCGCACGGCCTGGAGGCCAACGACACGGGCGCCGAGACCATTCTGCTCGACCGCAACGGCACCAGGCTGAACGAGACCAACAACCCGGACGAGGTTTTCAGGCCTTGGACGACGGCACTGCCGGCCGGAACCAGCACCAAGACCACGGACAAGACGAGAACCAGACTCAGCACCGAGAAGCTCAGCACGCGGACTACCGACACCACTCGGTCGCCGCCCAGCAAGAAGACCAGCTCGCCGCTGCCGGCGGCCACCAAGAAGAAGCCCACCGCGCCGGCCGGCACGAAGCCCGGCGCGACGAGGTACGAGTACGCGACCACGCCGATGACACCGCTGACCACTCGCAACGCCGATGACCTGGTGCGCATATCCACCATCCAGTACTCCGGCCAGTCCGGCAACAAGAAGCACGACGAGGTCGACAACGAAGAGATCGCCATCAACCACATCATTTCCCTTCTCAACGACACTTCCGGCAGCGACCCGACGCCCAAGGTCACCACCGCTAAAGGTACGTGTGTGTATGTGTGTGTGTGTGTGTGTGTGTGTGTGCGCGCGTGCGCACGCGGAGAGAGCGAGGTGAACGACCCACTTTCGGCTGAACAGTTAGCGCGCGCTACGAGGTGCTAGGCGCGATGATCAAGGCCGGCCGATAAATGCATGCCGCTCATGGATGACTTCTTCCTTCTTTTTTTCTCTCTCTCTCTCTTTTCTTTCTATTTCTTTCCTCGACCAGGGGCGTGGCGCGCGAGAGAAAATTCGCGCGTCGAGCGGGGAAAGTTTCCCGTGGCTTTTCTTTTTCTTGCTTCGCGCGCGCGTGCCGATCCGATGGATTCCACTTTGGCTGCGGAAAATGCCAGTGGCGAAAGATTCGAGTGAGCGAGCGACGCCGACGAGGTTTCGACTCGTCAGGAGCAAGGTTCGCCGATGCGACGCGCGCCCGCAACTGTTACGCCCGAAACTGCTCTTTAACGATTGCAGCTAGCGATCCTTGAGTTTACCTTTTGTGGGAGAGGCGTTCGCCAAAGTTCCGTCCCGAACGGAAAATAAAACGATCGCGCTGGCGTTTTCAGCGACCAGCCGACCACCGACCACGTACAAATGGTCCAGCTCGGAGGCGTCGGCGAGGCCGACCCTCGTAAGACTGACGACACGTCCAACGTCAACGTCCATCTACTCGTCACCGAATTACTATCACTATAACTCACCACCTGTGACCGAACCATCGCGTTTCACTTCGTTCTACACCTCGCCGGGAGCTTCATCGTCGAGGCCAGCCTCGACCAATTCGTACAATAGTCGACCAACGACCAACCCACCGGCACCCACGGTCATCGTATTAGGACCACTGGACACGACAGAACCCGCTCAAAGTACCCCACCGGTGGGTAACAAAGTGAGCAACAACAACAACATCAACTATAAACCCACGAAGCCATCACCCACCCACACCTCACTGACACACAACGTAAGCACCGTCGTATCGAATAACAACAAACAGGTGGTGCAGGTGAGTTTTATCAGCGTCAATCTCAAGGACGGCACCACGAGTAAGCCAAGCGCCGACGGTGTGAAAGTGGTCACCAAACGACCCTCGACTGTGTACACCACTCTAACGTCGTGGTCAGAAAAGCCGAGCTTTTACCTGAGGCCCGTTACGACTTCGACCGGCGGCGCATCCACCAAGCCCGACTGTGAAGATTCAGCCACCGCCGCGTCGGACGACGTGAATAATTTCCCACCCGTGAGACACCCGGAACTCAACTCCACTGTGGCCCAGGAGAAGCCGGAAGTCATCAGTGCCGACGAGATATCGACTCCGGATTTCGTCGAGGATGCCGAGCTGAACAACAAGGTGGACGTCTTCGTCAACAAGATTGTCGATTCGCTGCAAGGAAACTTCCAGAATCTCAAGGACGTGCTGTACAACCCCAAGAACGTCACGACGGTGACGAGGAGGCCGCATACCACAACCAGAAGACCGACGACGAGGAGGCCCACCACGACGCCGAGCCTCGTCACGAGGAAACCGACGACGCTACCGACGAAGAAGGCAACAACGAAGAGGACGAAGCCAACGAGGAAAGCCACCACCGTCGCGCCGACCACCGAGCAGTTTTCCGCTGTGGAGACCGAGCCAACTACTCAGGCGCGACCCACCGAAGTCACAACTAAAATTCCCGAGATCACGCCCAACGCCAAGTTCAGGGACAGTAAGTACCAAAACTACGTTTTTTCCTTTTCGACTCGACCATCGGCCATCTAAATATAGAGAGACACAGTCTCGCGATATACCGTGTTAATCGGTTTTAACGGTAACGGCGCGACTTTTATTTGTCGAATATTACGTCGCTTCCGCTATGGCACATATTGACACGCGCGCTTCTCAACAGTCTGCGGTATCCGGCCGCTGATGAAAACCGGCCGCATAGTCGGCGGCAGGGGTGCGACCTTCGGCGAGTGGCCGTGGCAGGTGCTGGTGCGCGAGGCCACGTGGCTGGGACTGTTCACCAAGAACAAGTGCGGCGGCGTGCTAATCACCGACAAGTACGTCATCACCGCCGCCCACTGCCAGCCTGGGTGAGTTTCACTGGCGTTGCGTCAGACTGGCGCGGAGAGTCGTCGAGCGACGTCGGATTGATCAATGGGACTGCGGCAGTCAGTCAGCCAGCCAGCGCAGCGATGCCGCTACACGCGCGCCCGTGGAAGGCTTTTACTGACCCGCTTACATACTTTTATATTCGAGCATCGAATTGCTCCGCTGGCTGAGCATTTAAGCCGCTAACCGAACGCTTCCTCCTCCTCGGAAGCGAAAAGAAAAGCAAAGAAGGAAAAAGAGTCACGGCGTTTCGTTTGTCTGCTCTTTCTTTTTCATTGGCGCGACGCAATCTGGCCGAAACGCCACGCAGCTTCCTCGCCTCGCTGGTGGCGGTCTTCGGCGAGTTCGACATATCCGGCGAGCTGGAGTCGAGGCGCAGCGTGTCCCGGAACGTGCGCCGCGTGATCGCGCACAGCGGCTACGACCCTGCCACCTTCGAGAACGACCTGGCCCTGCTGGAGCTGGAGTCGCCCATACAGTTCGATCAGCACATCGTGCCGATCTGCATGCCCGACGACAACGCGGACTACACCAACCGGATGGCCACGGTGACCGGCTGGGGAAGGCTCAAATACAGTACGTCGCGTCGTTGCACATGCTTAATCTCACTTCTGGAGCGGCGCGCTCGCGCTGTGCCAATAGCAGCGATGATGATGATGATGATGATGATGATGATTATTATTCCTTTTAACGGTCAGCTGTGCCTAGCGCCACGGAACAATCGCACGCGCGTGGACGTCCAATGAGCGTGATCGTTTGGCAGCTTACGTGGACGATGCCGCTGCTGTTTATAAAGGGACGCTCGGCAGCTTTCCTTCTTACGCGATCGATTATCGGACGCTCTAAAACGGGCGTACATTTGTGCTTCTTTTACAAGAGCTTTCTCTCGCGAGCCTCGTTACACGCGCGATGCCAGGGGAAAAACAGAAAGTCATGTGTTTTCATGAAATTTTCGCTCTCTCGATCTTTACGGTAAAAAAAGAGATGCCACAAGCTCGCGATTAAAATCAGCCTCATCATCGTTCTCGAGAGGGGATAAAAAAAAAAAGAAACTACGGTGCGCGCAGCTTCCACTCGAGCTGGCTTGCGCCTTACTGACCCTGTTCGGAGTCCGCGGAGAAACAAGCGGCTTAATTTTTTGCGTTTGCTTTTTGTTCCTTGGACGGCCGCGCAGACGGTGGCGTGCCCTCGGTGCTGCAAGAAGTGAAGGTGCCGATAATGGAGAACTCCGTCTGCCAGGAGATGTTCCTCACGGAGAACCACCAGAAGATTATCCTCGAGAGCTTCATGTGCGCGGGCTACGCCAACGGCCAGAAGGACTCGTGCGAGGTGAGATATGCGTAACTGCTCTTCGCGCTCTCTGTTTTCCCTTTCGCTCGTAGCCTCTAATTAAGCGCCGCTGCAGCTTCTCGCACACGAGCGTGTGCCCGCGCGCGCGCTCGCGAGAGAGGAACGGTATTCGGAATCGCGATTATAACGGGCACCACGTGCTACATGTGCCAGGCCTCATTCGGGTTAACTGACTTTGCGCCGGCGCGCGCAAGCTTCGATCGTCGGCCGTCCGTTCGTCAACTCTGCTTCCTCGCGTTTTTTCGGATCTCGCCAAATTGCCAAAGCGTCGGGGATACGCTCGGTCCAGCCGGCAAACTGTAAAACTACTCCGCGACACGCGACCTACATGCCTTCGCAACAGTTCCACTACCCGTGGCTCGAAATTATGCGTTTCCCGTTACGCAATAAATATCTAAGCTACGCGTCGCTGTCGACAGGCTCGTTCGGAAAATACTATTTTTTTTTTTTTTTTCTTTTTTTTTTTCTCGACCGCTTAGCCTGCAATTATCCGAAAACACGCGAGCAAGCTCGAGAGATACAGCGCTGCCGAAGCTAACAGTATCCGAGCGTAGTCGCCGAACTTGGGGTATTTAGCTCGGCCGATTTCGCCGATGCGAGAAACAAGAGGAAGACGAGACGCGTGGCTAATCACTTACCGAATCCCCGCGAGTTAGCGCGAAACCGGTTCGCGCGAGCCACGACTCCGGCCGCTTCGATGTTTTCGCACGCCGATCCTGAAAGTTGGCTCGTCCTCGCTCGATCGTACCGCGCGGTTCCGCGAGCTCTCGCTTTTGCGATTCCGACGGGAGGATACGAGTAAGGAGATGGCGCGAATGTGCCCGCTTGTCTTTGCGTTTCAGGGCGACAGCGGCGGCCCGTTGACTCTGCAACGACCGGACGGCAGATGGATACTGGTGGGCACGGTATCGCACGGCATCAAGTGCGCCGCTCCTTACCTGCCCGGTGTCTACATGCGCACCACCTATTTCAAACCATGGCTGCACAGCATCACCGGCGTCTGATTCAACTCAAAATCTCCTCTTTCCCTTCTAATCTTCAAATTTTGAGTCCTTCATTCGTGCCACTTGTATAATATTGTACAAAGACAAACAGAGAGACTATTATTTAACTTTATTTATTTTTTATTTATTATTATTATTATTGTACTACTCGCGTGTGACGATGATGAATCTTCGTTATTTTTGTTTTATTTTTTTTCTTGTTTTGGTGCGTGCTTTGCGATTGGTGCGATTAATTTCTGAACGCGTGCGTGCGTGTGTGTGTGTGTGTATATACAGCGAGAAGAGAACGAAAAACAAACGAACTAACTCGTCACCATGCTGAAAAGAGAAAAAATTAGAGAAGATGAAGGCGCACGAGACTTTGTATAATTAATTGTAAAGCTTACGAAACAATGATTACTTTTTTGTTTGCTACGAAATATAAGACGCGGAAGTAGAAAGCACACGTTTGGCCTTTATTCTTGTTGCTGCCCGTCATTCCCGAGTCCTCGTTGGCCTTTGGCGAAGCGCGCCCCGGCGATCGTCATGCGCGTGGAAATTGCGGAGCCGCGGCGCTCGCCTTTTCATTTAGCACGCAAACACCCGCGGCGCCTTGCCGTACGAGCGAGATCGAAGCAATTCCCATCGCGCGCGCGGCAGTTGCGCGCTGCCCGAGAAAGCGAGCGAGAATCTCGCGCAGGTGGGCGGCTGACAATGGGATCCGGGAGCTAGACAAAATCAATCCGGCTGGTAATTTCCGCGAGCAGCGAGCAGCTTCCCGCTCTGAGTCGAAAGGAGCGAGCGAGCGAGCGAGAGAGAGAGAGAGAGAGAGGAGTCGGCTCATTCACGACACGTATCGCGTGCGCGAGGGAAGCGAAGAAGCGGAAGGGGGCGGGGGATGAATGATGGCGCGTGTTTCGGTGCGCGGCGAATCAAGGTGTACACCTACGTCAAGGGCAGGTGTGAGAGCGCAGGCGCAGAGCGCCAGAAAGTCGAGCTGCGCCAGCGGGACAGAGCTTAGGTATAGATTATCGCGCTCGGGAAGGACTGGGTCGCAGTCAGCTTCTCGCCAGTTCACAAGCTCCTCGCTTGCTCGCTTGCGCTCTCTATTTCTCTCTCTCTCTCTCTCTCTCTCTTTCTCTGTCTCTCCGACTGTGGACGCGCGAGAACTTGTTGCAGTTCGCTTGCCGTCGCAGCGCACACGTAGCACAGCCGAGGCAGCGCGAGATGATGGGGCAGTCCTGCACGATGATCGTCCTGCTCGTCGGACTGGCACAGCTCAATGGCGGTGCGCAGGCCTGGGGCGGACTCTTCAATCGCTTCAGCCCGGAGATGCTGTCGAATATGGGCTACGGCAGCCACGGCGGCTACCCCGGCAGGTCGTCCGCTCTCGTGCAGGTATCGCAAGCCGCCGACAATTTGTATCTAGGCCGTCGCACCGCGCGGGGATCAATGCGGCGAATCCGCGTTCGGCGCGATCGATCGAAAGGACATAATCGTGCGTTTTCCCGCGGGCCACGGCGTCCCGTATCGTTCGTGCGGCCGCCCTCGTATCGTTGGCTGTCGCGTTTAGGAAAATCGATGCCTCTCTCTCCTGCGCTCCGCGACAGCGCGGAATTCCCCGACGTCGCTCGTACGTCGCGTCCCGATTCATTGAGCGGCCGCACCTGAAGCATACGTCGCGCGGACACTGGCCCGCTACGTCGAAAACCTCGGGTGCGCAGTTGGCGCAGTTGCTGTCTCTGCCCTGCCCGACGCTCAAAATTCAGGTTCGCCGCACGTTCGCGAGCCCCGTGAGATGACAATTTCATTATGCGAATTCGCGTTAAGTCGCCACGCGAGCAGCGCAGCTTCGTCGGGATTCAACGCTGGAGGAATTGCTGTAATAAAATGCTTTATGGTTGCAGCAAAGTTTACCGCGGAACATCGTAACTGTGGGATATACTTGCGTCACTATAAAGTTCCATAAACTTTTATTAATTTCTACCCTGCCCGTCATAATTTTTATCAGACTATTTTGAAAAGTTCATCATGACGAAAATAAAAAAGCATTGCGTTAGAGTAATTATGAAAATACGTACTGATACGTAAAAATAGCCAGCAAGGACTATTGCGCTTTGAAGAATTTTTACGATGAACGTAGGAAAAAATCATTGGGGTCGTACTGAAATGCCTAGGGCGTGCGCAGCAGCGACTGCAAATCGCTGATTTAATCGTTTCCAAGAGCGACGCGCAGATGGCGGTGCAACTCTCGCAAGCGGCGGAACAAATATCCGATTATCGCATAAGAAAATGCCAATCTGAATCGTGCGTGCGGTCGAGCGGCTAACAGGTGAACCACGCGCGATGGACTCAACTTGGCCAGCTAACAAATAGATACGTTGCGCAAGATATAACGATAATGTATGGGAAATTTCGCAATATCAATTCCGTAAGTGAACGGACGTGTACGTCGCACGGGTCTTTCAAACGATAAAAGGCGCTCGCGCGCTAATTACATTTCGTGATATGATAACAGCATTGGGTTCGCGAACGAGAAATAAAAACGGGGAGATCGCCCGGATAGCAAAAGTAACGAAGGCAATCTAGAATAATTCTCTAATTGCCCTACACGGAAAACACTGCTCCCAATCCAATTAGCCTTATTTATGCCTGTCTCTTTTTGATAGCACACGAATTTCCCCTTTCACTCGGCCGGGGTACACGTGGGCTGTAATTGAGCAAGTCTCGCCGAGGCTTCGAGATGATCCATTAGCCGCGCATAAATACGTTGTAATGTACACATAGTATCACTCGATAATGCCCTTGTCGCTCGTCTCAATTGCCTCGCTAACCGCGTTACACGCTATGAGGTCGCGTTTTCATTTTTCCTTTTTTCGTCGATACGACACGGGGGCCTCGTTCCCTTTCTCGACCCGACGCGGGGGAGGACAGCAAAAAAAAGATGAATTTTTAATGGGGAAACCTTGCGCGCGGCACGCAAAACCTTTTGGAATATTTATGCCGAGCTTTCGCGTTCGAGAAAGAAAGATGCGTAAAGCTAAATGAATAATGCACAAGCGCGTTATTCGTTCGCCCTTTTTTCCCTCTAGATTTGTCCCGCGTGACAGGCAGATATATATATATAGAGAGAGAGAGAGAGAGAGAGAGAGAGAAGCTGGAGAAAAAAACAAGACGAATTCGCGCGGGCTGTCGGTTCGTTCGCGAGGGAGCTCGCGCGATCGCGCGGAGAGCGAGCGACGATCGATATCGTCGTTGGGCTATCGTGGGTGCATACTGTTGCGCGCTCGACGGCATCCGCTTCTCCGCCTAGCTCGCGGCAGCGAAAGAGTCGTAAACCGCTCGACGCGCGGGCAGGCGAAGGACGATTTTCCGTTTGGCATCGGAGGATTGCGCCCTCGGCCGTCACTCACTGCGAAGGATGATATATCGCCCGCGGAGAAACGCGGATTCTCCTCGAATGAGCCAAGTTCGTAATAAGCACAAGAGTTGAAAGCTCACGAATGAGATTGCGAGGCTGGCTTGGGCACGTAGCGGCAAACTTGGCGAGTGCCTCGGGGCGAGTGCGCAGCGCCATTCTCATCCTAGCCGAGAGCCTTCGCTGCAGTTGCCAAAGCCTCCGGTGTACCTTTCGATCGCTCGCTGGGGCACATTACGCGACTTATTCAACGAAACCGAAAGAAGAGCGAGCACAGTTTACGAAACGCTTGAATCGCGCGAGGGTCGAGGTTCCACTTTGGTGCGCGGATGTTCACCTGCCGCCGATCGACGGGGCAAAGTAGTTCGCGATCGCTGCCGCGAAAGCGTTCCGCGAGGTACCTCGCTGACCACGTCTGTCACTCACGAGCAGCACGAGAACGGCTTCGCCGGCAACGGCCTGGAGGACGGCATCGAGGAGCCGTGCTACGAGCGCCACTGCAGCACCAACGAGGACTGCTGCTCGGGCTCCGTGTGCATGAGCTCCGAGGGAGGTAAGGCGCGCCGACCGGCTGCGGATCTCCGCGGACTGCTCGCGGGCGCTAACCCACGGGCGAGATTGCTTGCAGAGTGGTCGACGGGCAGATGCATGTTCGTGTACGGCCTGAAGCAGGGCGAGCTGTGCCGGAGGGACAACGACTGCGAGATGGGCCTGATCTGCGCCGAGGTGGCCGGCAGCGACAGCCTCTCGTGCCAGCCGCCCGTCACCTCCAACAAGCAGTACAGTAAGTTGGCGCGGCGGCTCGCTCACGCCCCTCGCCTCGCTCGACTACTCATCGTGATCCTTTCGCCCCTCGCGCGTAGGTGAGCTGTGCACCATGTCCGGCGAGTGCGACATCAGCAGGGGACTGTGCTGCCAGATACAGCGGCGGCACCGCCAGACTCCGCGGAAGGTCAGTGCGTTCTGCGCCGTTTCCCCGATGAGTAGGCGATTCGCATCACAAGCGAAGCCGGCACGAGAGCGCGATTTTCTTCATCGCGATAGCGGAGCAAATAATTGTCGCGCCGATTAAAACAACAATTGACGATGCACTCGCGATGCACTTTGCTCTCGGACGTAACGCGGTAAGTTTACCAGATTGCCGTTTGTGCAGTGGCTCGAGAGACGGCGCGTGCGAGACTAAACTTTGAACGTACAGTGGATTGAAAATAACATCAAGTTCGAATGGTCGCCGTGGGTGTGCGCGCTCCCGCCTGCTTCGATTTGCCAATTTTAACGTCTGATTAAAGAGAGCGACGTAATAGGACTCCTCCCTCCCGACGCCTCGCTACCATCCGCGGCCGGGTAAGCGCGTGGGGTCGCAACGAGAGAAAAGTTCTTAATTAGTTTTCCAACTGACAAACGCGAAAGTCTGCCATTGCAAAGCAAAGAAACGATCGTAACGTTGCAGATGTGCTCGTACTTCAAGGATCCGCTGGTATGCATCGGCCCCGTGGCGGCGGATCAAGTCAAGCAGATTGTCCAGTACACGGCAGGCGAGAAGCGCATCACCGGCAAGAACAACCGGCTCTACAAGCGAGGCTACCCTTAAAGCACACCGTTGCCGAACGAACCTCTATGAGCCTTTTAGTCCTCTTCCTCCCTCCCCCCCACCCCTCCTCATTCCACCCCGACGATTACTTTCGCGTCGAGCTGCAAATCAAACTTTAGCTCCAGATCGTCGCGAACGTCGACACACGACTCTACCACTCTTTCTCCTCGGTTTTCATTTTCGTTTCGTGCGAGTGCTTTTTGCCTTACACGCGTTCAAAGTATCTTTCATTATCTTTACCGATGCTTTTCATTAGCTTTAAACAAAGACAAAGGAAGCCCAAAAGTAACTCGATGCACATCGAAGCCAATGGAGGCTTCCGGAAAAAAGCAAAATACAAAAAAATCAGAGAAGACGGTTTCACTTGTACGACTGAACGTTACAAGACATATCAAGATTTGTGCATTAGTCTTTAAGATTGGAAATTAGACGTGTAAGCGAAATATATAAAAAGCGATATATAAGTAAATATATTTTATTGAAGACATATCAATGAAAGTAACGTGTAATCTATGAAAGTAATACAAATACATATCAATGAGGCGACTTTTGCCGATCGACGTAAGTTACTGATTATGAAACGAGATACATTATACGACAACAACAAACGGCCCTCGGAGTTGTAACTAACAAATAGTCAATGTGATATGTGGAACACTCTGCAGAATCTTAGGTGTACTTGACTTTTCTTTTCCGTTCTATCGTTATTGGATTTGATTCAACGGCAAGACATTAACGATGAAAATTATCCAGTAGAAAGTGATTTATGCCGTTGAAAAAACATTTCGAAAAGCACTTACAAGCTAATGACATTTCGGATGCTTTCTATTGCTCAAATGACTCTTGATTAAATGACGATTGACAAGCGAAACTCACTCGAGTGATGAGTGTAAAAGAGAAATCATTGCTCACTTTTACTTTCGATCGACGCTCGCAGGACGCAGACGACCAGTTGTTATTTTCACTCGCGAGACTTCTGACGCAAGCAGTTCGCGGGTCCTGCCGAATAAGCGCAGACCAACACGGCTAGACGGTTGACCTTTGGATTGAAAGCGATTTAACAGGCTGTACGGCTGATAGTCGGCGCGACTCGCGAGCTGCTTTTGTCCCGAAGTTTCACATGGAACGTTCTGCGAGTTGAGACACAGATATATCACTCAGATGCCTAAACAGCAGATGATATACAAAGAGAACAGTTCAACACTGTGTAAAGTAAACGCGATAGGGTATAAACGAAAACTATAGTAGAGTGGAACAAGCAAATCATAGGGAATGTTATACTGCGATGAATAATTTATTGCAAAATTCTATTTTTATCTTCAATTATTACGGAACATGTTATATGGATGTATACTAATCTTTAAAGGTACATTTCTGCCATGAGAGCAAAAATGCGTTTGAGCACGCATCTTCACGAGGAGCATAGTACGCTGTATCTTCTCGAAAGAGCTAGGTTGCATGTAACTAAATGGTTCTGTATCTTTCTAAAGCGAATAATTTCTGCAAACGCCTCTGCGAAATAGTCAAGAAAGGAATATAGCGTTGTGCTTTTTGATTTTCAATTTGCTCAAAGAGATGATTCAGTCGATCAGCTGGACGAAAGTCTGCGACGCACAAATAAACAATATGTTAACTGCTTCGAAAGCTATGTACGTATTACCGGCTTCTTTACGACTGAATGAATTTCACGAGACTTTTGCGAGTTACGTTTGTGCCACATTTGATTGTTAACATGGACTTCATGATTTGCAATATGATAATGTTGCTTCAAGCATTTCCGAATTAATTTTCATCGCCATTAACGCGCTAATTTCAACGCGGACTATAGGTACTTAATTAATTTTAAGAAATAATTTACTTCATCTGTTAGACCGTGGATGAACATTTAACACTATATAAACGTACAGTTAAGAATCAGTCTTCGAACGTCGTACCTGTGCAATACTTCGTCGTTTCAATTCCATTATTGTTTACTTTTAACTTGAGAATGATATTTGAAGGAAAGTATCGTTGATTTCGAATTATTCTCAAAGTACAAAAATTGCACAAAATTGTTATTGTCAATGATAGAATATGTATTCTTGTTTCGTTTATTCTATAAACCTTTTATCGAGCTGAAAGATTTAGTAGATTTTTTAAACATTTTTCTCGTAGCCGTGCTTTATTCGGTTGGAATTGTAAAATTGTAAGATAATATAAAAAGTAATAATGAAGACTTGATCGTTCTTTATCATACATATCATAGTACGTAAGAATTTCTATTATTATGAAAAGACATTCACACAAGTGAAAATGTATGCGTTTCAAGAATGGCTTCAAGGATTGTTGTAAGAGAATATATATAAAAATCAATTATTTAGCTTTTCACATATTTTTCGATTCCACACAGTCTTTGCGATAGATCTTCGATTGTAATTAGTTGATTAAATTATTCAGAGATACTTCGATTAATTCGTTAGTTGATTTTGAAAAATAATTAATAAATTTTCAGAAACTTGACCTCTTTTTCAGGAAATCTATGTCAATGATAATTGATTCCAACACTAACATGTATGTGTCCAATTATAACTGTATTGTTCACACTTCTACTGTATTTCAAAAAGAAAGTAAAAATCTAGATTTATGTCAAAATTTTAATCTTATGTGCGAATCAATGGTTTACATTTATTTTGACCCTTGAAACTCCCGATCCTCCCCCCCTCCCGAAAATAAATAATACAAAATAAATAATTGGACTTTTTTCCAATTGTTTATTTGTAGAACCTTTACCGTAAAGATGATAGAAGGTATTAATTAAAAAAATATTCTAAAACACTTTTAAACATGAAGCATTTTATTTTATCCTTTTTACCGTTTAAATTTCAAATCAAATTTATCTGCCCTTTTCAATATTTAAATTCATTACTATTGCTTGTCTATCTATGTGGATAAATATATAATTTTTTTAATGTTTACATTATCACTATTAACATATATTACATTCAAAACAAAAAAAAACAGCAACTGATATGTACAACTATATATATTTTTCTATGAAAGTAAAATTGAACAGTATAATCAAATGAGTATACTTTTCTATCAAATGTAGATATTCTCCATCCTTAGTTAATTGATGTACATTTACAAGATCAAAATAGAACTGTCACAATGAATTGATTCAAAGGTTAACTACATACTCTTTGCTACGATTTTGGCTCTTTAGATTTCCCAAAAGATGCTCTAGTGTCAGCCATTTTCTGCTTAGCGGACTCCATAATCTGTTAAACAATAATGCAATTAATACTGATTACAACGTGGTTATATATATATATATATATATATATATATATATATATATATATATATATGATAAGCTATTCTAATTAAATATCAAATTCAATAAATAATCTATTAAAGTTATCTTTAATGTCAACCTACAAGAGATCGCACGAACAGGCTGCAACCCGAATAAGCATGTAAAAAATTACATCCAAGTCATAAAGGATGTGCAATGTAAGAAATACATTGTATTTTATGTGTTAAAATTTATCTGTTTAATACTTTTACTCACTTTAGCAGTTTCTCGTCGAGTATCTTTGAATTTTAAGTAGCCCATTCTACTGAGGTATCTAATACACATGGTTGTACCTCCTAGGAATGAATGGTATACATGAAAATCAATTCTGAATTTATGATTTAAACAGCTGATTAATTGCACTTACCAACAGTAGCTGTATATCTGATTGGAGTAAATATTTTATACAGAGCATATGTCACTGCCCAATGTCCAGCATTGGAACCTCGTAACATATCTAAATATTTCTCACTGAAATGTAGAGATTCAAGTAATCCCATAACATCTACACCACTGAAATAAATGAATAAAATCACAATTTAATAGTAAAATATTAAGATTAAGATACAATTATTAAATTATATTGCATCATACTTTTTAGCAGCAGTATAGAAGATAGCTACCCAACCAGCTGATGTGACGAGGTGTACAGGAATTAAAATGTGCCAATAATCTTTTGCAAGCTGTTTCATTTTTTGAAAGATTGAAACCTTTTTTGGTTCATTGCAGTCCTTACTGGTTGCAGACTGAGCAGCCACATCAGATTTTGATGATGTGCTGTACTGGATAACTTTTGTACAGCAAGGTAAAGCACTTGATTCAAGCTCATATTTATGTTGTTTACTGAATAAACTGTAATTATTTAACTGATATGACGTGATTCGAAGGTTCCCTATACAGAAACAGATTAAATAGTAGAAAAACAATGTATTTTGTTTAAATGAATCACTGATAACTCATAACTAACCAACCTAGAAACTGAGTGTTTTGATAGCTAGAAATTCGTGGATGCCTTAATATTGTAGAAGGCAGTTTTGATATTCGAGGAACTAAATTACACGAAAATTTAGCACCTCGGCTAAGTATCATATCCATATTTCTTTTAATAAAATTAGCTGCTTCTAACCTATACACATACTTTTCTTTCGTACGAGTAAGATGAGTACCCAATCCAAATCAAAAGGATTAACCAGTAATTGATGTATGGTGTTTGTTGCGTTTGCTTGCACGTTGACAAACGTAAAAGATGCTTGATCTTGAAAGAACGTTAAAAACTTTCACTCCACAAGCATATCTTGGAAGTGTGAGAAGTGTGTTTGTATTCCCGTTCGATTTTACATATGAGAGGTAGAGTGGGATCGCGCGCGTGATAAGACAGTTTTCGTTACCAGAGGATGATAAGACAGCTACCGTATGGATATAATTAATAATGTGAAATGATTTTGGATACAATAATCAATTTGATTTATTAAAACTAGACTGTGTTTTTTGGTTGAATTTCAAAGTGGAATCGATATAAGACATGTTTTTAAAATAGTTTTTAACTTGAATATAATAAAATTTGTTATGTTAATTTTTATATGCAGTCATTATTATAAAAATCGTCTGCAAGCCAATTTTCAATTTATTCAAATTCTATTATGGTCTCATCAACATAGCTAGTAAATTTTTATGGGATTCAGTAAAATAATACTTTCGGCAAATTAAAAAAAAACTGCAAATATTAAATTGTTGGCATCTTAAAGAATAGAGAACTGCATAGAACCCAATATAATTCTCAATAGTGTTATAAAAATAATCGCGTCAATGTATAAAACGTCAAAATAAGCATTGGAAATAAGTAAATTTGATTAGAAAAACGGGATTGAAATGATAGGGATTGTCCAGTTTGAGAAACCTTGCATTTTTTCCTAAACTTTGTTTATTCATTTTGAAAAATGTTATTTTAGCTATACAATTTTCAATCCTATAACTTATTGTGGTCCGAATTTTTCGCACACGATGTCAGGCGTCAAAGTCATATATGTATATAACTTGTATTCCACATTTGGAGCAGTTGCAATAACTGAATAATTAAGTTTAGCACACTCGATTATTTTTTAAGGGATAGGGTTGATGCGTTTGTACATAAGTTCAGTAAAAAATGATGATACTGATATTCAACGGTGTCGTAAGCAACATATAACGCTGTTTCGTGTAATCGACTCGCTATGGATTTTTATGATTGATGTACCGAGAGAAAACAAGGCGAAAAAGTCAATGACATTGAAGCATCGAGGTTTATTGATACCATTTGTCGTCTACTTTTATCACATTCATCAGGTATTAAAAATCAACAGAACAAAACAAAAGCAAACAATCAACGAAGGGTGTATAACACAAGGGACTCGATTATAATGGTAAATAAATTAAGTTTAATTGCTAAGTAATAAAATGTTAATTACATATTCCATTAAACGATCAATTAAGTACAACACACGTCTCGTGCAAAAGTGTAAAGAATTCAAGTGCTACACTCAATTACCATTTTTCATCGTCGTCACGATTTAAAATCATGCCGCTTCTTTTTTTCATTTTTTTTTTCTTCATTTATAATTCTCGACTACAATAAGCTCTTCGTAAAACGTAGTAACATTGTAGTTTACAGTAGTTTACAATTGTCCGCGCCTCGAATTTTCCGTCGCTAGTACAATAATTGTATTTTTGCCTCTCGAACGCGCTCATGCCAGAATAAAGTTGCTCGATCTACGCAAGACCGTGCCGATTCGTCGTGTTCAAAAGGGAAAAAGAAAGAAACGCGCGCGCCCCTCCGCGGAAAGACCGATTCGCCGGTCGCGGGACCAAAAAATTTTTATCAACAACTCGATCCTAGCACTCGCAACAGATTCGCGTTCTGCTGCACGCGCTCTCTCCGAGAAAAATAAATCGGGAAACAATATGACTATATGTATGTCTCTCCGCTCGTCCTAAGTTACATTCTACTCTTTTTCTCTCCGGCGCACGGCTTACAACCACCACACTCTTCCACTCGCGAGCTCACTTATAATATAAATAATAAATAAATCATAAATATTCACGTATAAGCTATTTTTCTTATATCCTTTGGTATTTTTCGCTTGAACTTGTGTGTCTCCTTAGCTTATTAAGAATAGATAACCGATCACTCTTATACAAACAGTCACCGATTCTCTCGCGTTTATAGTTGTCCTAGCAGTTTTTGTTTTTTGTTTCTTGTCTTTGTGTGTGTGTGTGTGTGTGTGTGTGTGTGTGTGTGTGTGTGTGTGTGTGTGTATTCCTTATGATCCGAGTTAATAATACACCGCTAAATTCCTCGCAATTCACACCTCTTCCTAATCAGATCTCTCACTTGTGTCGAACTTGTCCGAATTGTACATATAGCTCATATTTCTTGCCTTTATATAAATATACATGTACATATACATATGTATATATACATATATATGGTTTCAATCATACTGTGACACTCGTATTATAATAAATATAGTTAATTGTTTACTTGGTTTTTTGTATATATTTTTTTCTTGTCCCTTATTATTTTACAGCGCCGCACTCGTCCAACTAATCAATATATACCTTATTGTCGTGTGAACTATTTTTCCCCGTTAATCTGTTGGTTGACGCAATGTGATAGTCAAAATAAGATGACGAACTGCATATCCGAGATGTACGATCGCACGTGTCTCCCCCAACCAGCCATGAGCACTCGAATATTCTAAGATCCTTCGCGAGTCGACGTGCACATGTACGGTCAAGCGAAACGTGCCCCGCTCGTTTTCCTTGCTCGTTTTCATCACATATATATTGCCGGTGATACATTGCGGTTTAAAATGGTTGCGCGCCCACCTCCCGCGCGCACGCGATGCGAATAATAGTATAAATAACGTTATTGTGCCGCTCTCTCTCTCTCTCTCCCTCTCTCTCTCGTCCATCTGATAAGATATGTCTCTGGGAAAAACAATGTACAACGTTGGCGAGGGCGTTACGTGTTGTTGCGGGGGTATGCTCGGGAGGATCCTTCAGATTACACATTAGAAGCATCGTCGACGCACAGGTAAAAAAATTATTATCGCTCGAGACGAAAGCTCGGCTCGTATATATTTTATCTTATACATGGTTAGTCGGCTCCCGATCAGGCGACGAGGCGTTAACGTAACGACACGCGCGCGCGCGCGCACCCGCGTGCTTCACGGCACATATGTATGGAATTCGACGCGCTGCAGTGTTGTGTTACGGCGATCGCGGAGAGAGACGTGCGCGCGCGACGAATGCGCTTCTATACTCTTTAGTGCTTCTTCTTTTTCTCGGGTTTTTTTTTTTTCTTTTTTTTTTCCAAATGTTCCTTCCTAGGCACTTCGATCCGTCAGGAAAGTAAACCGCGAGTACTACTAACGTGTGTACAATCCTAAAAATGATAGCAGCAACGATGAGAGCTTCTACAACCGCTTTCTTCTGTATAATATATCACAATTTTTAGTGTGTTGGTTTTTTTTTTGTTTTGTCTTTTTTTTTTATATTCTCGATCGCCAATGAATCAAAAAACCAAACGTTCTTTCGAGCTAATCGCGATGACGAAAAATAAAAAACAATTTGAAATTTGACAGGAACGAATAAAACTTATTCGGCCAATCGATGATGAGCAAGCGCTAGATAAAATTTTTTTTCATTCTGATTTACTCGAAAAGCCGAAAACATTGATAGCTCGCGCTTTATAAAAATCATCATGCACACGCGTCGGAATCAGCCGCGTTGTTTTTTTTTTAATTTTTTTTTTCTTTTAATCTCGCTTAACGTTTTTTTTTACAATTTAGCCTACACGTTGTTCAACGAAACAATCTCGAGGAATGATAATCGTAAGCGTAAATGATTAACAGTACTCAATAGAGTTGACTTGTTTCCCTGCGAGTTGACGTTTTTGCAGCAACGAGAGTCGCGTCGAATTAAAAACGATATTGACTGCATTTTCGTAGTCGAGTTTCTCAAGGTACTCTCATATTTTACAAATGTCAATTTCGTAAAACAAACAACCAAAAGCTTTACAGTTACGAGTTGGCTTAAAACACTAAAAATTTTAAAAAAGTTACTCACTACTCCCCAAAAACGTCAGCCCACGAAAAGGGATTGCCTAAGTAAATTGACTCACGGGGTTCACGGGGAAAGAAAAGCCTTACGAGGCAAATACACGTAAATAAATAAAGCGCGAGTAAATTGATGAACGAAAGGGAGAGAAAAATAATTGTACGAGTGGAATCTCGTCGAAAACCGATAAACAATTGTCTACAACCTAACGAGGCAATAATGATGCATCGCGAGGAATGCCTAAGAATTAAGTAACTCCGCCGTAGCGATCGTCCACCCCTGTATCGAAAAAAGAGAAGGGATAATAACGAAAACGAAAACTAAACGAAACGAAAAAAAAAAAAAAAATGAATCAGTCCTTTGGTCTTATTGATTCGTACCCCACTATGATAAATGTAGCACAGTTTAAGTTAGCTATAGAGGTGTCCACGCGCGCGCGCGCGTGTATCTGTGTATGTGTGTGGGTTATTTGTGTAAGTATGTTTGTGTCTCGCAGTACATTATACAATACTTATACACGACGCTTGTAATCTCGTCTACAATGCAACTATCTAATGTTTAAATTCCTTAACAAAAACACCTTGCTTTTTATTTGTTTTGCATCAATACAATTGCAGTAATAATAATAATCATCATTTCCGTCGCGCTTTCTAATTTTTTTTTTTATAATCGGTAATAAACTTGTTTCTCTCTCTCTCAATCTCTCTCTCTCTCTCTTGCTCTCCTTAACTATAATACTATTTACAGCGTATATAATACACAAGTCTCTTTTCCACACACAGCTGAGCCTCGTAAGCCCTTCCCCTATAAGAATTGCACACGTTGCACCGACGACTTGCCTAGTGTTTTTTGTACTATGCACGAACGGCTCTCCTTCGCTTTCACACAGGAAGGAGAGAAAAATAGACGTAGTTTTCTCTTATTTTTTTTTTCATTTGTTTCTTTGTAGTCGAGTTTCCCCTCGCTCGTTTCTCTCTCTCTCTCTCTCTCTCTCATTTACTTTTTGTTCGTCTGTTTGTTGTTGCACGTAGTGTACGATCAAGTGAGTGAGAGTGAAGAATGGTTAATTATCGAGTTTGTTATGTATATATTTATATATCTATGATAGATATCAGCCACGCAGGAGTACACTGGCGGATAGGACGAGAGCCGCTCTCGCCTTTCTCTCCGGGCTGTTTCGGTCTGACTAGATTGCAAAAGTGCGAGAGAAAGGCGAAGATCGCAGGCTGGCGATTTAGGAGAAGCTGAGCTCCTCCTCGGGCGACTCGTCCTGGTACTCCTCGTGGTCGGACGTGTGTCACAAGACGTCGCCGGCTTGCCGGGGACTGATGCCGATCGTCGGTGACAACTGTCCCTCGTCCACACTCGACGACTGCTGCTGCGATTTGGGGTCCTCGTCCTTCCATTTGTCCATTGATCGTCGGCGCGCGTTCATGAAGAAGTTACCAACGGTCGTCGGCTCGAGGCCCAGCTGCCGCGCGATTGTCACCTGCATCTCCTTCGACGGCCTCTTTGTCTCCTGCAAGCAGTTGGTATCTTACCGAGCTGGCCGACGGCTCGTCGCCGCTCGGGGGAGGGGGCACGCCGCGGAAATTATTCACGAGGCGGTCGATAACAGCTCGCGAGCTTCATTCAGCCGCCCCGCGCGCCCCGTCAGCGCACACGTACGTGGTGCCCGCGCGACGTTGCTAGATGACCGATTTCGTGGCCGCGTCGCGGGGCGCGAGCACGTTACGCCCGACAGGTCTTTTGTTTGTTTTTCTTTTTCCTTTCTTTTTTGTCGCTAACGTTTTCGCCGCGCTCGTCAACGATTCGCCCGAGCTCGACGCCAGGTGCTATCGCCGAGGTCGCGTCTCGCGTCGTCCGATTTACGCGAACGTCCCTTCGCGCCTTCGACGTTTCGTCTTCGATTTCGGACCTCGCGCGAGCTCGACATCGGTTCGCGAGTCGATTCCTCAAGGTCTTCGGTGACGAACTCGCGAATGTCGTCGACGGTGGACGAGCGAAGAGAAAAGCGAGGAGACGCGTGTATCGCTTCGACACTTCCAACGGAAAAAGAAATAGGAAAAAAAAAGGAGAACATCCAGCGCGTGGAACAATGAGGAGGCTCGGCGGAGAAGTTCGACGGCTGACTCGACGCTGCTGCACACTACTGCAAACTGGGCCACACCACGCGCGCGCGAAGGGGAGGCAGTCGCGCGCCGTTATCAGGCGAGCGAATCGAGAGTGCGAAAGCGGGAGAGGAAAAAAAAAGTTTGGCTCGCATGGATGACGAATGGACCGCGGCGCGCGTCGGCAACAGCAACAGGTGCGTGCAGTGCGTGCGCGTTTCTCTCTCTCTCTCTCTCTCTCTCTCTCTCTCTCTCTCTCTCTCTCTCTCTCTCTCTCTCTCTCTCTCTCACCTTAAAAATAGCCTGTAGAGTACGGCGCTGGAGGTCGGTGAAAACCAGCCGGGGCTTCTTGGGGGCGGGCTGCTGGTGTTCGGCCTGACTCGACATCTCGTCTTTCCTCTTGCATGCTGCAATCATACGCACGTCTAGTTCAGAGCCTTTGCCTTTGGGTTTGCTTTATTTTTTTTAACGCGACCTCCCGCGTGCACGTAAAAAAGAGGCTCGATTTGAGTCGATTTGCTTCTCAATCTCAAAATCTCGACATTATCGAAAGAAGATTCGATTAATGAGCGAGAGTAAAGAAAAACACTGAGAAACGACACGCGGAGAAAAGCAACACGGACGATCTCATGGTCGGCTCAACTGAGCGAGGAAAGATCGAAAAAACAAATGCAAAGAGGTGTGTACTTACTTCCGCGCTGTGGAATCTGTGCAGCTGAAAGCAGAAAAAGAAAAATTACGTATTAGTACGAGTGGCGCGTGATTCGGAAAACAAGGGGGGATCTTGGGGGTTAGAAAGAGTTTTGGCAAGAGACGAAGGAATGAATTATCAGCGATAATCGCGTCGGTTATATGCTTTCCAACTCTTTCGCTGGTTGCTTTTGTCACCGCGAGAATACAGATACACATTCATAGGCATATAGACATTCCATTGACTTTCCCAAAAAAACAAAAAAAAAAAAACAAACAAACAAACAAACTTGGAAGAAAAAAATTAGCTACGAGGGTAACCAATACAGTTATATATGTATATCAGTGCGTGCGTATCGTGTGGTGAGTATATTCTCCTGTCGTGTGGAAGATGCATACAGGCATCCACGGCACGCGTGGCATCGAATGAGCAATTTTTAATTTCGTCAACAATGAGCCTTCGTACCCGATGAAAAAAAAGGATACCGGATGCATCGGACTGTCCCAATTTAATAAACGCGCCGGCTCTTTTTTTTCACCCCCGCGATCGGATTCCGATGGCGGACTTTCGCGAACAAAAAAAAATAAAAAAGATAAATAAATAAAAAAAAAAAATGAAAAACGAAAATTCGCCCGTCGGGCTTATACGTTTCACCCCACACCCCCCGCGCCGATCTTCCGCACACTTCCGTCGTCCATCGAATATTCATTAATGCGCGGCCCGGAAACCGCTAATGAAGGGTCGCACCCGCGCGAATGCACGATCTGTCGATGAATCAAGCTCGCGACGTCTTCGCATTAAGGTAATAAAAGGGAAACGCGCGTCGTCCCGGCGATCTTCTTTTTCGTTCCCTTTCTGTTTCCGAAAGAGAGGGAGAGGGAGAGGGAGAGAGATACATTATGTAAAACCGATGACGTCGTTACGGGACGTGTAACTCGGAAACGATTGGCCCCGTCCGCGCCTGGCAGCGCAGAGCGATTAGACGTTACGCGCGACGACACCTCTCGACGCAAATGTACGCCCTGGTTCTGGACATTGCCCCCACTCTCGCTCTCTCCCTTTGCCCGCTCTCGCTGATGAGTATCGAATGATGTTGTTTTCTGAATAAGGTGAGAGCATGTATTTCGCTTGTATACATGTGGCAAGAATAGTTTTCGCCAGGGCCAGAGCGCAGCCCTGTACGTGTCTTGTTTCGTTCGGTTTCGGCCCGGAAAGCTCTTGTAAGGCATGGCTTTTATTGGAAACTGATCGGAAATTCATCTCTCAAATTTGTAGCCTGCGTCTTCTTTGATGGAGGCACCGAGCGCGGGTGTGTGGCAGCGATCGCATACGTTTGGAGCGGCGCCGACTATAAATTTGACAGCGGAAAAGAATTGCCTTACGCGAGCCTTGCATCAATCACGAGCAGAGTTTGATTATTCCAAAATGATATAGGGTGTTATCAAGTATATATGTTGATACGTTGTTACATTCATGCTTTGTTTCAAGGGGTTTATACTCATATACGCGCAACATCATAGGGTATAAAAATGGCAATAATATGTATAGATAAATATATATGTATATCATCGACTTAATGATCTAAGATATAATTACGACTAGTATATTAATATGTATATTATGATTAATATGTCAACTACTGATTATCGAGGATATAGATCAAGATGCTCTCGCTCTCTCGAGCATTACAGGCGTTCAATATTTAAATGGGTCTTACGTTTTAATACATAAGGGATTGTAGTTTACAGAGAGTGGCCATGCAACTACAGCCCGGTGGCGTTTTATTGAGAACACAGTTTAAAGACAACTTTCGATAAATGCTCCCCCGCCTCTCCCCTGCGTTTCATTTTCTTTTTTGCTTTGCGTTATTTATTTATTTATTTATTTTTTTTTCTCTCTTTTCGAGGTCCCAGCGCGGATTGTATTTCAAGTTGCGCGCTCCGCGCGGCGATTACCGCTGCTCGACTCGAAATACAATCGTCGGGGATCAGAGCGGGAAAAGGCCCTCGTCGTCTTTTCTCTCTCAGTAACAGTTGTTGCTTTTTTTCTTTTTCCTTTTTTTACTTGACTTTTTCATCGGTTTCTCTCGGTACTTGGCGCGTATACGTCGACTAATCTTGCCGTTGCAGTGACATTGAACATTTATTTTAGCAGAGCGTAGTGTTGGCAAAGAAAAATAAAGAGAGAAAGGAAAAGCTTTTTGCTCTTCATCTCTGCCGGCTTCTCGTGTCTCTATATATCTCGTTGCGTCAATATCAATAACGGCTGACTAGCCCTGGACGCTGAACCGTGACATAACTCGACGAGCCGTTTAAGCCCAACACCCAACAACAAACTCACACGCAAACTCACACGCAAACTCACACGCAAACTCACACACAAACTCAAACTCACATACATACACATACACACACACATTCTCTCTCTCTCTCCCTCTCTCTCTCTCTCACTCTCTTTCTCTCTCTCCTGCGCGTCATGGAAGACCGGTCACACTCTAAAAACGAAGCGACCCCCTTTCTTTCCTTTTTTTTTTATTATTTTTTAAAAGAGAGAGGGTTAGTTACGTACAGCCGTCAGCCCCCGATGCAAAAAAAGGAAGCTTAATCGAAAAATTTGAAAAAGGAATGCCTCTCGTTTGCTCTCTACGATTGAATTCAAAGCGCGTCATCAGCGGATACATTTTCGCGACTCGTGTATGCACAGCGTCACCGCGGAGTTTCCGTTATAACTCGGATTTTCGGAAAAGAAGAAAAAATCCATGATACGTATGTCGCAACGACGAGCTCTTTAATCGAGTTGCGAACCAAACGAAACGAATCGACGGTTCCAAGCACATATCCGCGTCCAAAAATAGCCGATAGACTCGACTTGTCAAAGTCCCCTCTCTCGCGGAATTGAAACGTCTTTACGAGAGAATTAAACATGGCGCCGACTCGAAGGACCGACTTGATCGAAGCCACGGTCGTCTTCGTATTTAGAGTGTGATTTGATTATTATAGCATCGCGATGTAAACGGTTCAGAGTCGTATAATAAGCGTCCAGCGTCACCGTTTCATCAAATTTGTATGAAGAAAACGTGCATAGATCGATGGATAAAATTTGAGCAACGTCCACAAAGAAATTTCGAAAAATACAGGAAGGCTTTACTTTGCCAATTGTGCCTGGCTGCATATATATATGTATATATATAGATATACATACGATTTGTTTTTCTTGTCTTTTTTTATTGTAAATCACAGATTTAAAAGCAGCTTCTCAATAAAATGCCTCCGTATTAACAAAGTTGTGTTATCGTTTTTATTTTTTTTTGAAAAAGTTGTACAAAAGGATAGATGTATTTCTGTATTGATGTGATTATCTCGTCTAATAAAACGCATAAATATACGGTCAATAAAGCAGCAGCAAAGATACAGTGTGTCATGTTGATAATGATGGTATTAGTTGTTTTCTTTTTATCTGATAATATATCTTCAGTTGTATGCGTCATAAGATAGGTATCATATACAAGAACAGCGAGCGTGCAAGGAAAAGACTTCTCAATGATAATTAGCTTGTACTTGGCTTGCCTTGTTCGTACTGAACAGAACCAAAGAAAAAAAATTTTTGAAAAAAACAATGAAAGAGATACAATCATAAGTGTGTTCGTCCACCAATATTGTGCGTGTGTACTGTGTGATGAGACGTAATGTCGTGTAAGCAAGAACTGAAATCCGCGACAACAACAGGAGGTAACGGAATAAAGAGGAAGAATAAAAAGGGGGAGAGTGGGGGGTCATTGATCCGCGCGTAAGCAGCCAATTTGATTTGTGCGCGTCATCGACCGCCGACAGACTCTATCGTCGCGGAAATTCTTGGCTCGTTTCAATTGCCACTAGCTTCGAGTCAAGACGCACGACGATCGAGGCCTACGATCGCTGCACATCAGGACTACCCACGAGCGACAATATCACCCCCTCCCGCCTCCCGTGAATTCCCTTTTGTCTGGTGTGATTTCGTGTAACGCGCGAGAGTGCGCCCAGCGAGGCGCGTTCGATAGATCTGCCGGGGATCGATGAGCCGCGCATAATGAGAGAGCGTCGCGCGCAAGAGAGACACTGGATATCAAGTTGAAAAAAAGAAAAAAAAAAAGAGTAACAAAGAAGGTACACAGCAAACAAAAGGGGTACGAGAGATAATAAGATTCATTCGCGGCTGCCGATCGAGCTTTCGACGATCATCATCGGAGACGAGGACTCTCTCTCGGTTTTTTACTTTTTTACTTGTGGTTTTGTTTGCAAACAAAAGACAAAGTTTATGGTATTATATATAGGGTCAATATATCACTTGTCGGTACGTGTACGTCAATTCCATCCATCAGACCATACATAGTATTTATATATAAATATATATAGCTATATAAAAGAAACAACGTGTGAGACAGATATATATATATATATACATATATATATATATATATATATATATATATATAAACAAACTGAATAATATTATATAACAACAGAAGAAGTTTTAAGACAAACGGAGCCGTGTGATAATAATATCTGTATATAATAAATTATGCAAAGGCAAGTTTAGAATCGGCAAGTATACAAGTACAGAGGTATATAGATTCGGGTTTAGATATATATAATATTGCTTTGTATATATGGCAATCAATCCAGACAATCAAATCAAAATGAAAATTAAGTCAAAAAATTAAAGAACCTATATATACGTTAATATATATCTCGTTACAACCAAAATGTATGTAATAATAATAATAATAATAATATTGAATATATAATGTATGTAATATAAGTATATAATAAATAAGAAATGTATAATAGTAGTATATAAGATATATGAGGTTGTTGGATAATTAAACGAACACCGAAACTGAGAGACTCACAAGCAGGAAGAGGAGGGTGTTTTCCTTCTCTTAGAGTTGACCGATCGCACGTTAACATTGCGCATCTGGCAGTCTGCAATGCATAAAACATAAAAACAGGGAGGGTCATCAACATCACTTTCTTATCTTTTTCTCT